AACCGGAGGGGCCCCCCGGGGGGGGGGGAATTTCTGAAAGAAACACTGATCAAGAGGAAGACCCGTACCTCGGTCAACAAACCACTAAGTGACGAGAGGTCAAAAAGAATGTAATAAAGATTGGAAAGATTTGGAAAGATGTAGAGAGGATTACAAGGGTCCGTAGAGCTTAGAAGAAACTGTTTTTTGCCAATGATCCCCGGGGAGATGAAAAGTCAAACATTAAGAAAAATATTCTAATATGGAACTAATTTAGATAAAAATGGTACGGATTTAATTTAAAAAAACAAAAAAAACAACAACAAAAAAAAAACAACAATAGCAACACTTTATTTCAATGAACAATGTAAACTTGCATTAAAATGTAAAAATGTTTCAAACCAAGAGGTATTGAAAAATCTCAAGTCTTATGAGAGTTCACCGTTAAAAAGAAATACAATTTTTTTTTTTTTTTAAATACTCAAAGAAGCTTTGATATTCTGTATTTACTTAGTTTTATTATTTTAATAATTATGTTAGTTATGTTACACGAGACACTTGTGTTAACACTGCACACGTCAAAAATCTATTTTACGTGACCTTAAGGGAAGAAAACAAAACCTGCTAAAATGTAGAAAGCTGTAATGATGACAAAATCGTTTGTAACAACGAAAGAACGTGACGACCACCGACGATGCTGGTGACGCTAAACATTAACATGGTACAAAAATAAACATATTTAATTGCCTCACAAATATCACGTTGTTTAGATACTAAAAGTGCTTTTATTTGGATTCATTGAAGTGCAGTCTTACTAATAATTACGATCACTCACTTTTTGTGTGTTTTACAGTATGAGCAAACCCCACTTTAAAAAAATGGGTTCCATGGCAAACAGGTTTGTTTGTCTGAGCCCATGATCCAATATGAAACGCACCCCCCCTCCCCAAATCTCTCCCACCATTAAAATCAACAACAGCAACAGTGGCTTCAACCAAGTTTAATAGGTTCATTTCATTTACAGTTAACATTACAACATTGGCAAGGACATTATAAATTTGTGCATTTCGGAAGAACCCATAAGTGTGCCGGATTTCAGCATGATTGTCTGCATTGCTTGTGAACACGATTAACAATAAAAAAAAATAATTTGACATTATTTGGAATGCAAAGCTTTGTATTTTGAACACAAAAAAAAAATATTCCCCTCGGAAATCCGGACTCATAACCCATGAGTCATCAGTTTGTAAAGTCAACGTTGCAAGGTTAATGTGGAATCACAATGAATTTTATTTTGTCGAAGGTGTATCATATAAATTACACTGGACAGTGGTTTATAGATATATTTGTATTCCTAGTTACTCAATGGTTCAGCCCGTGCTAATGTTTTAAAATAAATCCAGTTGAACCCTGAATTAAAAAGCTGAACGTTTACTACACAATAGAAACTGATTTTGAGGGATGTCCATAAAACTAAACCGAATCGTCATTTCTGAAGAGGATACAAAGCTAATTCTTTACTGTAATGTAGCCCCTCTCTAATAGTACGTGTTGTCAAGAGCCGACTTTTCATCCATCTATAATATGAAAACTTTTTGAGTATATTTCACGTAACATTATATTCAGTTTTATTATTTTTTTAAAATTATGTAGCGGGTATTCATTCTCCCAATGCATAAATGACGGTAAACAAAACAACAAAAACATAATTAATTCATTCATTATGCAACAATAAAATTACATTACATTTTTTGTGTTACAATGAAAAGGAGATCGAAACTAAAACTAAATGGTCTCGTCGACTGCCTCAAGGGTAAACACAATTCAGCACAGAGCCTGGTGTTAAAATATGTGTTTCGTAGCCAGTGAGCTCTTTATGACAAGATCGCAACCGAGATATTTATTAAAATATCACAACCCCACCTTATTACAGGATCACAACTAAGATCTATATGACAAGATCCCAACCAAGATATTTATTACAAGACGACAACCAAGATCTTCAATACAATATCACAACAGAGATCACTATTACAAGGTCACAATCGATATCTTTATTACAAGATCATAACCAAGATGTTTATTAAAGATCACAACACACATCTTTATTAAAAGATCATAAACCCGATCTTATTACAATATCACAACTGAGATCTTTATTACAAGATCACAACCGAGATATTTATCACAAGACCACAAACAAGACCATTAATACAAGATCACAACCGAGATCATTAGCACAAGATCGTAATCAAGATCGTTATTGCAAGATCACAACCGAGATACGTATTTCAAGATGAAGACAAGCTTCAGCGAGAACGTGGTAGAGAACAACATCACCCAGCAAGCAAGACGGCCCAAGACGGCCCAAGATGGCCCAAGACGGCCCAAGATGGCCCAAGACGGCCCAAGACGGGCCAATGATGAGTTTCTTAATCAGATTGAAGGCACCCTGGATCTCATCATGAACTGCGGCATCAACTTGGTCGCTGGCGGCGTTGGGGTCGTCACCAACGTCCTGAATATGCTGGTCCTGTCGCGTCACGGCATGGGCGATTCCACGAACGTTGTCCTGGTGGCACTGTCCCTCTCGGATCTGATTTTTTCAACGTCCGAAACATTCAGCAGATCAGTCCGAATTGTCAACCGTTATGACCTCGCCTGGGCGGACGCCTTATCCACGATCCAATTCATCGGGTTCGTTCGTGTCAGCCTGTGGGCCATGGTCACGAGCACCTGGCTGGTGTCCGTTATATCCGTCGAGCGAATGCTGGCCGTGTGTTTTCCTTTTCACGTTTCACGACTGACGTCACCGAAGAAAATGACGTGCACCGTTGTTTTGGTCTACATTTTCGTAACACCTCTATATTACCCGTACCTCGGTCACTTCTACGCCACCTGGGACTACGACCCGGTGCTCAACAAAACGTATCTCTATCTCTACATGACACAGTGGTATTATGACAACTACTGGTGGCTGACTGTTCACGAGCGCTACATCCTCCCGTCCTTCGCCACGACCATCCCCATGGTCGCCATACTCGTGGGCACGTTCACCACCATCGTGGCGCTCACAACGCAGACAGCTCAACACAAACGCGTTCTGAACACTTCGTCGCTGAGAGCAAGGCGCGCGAAGGAAATGAAATCTGTCAAGATATCCCTGCTCATCTGTTTGTGTCTGGCGTTTTCTATCCTGATCCCCAACGCCGCCCTGGACGCATGGATAGGGTTAAATATCCACGCAGTGCCTCTTGTGATACTTGATATGATACGTGACTTTACGCAGCTCGCCGTCCAGTTGAATGCGTCCATGAATTTTTTCATTTACGTCGCCTTGAGTTCAAAGTTTAAGGAGACATATTTGATAATGATTCGATGCTCGAAAAAACATAAAACAAAAAAAACAACAATAACAACAACCACAATAAAAGGGAGTGGAAAATGAGATACATCGAATGATCGATCTGCCGCAATTGATACTTTAGGATAATTTAAAACACGAGTCTTCGTGGTGACAGTTGACCTGTATCATTATCTAACACAGAGGTTCCCAAATTTATTTGGTTTACCGCCCACTTTTCAGAACATTTTTTTTTTATTCAGGGTCCCTTGAAATATTCATTCTTTAAGTGAACAAACAGAAAGATATATTCATCTATATTTCTTGCATTTTGAAAAATAACATTACACTACGTTACACAACAGAGGAAATTTGTACGAACAGTTTTCCCAATTCTTCTTATCTTCTCTCCCTTCTTTATGCTTTCATCGACCCCTTATTTTTTTTATTCAACGCCCCCAAATACACCCGATGCTATTATCGTCCCCTGGATCGTTTCAGCGCACCCACCCCACCCCCAAAGGGGGCGGTATCGCCCACTTTGGGAATCACTGATCGAACTTGATTGTGAACTTAGAAGATTGATCACATCCTGTGATAAGCTAAAGAAATGCCAACTTTATAACAGCGGAATGTGAAGATTTTTGAGTGAACCGCGATATATTTCAAATTCACTTGCAAATTATTTTGAATTACATTTTTTAAAATATCTATCTTTTATTGTTGGAATAGTAAAAAGGAGTCTTCACAACAACACCTTACTTTAAATTTTGGAGAGTAAAAAAATGTCTATCCAGCCATGCCACTGCTAAAATATGAAAAATTGCATATCTAAATAACCAATATGGTCACACAATATGTTTTCTAACATACTCATTATGTAAAAAAGATACGAATTGGGTAACTCGTATCATTCTTATGCCTTTTCTTCTGTATGAACAATCATCCTTAGCCTAAAATTATTGTCTCTGTTCGCAAGTATAACAGTAAACAATTGTCATAAATCTTAAGAGCATAAGAATTTATCAATTTTGTCGAGACTCAGTCTCACACGATGCACGCATGGGCGCCCGCAGGTAGGGGCAAGGGGGGCACTCTCCCCCCCCCTGGATTGATTGGATAAACAAAATTTTAGACAAAAATAGACAAAAAATTTATTAAAGTAAAGAGAAAATAAAGATAAAGTAACTAAGCTGATGTCCTGTCCGTTCGTTCACCATACAAATACGCTAGAGTAAATTAAAACTATATAACTATATTAAAACATGACTAAAAATTTTTTGCCCCCCCCCCTGGAAAGTTAATCGATTTTTTTTGCCCCCCCCTAGAAAGTTTTCTGCGGGCGCCCATGGATGGACGAAGCCAATGACCACACATGTGTTTCATGGAATAACCATTCTCATATTTAAAGGTTAAAAAAAAATGATATTTTTGTATTGAATTTTAATTGATATACCGGTTTAGAGTTAGGGTGAGCCTTAGGACATTAATTACATCTCTTACCTCACGTACTAATGTAAGCAAAATAATTGATGTTTTCCATATAAGCTCCACCACGGCGCCCTTCCCATGCAGGTCAGTAGAAAGGAAAAGGGATGGGTATGGCGGCTACTAAAACCATCCAGTAAAACACAGGAGTAAATGGGGAACATGGTTTTTATGACTAAATTTAACAACAAATTTTTTCGAAGAATTCCTTTAAAAGCATTTTTTTTAAAAATATTTTATTTTATCTTGATATTCAAATGTCTCAAAATCGCAATTTTATTTTACCATCATTTTCAGAAATGCAAAATAAATTATTATTAAACGCTATTGCAAAAGTTTTTAAAAGGAACCTCGTTTAGCGCAGCTATCGGGAATTTTATGTCATGAAATCAGTGGCATCATAGTAAGTTTTACGTCATCTTCCCCTTGAAAAACAGGGTTGGGGTGGGGCTGCAAATTTGATAGAGTGTTTTGTCGTTGGAAACGAGTCTATGTACCAAAGTTCACCTCGACGGGAAGTGTGTAAATTAGCCGGCCGAAATTTTGTCAGTCAGCCACGAACAAAAGCGAAGTTAATATAAAGGACTTAATTAAGCAACCCTTAAAAACAATTTAAAAAAATAAATTAAATCCTTATAAAATGTAATTTTGAACAATTCGGGGGGGGGGGGTTGTTAAAATTTGGCAAAACATGCATACTAGTAAAACACTTTATAAAAATCCCTATTAGTGTTCTCCCCACCCTTAAAAACAATTTAAAAAAATAAATTAAATCCTTATAAAATGTAATTTTGAACAATTCGGGGGGGGGGGGGGTTGTTAAAATTTGGCAAAACATGCATAATAGTAAAACACTTTATAAAAATCCCTATTAGTGTTCTCCCCTCCAATCCTGCAACCGCACATTTTTTAATACTCTTGAACTATATTAATATTCGAATGACCAACCCGCTTTTACATCGCAGCTTCATTTCATCCTTTATTTCAGTAAAAACAAACGAAAATTGTACTCACCAAACGCCCTTGCGATATATTTTTCTATTAAAAAAATCTCATTTAGCGCGGTCATCGGGAATTTTATTCGTGAAATCAGTGTCATAATATTTCCTCCATATTCGTCTCGAAAAACAGGAAAAATTGATTTTTGGGAGTAAGTGTATGGGTGGGGCCGAAGATTTGAAAGAATGTGTTGTCAACTGCAGCGCGTCTATTTGACAAGCTTCAGCTCGATAGGTTGACGGGAAGTGAATCAATTAGCCGTTCAAATTTTTTGCCAGCCACGAACAAAAGCGAAGTTATTATAAAGGTTTTAAAGAGAACAAATCCAATTCGAGTCTCCGAACCGAGAGAAGATCACGTGATGCCAAATTCCTGGCTCAGAGTTGGATGCCTGAGTGTTTGCAACCTATATCCTGTTGGAAAGTTGGCGCGTGCTGAGCATACATTGGACCGAATTAAACCGAGGCTCATGGTGGTAACATTTACTAATGGCCTGTTCCGGGTGTCTTCCGATCTCTGACGGTTTCGCGTTCCCAATTTATTTTCAATCTTTGTGTTGCCCTGGGAAAGGGGGCTTTTTGGGGCCTTGGCGATATTCAACAAAAACTTCTTCTGAGCCATCTCCAGCGTACGTTCACAGAAAAAAAAGACCCAAACACTTATTGCTGTCGTCCCATCGCTGGAAAATAGCATAACCCGATCAAAAAATTTTTTTTAAAGTTAATTGGAATTTACAACTATTTATTTACATTAAAAAAAAACGAAACAGATTAATTGGTTAGTGATAGTTTCAGCATGTAGAGATTTGGTTGTTAACAAACGTCAATGGCATAGCACTTGGTCGCTAACATGCTTCAATGACATACAAGTGGGTTGTTAACACGCTTCAATGATATTATGCTGGGTGTCCTCCTATCTGATGTCTAAATTAGTTTAATGAGCAAAAGTAAGTGCTCGAAACAATAGTGTGTTTGAAACAGAGGAGAAACACATTTTCAAACCCCTTAAATCGGAATGTAAAAGAGAGATACATCCATTTTGGTCGTCCTTTTCAGTTTCACCTTTCACTCAAATATTGTTTGAAGTTAGAAATCTATACAAAAAAAATGACAAGCCAACATATTTAAAAAAAACACCTTCTACCAAAACTTTGAGAGACATGTAAACCTTCATCTAAAATAAAATACCACCATACCGTTTGTCTTACTGCCATTGGAGTTCACGCAAGCCGTCATCGGGAGAAAAAGCTGGACTCATTACAAGTGAAATGTATTTGTATACATTAGTAGCAATCATGGCACCTTTCAGGGCAAAGCAAAAATTATACGTGACTTCTCATTATTTACAGTTTAAAAAAAAATTATTAAAAAAATAATAATATAATAAAATACTGAATTTATTTTTAAACGTTCAAAGTTGCATTAACGAAATATTAATGACAAAGATGAAATAAATTCACCAGAGAACAAAGGGAAACTTTACAAATAAACTCAACATGGCTACAGGGGGGGGAAAGCAGTAAAACAAGAAATAGAGAAAAAAATATATATTCCATTACATCACAACTTATATCATCGGCATGTGATCTCGTCAGTGTACAATCTATCTTACTTTCCTAATTGACGTCAGAGTAAGCAGTCCGATGACACTGGGTAACTGTTGTTTTTTTTAAATTTTTAAATCCCTTTAAATTGTCTTTTTTTTTTTGGTTGGTAAAGTGTATGTAAAATCGTTAGGTTTTCTTTGTTTTTATTTTAAAATTATGCGCGAATTGAACTCATTAAATGTGCTCAGAATACATTTCATTGTTTCTGGAAAAAAAAACTAAGAGTCTTCTCTTAAGATAAACAAATAAATTTTCACTTCTGCGATGAAATTCCCCCAAAACGGAATTGATTGACATTTACTTTATAATCACATCCTTTATGTTCACTAGGTTTTTAGTTTGTTTTAAATGACATTTCGTTGTTGGTATTTTTTTAATGATTATCTTTATATGTCTTGTGCAATCCCAGTCACAACTTTATTAAGTTTCATCAATGTCATTCTTTAAACAAATTTCCTTTTCACTTTGATATTTATTTATCTTTAAATTTTGTAATATTTTTTACTTACTTTCATTGTTTCAATTTTTTTGTACATATGAATTTAATTTACCTCAACACCTAACCAAAGGTAATTTATTTTTACTGCTATTACCTGGCTATATCCTTCATTTAATTTTTCTCAAAGAACCAATACTTGATTTAAAAGCGCATACTGTTGTCAAACTGTTGTTCAATACGATAGTGAATAAGAAAAATAAACAAGCCGAGGAGTAACGATTCATTTGTGGCCTACATCTTGCCCAGTAACCATTCGATTTTCTATTGCATTACGGAAACAAATAGACGTTTTAATAAAATCGCCGCTGCCGAAGAGAATTGTACACTTAATTTGTGTTTACACTTACCCAGCCACTGGTGAAATGTAGAGTAAAGACATTATGAAACCGGGTTAAACAATCAACAACAAAATTATATCGATTTGTTTGTTTATAATCATGTTATTATTTCCTTTTTAGGATTCAAGTAGAAACGTTATTGGCATCTTATTAAATGCATCTTCCCAGAATGCATCTAACTTTAATGAATACCAAGTCTTCCTAACAAATACGTGTCTTCCACAACATCAATGTGTATAACAAAAAGACATGAAAATGTAGCGCCATTACCTACATTTTGCCGTGGTTATATAATTTGCGCAAAAAATTAATAAATTTCCGTGTAGATAAAGTTCTCAACATTATCACCTTTTTCTGACTGATGGTCAATACTTTTGTGTGTGTTCTGGTATGATAACCTTTACAGACAAAAATCAAGCCCATTTATTCAATGGCTTTGTTAAGAACCGTTATGTAATGCACAAAAACTTGGTTTTAATGACGTTGAAGGTAAAAGGTTGAATTGTATAAACAAGTAGACAGCGTGGCGGTAGGTCAGGTGGCAAAGTCAATGCGTGAGTGAGCCGGGGGGGGGATGTTGGGGCGATTAAAAAAATAGTAAAGGTTAAGATGTAACTATGTAATTTTCAGGAGTATGTAGAAACTTACCTGTTGATGCTGAGCTTGTCACCTACAGGTGTATCTAGATGCTTAGCTGTTTATTCTGAGTGTTGTAAAAAGACGTTTTCACTTGGTGCCTTGGTTTAACTTTGTCGGGGATCACCTCAACCAAATCAACTATTTTGGTCAGGGATTGAACGAGAGACGCTGTGAGTAAAGGTGTGTGTGTGTGTGTGTGTTATGGTCTGATAGCAGATTCCTAGATTTTACAAAACATAAGACTTATGTGATTGTTTAATGAGAATAAACATAATAGATGAGAATGATTAATCTCGTTATTACGTGATGTGACATACACACCGACTATGAGAGTCAACATACATGATTGATACACATTTTACTTCATTTTGGTCAAGATCTTTCGACCATGCTATGGGAAAGTCATAGAACAAAATAAACATTACTTTGCGAGAAAGTCTCTCTAACGTATAATTTCTGTCTCGCACGTAAAGTCTCTGTCTCACACTTACAGTCTCTGTCTCACACTTACAGTCTCTGTCTCATACGTACAGTCTCTGTCTCAAACCTAAAGTCTCTGTCTCACACTTACAGTCTCTGTCTCACACTTACAGTCTCTGTCTCACATTTAAAGTCTCTGTCTCACACGTACAGTCTCTGTCTCACACTTACAGTCTCTGTCTCATACGTACAATCTCTGTCTCAAACCTAAAGTCTCTGTCTCACACTTACAGTCTCTGTCTCACACGTACAGTCTCTGTCTCACACTTACAGTCTCTGTCTCACACTTACAGTCTCTGTCTCATACGTACAGTCTCTGTCTCACATTTACAGTCTCTGTCTCACATTTACATTCTCTGTCTCACACTTACAGTTTTGTCTCATACGTACAGTCTCTGTCTCACACTTACAGTCTCTGTCTCATACGTACAGTCTCTGTCTCAAACCTAAAGTCTCTGTCTCACACTTACAGTCTCTGTCTCACACGTACTGTCCTGTCTCACACGTACAGTCTCTGTCTCACACGTACAGTCTCTGTCTCACACTTACAGTCTCTGTCTCATACGTACAGTCTCTGTCTCACATTTACAGTCTCTGCCTCACACTTACATTCTCTATCTCACACTTACAGTTTTGTCTCATACGTACAGTCTCTGTCTCCCACTTACAGTCTCTGTCTTACACGTACAGTCTCTGTCTCATACGTACAGTCTCTATCTCACACTTACAGTCTCTGTCTCACACAATTACAGTCTCTGTCTCATACGTACAGTCTCTGTCTCACACTTACAGTCTCTGTATTACACGTACAGTCTCTGTCTCATACGTACAGTCTCTGTCTCACACTTACAGTCTCTGTCTCACATTTACAGTCTCTGTCTCACACTTACATTCTCTGTCTCACACTTACAGTCTCTGTCTCACACGTACAGTCTCTATCTCACACTTACAGTCTCTGTCTCACTCTTACAGTCTCTGTCTCATACGTACAGTCTCTGTCTCACACTTACAGTCTCTGTCTTACACGTACAGTCTCTGTCTTATACGTACAGTCTCTGTCTCACACTTACAGTCTCTGTCTCACACTTACAGTCTCTGTCTCACACTTACAGTCTCTGTCTTACACGTACAGTCTCTGTCTCATACGTACAGTCTCTGTCTCACACTTACATTCTCTGTCTCACACTTACAGTCTCTGTCTCACACGTACAGTATCTGTCTCATACGTACAGTCTCTGTCTCACACTTACAGTCTCTGTCTCACACTTACAGTCTCTGTCTCACACTTACAGTCTCTGTCTCACACGTACAGTCACTGTCTCACACTTACAGTCTCTGTCTCACACTTACAGTCTCTGTCTCACACGTACAGTTACTGTCTCACACTTACAGTCTCTGTCTCACACGTAAGCCTCTGTCTCACAATTACAAAGTGAAAAAATTACGAAATTATTTTTTTTAACTAGAAAGAAAAAAAAAATTGGTTGTAAAAATCATGTTATGTTTCATAATATTATCCAATGGATGGGTCAGCTTTATCACTTAAGAAATATCATGATCAAGGTATTATAAAAATACGATTATTAAAGTAAACGTCCTATTGATAACAATGCTTGATGCCCGGACCAAAGACCATGAACCATTCTTGGCCTGCCTCTGAATACGTTGCTCTCTCTCTCTCTCTCTCATAACAGTTCCAAACAAACAAGGTCCGTGGACCCACTAAGTCAGGTGAAAGGCAATGGCGCATGCGCAGAACAAGACCAGTTTCGAATTTTCGGCGGGGATTCTCAACGCTTCTCAAATAGTCAATTTTACTGGACTGCAGTCGAGCACCGCCTCCTTGGTGGCCTACAACCCTGGCTCCGTCAGTAACGAGGTCATCAACATCATGAGGATCTTCTTCGACTGCGTCCTGATTCAGATCCTTTGCTTGCTAGGGGTCGCCGGCAATATCATCAACCTGATCGTGCTATCCCACCACGGACACAAGGATACGACCAACATCATTCTCTCGGCACTCTCCGTCTCGGACCTGATCTTGTCCGTCACGGAGTCCGTGTACAGGCTCCGGTACATCATCGAGCGGTTTGACGTGTACACGGCGAAGACGGTGTCGACCATAAGCCACGTCAGCTTCTATAAAATCAACGAGATCGCCCTGGTCCTCAGCAACATCCTGCTCGCGGTGGTTGCCGTCGAGCGGATGATCGCCGTGTGTTTCCCGTTCCACGTGTCTCGACTCATCACCCAGGAATGCATGAAGATCTTCGTGTGCGTTCTATCGGTCGTCATGGTGGGCCTCTGCTCGGTCGTGTTCGGCTACGAGTACACGGCGTGGCGGAAGAACGCACTGACCAACCGGACGTACTTGGTGTACATCGAGACGCTGTTCTACCAGGAGAACTACAACACCTTCATCGTCCCTTACGTCAACGGGTTCCTGACGATCCTCTCGTCCCCGTTCCCGTTCGCCGTCATCCTCGTCTGCACGTCCGTCATCATCGTCAAGCTGTCGCTGTCGTCGCAGACGTTCAGCGGCTTGTCGCGCCAGACCAAGTCCAAGCGGACGCAGGAGCTGAAGTCCGTCAAGATGACGCTCGTGCTGTGCCTGTCGATATCCTTTCTGATGCTGATGCCGACGAGCATCTTTGAGTTCATCGCGTTCTTCCACGAGGACACGCTGAACAACCTGACGACGAACGAGCTGAACGCGATCTTGATCTGCCTGCAGATACCGTACCAGCTGAGCGCGTCGATCAATTTCATCATTTACGTCACCACCAGCAGTAAGTTCAATAAGACGTACAGGAAGCTGTTCTGTTAGACACAGTGAACGGATGGCTTCAACGCAGTAAAACCGCGGTTGCTCAAACCTCCAGTTTCTTATATATAACTAAAGTTGAGTGGCGTCAAGTGCGTTCGCAATAAACTTACCACATAGATATGATTTTTTTTAAAAAGTAAATTTTGAACACTTAACAAATTTGTAATTTTTTTCTGGATCTCATTTTGAAGTAAATAATACTTTATTCCCCCCCCCCCCCCAACCACATAAAATCACGTGAATAGGCGAATCAACTCAACAAGGACAATTTTTGAAGAAACATTGGAATGTAATTTTTTTCTTGATCTCATTTTGAAGTAAATAATACTTTATTCCCCCCCCCCAACCACATAAAATCACGTGAATAGGCGAATCAACTCAACAAGGACAATTTTTGAAGAAACATTGGATGATACGGGCAAGTTTCTGGCTTGATTTATTATTCGAAACTACATACAAAAGCTGCACTTGCACAACCCCAGCAGTTACTTAATAAAGAATTCTAATTCACAATTAAAGTTACAAAATGAAACAATATAGTGCACACAATATGCTCGGGCGTGTGTATGAGGTTTTTAAATTAAAAAAAAAAACACACTTTTTTTTAATATACATAAAATATCTCAAGAAAGACTATTCTATAACGTTTATAATTATATATATATATATATATATATATATATATATATATATATATATATATAGGTAATTTGATCAATTGGCAGTCTGGGTCTTTCATTTACATGTAATGCTAAGTCTATGAGAAGGGTTTATCTCAAGGACGTCATTTGGGTAGGGCAAAGAGGAGCATTCCCCCCCCCCCTCTTCCACGAATTTCAAGGGTTTATCTCAAGGAAGTCATTTGGGTAGGGCAAAGAGGAGCCTTCCCCCCCCCCCTCTTCCACGAATTTCCAGGTTTTATTTAAATTGCTTTGTCCTGTGGGGCCTCCAGTAATAAACAACTTAACAAACCGACCAAGTTTTGGTTTTGCCCCCCCCTTTTTTTTTTGAAAATACCTGAAATGACGCCCCTGGTTTATCTGTCTCACCGTGATTTAATTCGGCGACAGAGATTCCAACATGGATTCACCTTTGTTCAATCGTCCCATTTTCCAAAACTACTTTCCATGGTTTCCTCAACAGAGCACCAAAACAAACCGACCTCTTGGAAGTGGGCTTTGAGCATTGGCGTATCAGGTTGTATCTGAAGCCCCCCCCCCCCCCCCCCCCCCCCCCCCGTCCTTCAATATAGCGTGCTGCTCGCTCTTTACCAGCCACGCCCGCATTGCCTGGAATCCCTTGGTTACTGAATAGCAGAAGCTAAGGTTAGTGCCAAATGGGGCGGGCCAAAGTTTTGCCCACCCACCTCATTCCATGAAAAAGCTCCACATCGGGCCGAAAATGGCACCCCTCCATATAAAGAAACAAAAAGTTCCACCAGCGGTGGATTGACCCCCTCCCCTCCTACACCACTGTTATACAGTCTTAGTTTGTTTTTTTTGCAGTATACCTTATCTAAGATATCATCTAAAATAACATCTAAGATAACACCTAAGATATCATCTGAAATAACATCGAGGATAACATCTAAGATATCATCTAAAATAGCATCTAAGATAACACCTAAGATATCATGTAAAATAGCATCTAAGATAACATCTAAAATATCATCTAAAATAACATCTAAGATAACATCTAAGATAAAATCTATAATAATTTATAAAATAGCATCTAAGATAACATCTAAGATATCATCTAAGATAACATCTAAGATAATATCTAAGATAATATCTAAGATAAAATCTAGCGTAGTATCGTCTATTACATCTTCATAGGCCACAGTAAATTTTTGATCAATTAAAAATAAAGTAATACATTTTAAAAAATACTTCAAATTAAGTTATGCAACATTCTACACTTGGGAGAGCTAATGGAGAAATGCTACTTTAAAAAATGTAGGTGTCACTTCTTCTTCTTCTTTATTTTGAGGGGCCCACGATCAATGAATTGATCATTCTGGCTCCTACTTACTTAACACTTGCTTAACCTTAGAAACATCGTGTGAGCTCAGTAATTCCTACAACTGCAGTGGGCCTGCTGGGATACTTTAGGGCTTTAAGATGGATGTGATGTGGGTATTGCCTTATTAATCATCTGTCGATGCAAGGTGGCGGGAAAAAAAAGGGGGGGGGGGAAGAGGACAAAACCAAAAAGTGGCAAAATGGGCCTAGAAAAGTTGAGTGACAACTTGATGTAGTTGTGAGGTTATATTACTAAATAGTAAGTGGCTTTAATTTTTTAGGGCCTGCTGGGATACTTTAGGGCTTTAAGATGGATGTGATGTGGGTATTGCCTTATTAATCATCTGTCGATGCAAGGTGGCGGGAAAAAAAAGGGGGGGGGGAAGAGGACAAAACCAAAAAGTGGCAAAATGGGCCTAGAAAAGTTGAGTGACAACTTGATGTAGTTGTGATGTTATATTACTAAATAGTATGTGGCTTTAATTTTTTTTTAATAATTAAAACCTCGTTGGGGGTTATCTACATAGTTAATAAATGAAATGTAAAAAAATGTCCATCACAAAAACAACCATTGCTAACATCATTGTGTATGCTAAACGCAAATGAAAAAAAAAATTATTTATAATAATCAATTTACGTGAAATAATTAACTTTGCTAAATATTTCCACGTTTTACCTTAGTAAAAAAAAACGAGAAAAAAAACTGTTAAGTAGAAAGATCTTTGCATTTTTATGGGTTATCTAAACTGGTCATTTTTATAAATCGTATTTAAACAGTATTATTATGTGAAGAAGACATGAGTAGTTTACAAAATAGTAGAAATTTCCCAATATTCATTTGATTGAATTTTTTTTTGTTCATTTTATAACTACTATAACTTTTTTCAGATAAATTTAACATTGCCACTTAGATATACTTAAACATTTTTTCCCCCAAAAATCCACAGAATTTATTTCAAATTGACAAATAGCAATAAGAATTTATTCTAAAACAATTATCAACAACAAAAAAATGGAATTGGCATGATAATCGAATGCTAATTCAACTTCTATAATTTAGCTTTATGATAGATTCTCATCTTGAAAAAAAATATTATTTTTAAAATCAATCCTTGCAAACAGATGGGGGCAGTTTGTTTATTATTCTAATATTAAAAAGATAAATGCTTGTGGGAATTTAATAAATATTGGCTAACTATTTTTTGAAACCTCTGTTATTCAGGAAAACATGTTACAAACTTAGGACGTTTAAAGAAAACATAAACCTTTTCAATATAATAATTAAGGCTGCGACTATTCGCACCCGGGTATCAGTAGTGAGAGGTTGGGATTAAAAAAAGATTTAAAATATTATTGTTGGCTTTATAAGAAAAAAATGAGGTATGAAACGAAAGATAATTGAATGAAATATATGTTTGTAAACTTACTTCTTCAGTGTAACTAAAATAAACTACCAAAAATGACATCCCAATGGCATTGGTTCTAAGGGGATCCGTTTGTGAATGGCGGCGCTGCGTGTCCGGGGCCGTCTTGGTCGTATCTTAGAGTTTCGTGTTCAGAACCCAAGTTTGTTTGTGTTTGCAAAACAGCACCACTTCCACCCCTCCCCCCCTCTTAGACTGATAGTTCCTTGGTGGCTCTTGGATTTGATAGAGGATACATGTCACCAACATGTAGATCCTTTCATTTAAGGCTCCCTAGCCGCCCGTGTCTCCTTTGACTGCGCGCAGTATAAAAACTTTCACGGCCATTTGACTGTACATCTCAAAGGATTCCTACTTCTGAAATAGTGGTTTTATCCGAATGGAAGGATACGGTGGAGCAGGCCAGGGCCCTACGTGGGCTGTAGCGCCACTGATGATGATTAAATAGCGGTTAGGGGCGCATATGATGATGAAAAATATGGATATTTAACAACTCTATTTTCAATTTTGTTAACAACAATAAGAACATTTCTCAAAATATTACAAGTTCCAGAAAGCCCCATTGTTAAATTAAAATTGATCCATCAAATAAAAAAAAAAAAGAAAAACAACGAACCAGGACAGATAGGAAATAAAACAAAAATATATTTTAAACAACAACTGAAACTCAAAGAGTATTATCACATCTGAATTCAAGTCATTTTTGAGATTAATGTTAATGCATAAATTGTATTTAGTTAACATGATATATTAATCACTTCATTATATAATTAACACACACACACACACATACACACACACACATACACACACACACACACATATATATATATATATATATAATATATATATATATATATATATATATATATATATATATATATATATATATATAAATATATAAAACACATCAATATATAATAAACACACACACACACACACACACACACACACATACACACACACACACACACATATATATATATATATATATAATATATATATATATATATATATATATATATGTATGTATATATATATATATACACATACACTTCGCATTTTAAAAATTTTTGTTCACTTCATCATTTTACGTGCATCGAATGACGTTCAAGAATATTTTAGAGAATTTTGAGCTCAGGGCGACGTAAATGAAAAAATTCATGGACGCATTCACCTGGACTGCCAGCTGGGTAAATGCACGAATAAATGCAATGAGAGTGTAAGACAGTAGTTGGTCATTTAATGCCAGGCAGGCGTCCAGGCACGCGTTCGGGAGCAGTATCGAAAACGCCAGACAGAGGCAGATCACCAGGGATATTTTAATAGACCTCATTTCTTTGACTCGCTTGGCGCTCGATGTGGACAGCGCTTCAAAAGCCTTGACCCTGCCCGATAGCCTCAAAACCGTCATTGAGGTGCACGAGAGAATTATCACTATCGGGATTGGCGTGGCTATCGCAGGTATGACATGGTTACTGATAAAAATTACCCACCCGGGGTTAACTTTAAACCAATCGAACTTGATGTCTCTGAGCAGGGTCAGATTATAGCTCGGGTGGAAGGACCAGTCCAGGTACCAGCCACAGAATAACGGTCCGTACATTGAAATAAAGATGATGTAGAGAGAGATCACGAGGCACTTTATTCTGTGAGGGGTTATAATTCTCGAGGAGTGAAAGGGAAAGGAGACGGCGATCATGCGTTCAAAGGAAATGACGGACACAAGCCAGGTGCTGATCACTATGGCGCACGAGCTCAGATTCAAGAAAATGACGTAGTAGACGCTGAGGATGTTGTACCCCAAGGAGAAGTCAACATTGGTTGCGATGAGGCCGATCCTGTAGACGGTTTCAGAAATCGAATACGCCATGTCGGAGACGGCGAGCGCAACGAGAACAACGTTCATGGAATCGTCCATGCCGTGGCGCTGCAGAATCGATATGTTTAAAATGTTGGTGACGATTCCGATGAGGCCGATGACGAAATCGGTGATGCAGTCCAAGATGAGATGGGCCATGTCCGAGGCCACCAAATAAGCGTCTTCGTAGTAGACGTCCGCCAGATCCGTGGAGATCCCTGAGAGATTTGTCCTGTTTCCTCCTAGAGTTGTGTTGGTCATGGTGGGCTCCGTCTTCAGCTATTCAAGGACTGAAATAGAGAACACCAAAAAATACACTTTAGATTTACAGCTTCTACTTTACAAGTTTATTTATATCCAGTTTCTATAATTATTTTAAGCGTAAAAAAATTGACAGCCGCATTGTTCTAGCACTGACTACCCTTATTTTCGTGTATAAGATCAGAAGGGGGCACGTTTAACATTACACGGGAGTAAATGGAAATTAATTCTGACCCCGATCGTGAAATAATAATCCGCACCTCTCGAATGCTTATAAAATATGTCAATATGGGAACTAACCTGAATCTCTTAAAGAACTGATTTCTAAACCCGTATCCTTAAAGAACCTGCACTCTTCAACACAGTCCTTACCAAGAGTTCCCCCGCGTGGATGGACACAGAAAAAAGGCATACGGATGCAATAGCGCCGAAATTATGCAACAGTTTTTTTATGCCTCAAAATGAGGGAAATTGAAAATTATTTATAAATAAAAAAAATCATTTAAGGGACATTTAAATACTTTTTTTTCTTTAGTAGATTTTAGATCATCAAAGCGCTGTGGGCATGGTGAAATAGCATGGACACAGGCGCTAAAAAAAAGTATTCAATCATCATTATCATCATTATCAACATTTAAATTTAATGTCCAAAGATTGAAGCGTACCGTATATCATCGTGGATAATGGGAAAAATTTAGGATACAAACGTTTGGGATTCGCATTATGTGCAATACATTTTGTTTTCATAACTGGGTAACATTTTATTTTAAATATAGCAGCACGAAAAATATGTGAATGCTCTCCCCCATCAATGCATTCTGACAAGTTTTTTGTTCTTGTTTTTTTGTTGGCATCCGTCCGTCACAATGCGACGATGGTGTGGGCTTCGGAGGCCGAAATTGGATTAATAATTGGATTATTCTTCAAGGATTATAAGCTGGTTCCCAACAGCAAATCGCCTCTCTCCAAGCCGCTGGATAACCCAAGACATCATTTGGATGATACAGCTGGACACCATTGACGTCGCAGGAGTTGTCGGAATGTTTCATTGTACCAAAGTTATCTGCCCTCGGGACTCCAACTCCGGGTTTAAATTCAGAATTAGATGAGTTACCAGCCAAGGTCAACGAGTCCCATCCACCCGTGGTGCTGGGATGGTTTTGCTTGTCAGGGCTCTGACATGTTTACTTCTTTCTTAAATGGATATATCACAAGATCTAAATGAAAATGACCTCTTTAAAGTAAAAATTTTGATTTTTTTTTTTACATTTATGAATAGAAATTTTATAAAAAATTTGACTCAAATGATGATTTTATAGCAATTTAGATGCAATTAATGATCGGTTAATTAAAGTAGCTCTCTAAAGCACTAGAGATCACTGTGAGTTGCACTGAGTTGAATTCAAATCTAAGCCGATAAGTACTGGACCGTAATGCGTTTATTGTTGCATAAACTCACGTTTCACCTTTCGGTGGGTGAAAGTCACGTCATGGACAAAATATCACGCTCTCCCGTAATACGCGAACTTAGAATTTGTAATCATTTTCTTTGAAACGAAAAGCAAGAGTTTGGCATTATATGTTGATGGCGTTGTACGCGGTAATATACGATAATACAACAACAAAAAACCGCATAGGGTGGTAGGTGTTCAACTCATTATATTCCAGTTGAGTTAGTAGGATTAAGCGCCAATTGTGAATATTTTCCAAAGATACAAAATCTCAAGTTAAATAATAATTTCAAGAAAGGCTTAAATTATTATTTTAATTATGAATATATATATNTATATATATATATATATATATATATATATTTAAAATACGAAGGTTTATTTGTAGGTAACATTACTGGCTACTTTTCCGAAACGTCCGGTGTTCTGTTTGGTCTGTCTAAAGTTGTCCCCCTTCACTGTGCGCTATCTCCTCTATACATTTTACTTCTGGTGTTGCTGCTTCATTTTCACAATCACCCCCCCCCCTTTACTCAACATGTTTTATAGTAATAGTACAGAGTGGGGAAAAAAAGCTGTCAAGCAGCGAGCGTCATGCGTGATGGTTGAACTCAGGTAGAAATTGGGATTTTTTCGTAGGTGACTATTGTATTAATCAATAAAGAGCCAAGGGTATGGTATGGGGCTGTCTGTACGTCTAGTGTTTAAAGGCCGGTAGTTAGGGCCTAGGACTGTCTGTAGGCCTATTGTTTAAAAGTCCGGCATATATTATAGAAAATGAAAAAGTTAACTTTTATGTAACACTTTGACCAAAAAGTTAACTTTTATGAAACAATTTTCTAAAAAATACCCGGACCTGCTGGGAAAAAAAACAAAAACATCTTTATATTTATAAGAGAATATCCCTTTTGTGCAATCTTATACCTAAAGTAAAATGAATTTTGAGATATTTCGCACATTATAGAAGTCGAAAAGTGATGTTAAGACCAAGTATTCCGCTCAAACAAATTTAAACACAGCATAATGCAGCCTACTCAGCTTGCCTCACTCTTTGAGGGAAATTGAAAATGATAAAAAGTCATTTAAGAACCATTGAAAGACTTTTTTCCCCTTTAAATAGATTTTAGGACATCAGAGCGCTGTGAGCATGCAATAATAGCTTGGATACAAGCGCTATAAAAGTATATCATCATCATCGACGTTGGTACATGTATTATAATTATAGCAGTAATACTGGTAATTAAAAAACCCAACGAAGTGTTGAATATACTTGAATCGAGACAGATCATTTGAGCACTGTTTTATCTAAACTTGTTTCTTTATCATTTGATGTTTGGTGTATCAAAAAATGTTTTTTTCTTTTACTTGGAGTGTAGAATGCATTGCGAAGGATAAACAACAACTATCATTACCTTGTGATTTAGTTCTATAAGACGAAAACGCAACGTTAATTTATGTTGAAAGCTGTATAAGCCCAGACACAATGCAAGCGGGTTGTGGTCCATGCTAGCTTTAAAAAGTTACCTAACTTACCCATGATATTTTTTGTATATAGATATTTGGAAAGAAATTCCAAATCAAATTTAGAAAACAGGAATTGTAAATTAAAAAACAACAACAAATAAATATGTATACACTTTATTTAAATCCGTTCAAAATGTTGTCAGATGATTATTCTTTTTTTTTAAAAAGCACGCACATTGACTTTGCATGAAGTAAAACGCGGCACGCATCAAGGCTTTGTATAACTCTGAATGGAATCTTAATGTTATGAGAGACAAGCTCTCAGAGAATTTACGTACCTAATGCTACACAACTCCCCTGAACACTTGTTGCATAATTTAGTGCAGAGTGCGGAGTTTGTTCCCCCTCCAATTCACAATATAATGTAGGTTTTATAATTTAACTCTAATGCTATATTATCCCCTCTGTGTTCTCGATTTAAAAGATTCTTCAAATTCTTAAAGAGATGACTTAATTTTAGTGAAAAGCGCTCTTTTTTGTTTTTTTAATGACAGGATATTTAAAGAAAGTTTACTTATAATAATTACAGTATCCCCCACACACACATACACACACAAAAAGACGGTAACAATCTTCTTATTATTGAAAGAAAAATGATGAAATTGTCGAGCTCTATATTTATCTAAAACATATTATTATTTAGCTCTATCAAAAGATATTTATTTTTTCTAAAATATAATATTTCTCGTTGTTTTACGTTAAAAAATCGGATGATAGCTGCTACAGACGGCAATTTAAAAGAAAATAATAATAAAGTATAAATATATATAATTATGAAATGGAAAGTTTAATCACATGAACGTTTTTTTCTCCGTTCATTCCTCGAAAAGTCTGAGCAGAACTATTCAAAAACCTTGAGAAGAATTACTCGAGACAATGGCAGCTAGTGTATACGATGAACAAAACAGAACCACCAATGAAGAGTTCATTGATGCATTAACAGGCCAAAGAACGCTTCACTTGTTCTAAATTGGAGACGCGCGGGGGNGGGGGGGGGGGGGCAACAACACCATGGTAGATTCAATGAACACCTTCTTGGATTCGCGTGTATCAACAATGGCCCTCGACTAACGGAGGTACGCATGAATAAAGACACTCTTGATAATTTATCGATCATGGCTTCTCTTTCTTCACATATTACACAAAGCAAAGAGGGTGTGTGTGTCTTTAAGAATACAGTGACTCACAGGTTTCGTCATCACAACGAATCATGATAAGTTTTATTGTTTGTACGTGACTAAGATTTTCTCGCCCCGCCCCCCCCCCCTCTTCAATTTACATCACAATAAACAAAGGGCTGCGTTCAAGCCGTGTAAATGAAACAGTGGAACAACTGACTTATGTGGAAGCTTGAAATAAGATGAAAAGACAATAAAAAGATGACGTCTCTGCGAAGAGCCTTCTTAGTTATCTTTATATTGCAGACTTCCATATACTTTGTTCCACTATTTCCTTCAAGTTGACATACAAGCCAAGCGTACTTTTTGTATATTTCTCTCCACTACTATTCTATTGTTACTTGGTTACGTTGCGTTTTCGTTTCCTACGTATATCTTGGGCTTAAACTAATCTCGTTGGAAGTTGGCTTCAAGCTGGTGGCAGCTTTCTTAGATCTATGTTTATTTAGTTTTTTTTTTTTTTAATTGTATCTTTACGGCATGTCTCACATGTTCATATCGATAAAGCAGGCTTTTGGCTGGTACCGCGAGGTTCATATCTCCTTCCTCTCAGACAGAATGTTAGGATATTGTCTTCTAAGAATACTACGTATATCTTGGGCTTAAACTAATCTCGTTGGAAGTTGGCTTCAAGCTGGTGGCAGCTTTCTTAGATCTATGTTTATTTAGTTTTTTTTTTTTTTTAAATTGTATCTTTACGGCATGTCTGACATGTTCATATCGATAAAGCAGGCTTTTGGCTGGTACCGCGAGGTTCATATCTCCTTCCTCTCAGACAGAATGTTAGGATATTGTCCTCGAAGAATCAATTCGAAATGTTAGTTCAATCTTACCCCTTAAAATGCACCTCTTTATATTGCAAGCTTAATTGCATGATCATTGTTATATAAACTTAGCAGACCATAGTGCTCTCTTCCTCAATTCAATTTCATCCTGGGCTGTTGGTTAAAAAGCTGGATCATTGTCTGTGGTGGAGGCAGAATTAATTGCAATGAAATGAAGGTAGTACTTTCTCTTTAAAAAAAAAAATCAATGGCTCCGTTCCCATTTCTATTGCATACATTAAAGTATTTTCTCCCCCATCACCACTTTTTGCCAAAAATAACTTTACTGGGACCCTGGCTGGCTTTCAATATAGTCAAAATTCATTAAATGTTTAAAAACCAAATAAAAAAAAAAAATTGTGTCTTTTCCAATTTTTGTTTTTGCTTTATTTTCAATCCAAAGGACACAGCATCTGACCCAATACATGTGCAAATGGTTACAAAATCTTTAAGTCTATTTTAGACATGAAAATATTTCATTTTTAAATCATGATTTTATTTTAGTTGAAAGTTACTTTTGATTACTTGATATTATATTCCATTTTTAAGGCAAACTAGAAGTGAATAAATTCTTCTTAAGAAAGTTTAATATATACACCAGAGGTTCCCAGACATTTACGATTCTCGGCTCTCTCCTTGAATTCAGATTTTCCCATGGTGTACTTAGACGAAGTATACAAGAGGACCTGGGATATTATTATTTTTAAAAAATTATAATGCGTTTAGTAAATAAATAACTAAACATTTAGTATAAATAATCCTTTTGAAAGATTTGTGTACAAATCCTTTGGAAAGATTTGAGTACAAATCCTTTATAAAAAGTTGTGTATAAATAATCCTTTGGAAAGAGTTGTGTACAAATCCTTTGGAAAGAGTTGTGTACAAATCCTTTGGAAAGAGTTGTGTACAAATCCTTTGGAAAGAGTTGTGTACAAATCCTTTGGAAAGAGTTGTGTACAAATCCTTTGGAAAGAGTTGTGTACAAATCCTTTGGAAAGAGTTGTGTACAAATCCTTTGGAAAGAGTTGAGTACAAATCCTTTATAAAAAGTTGTGTATATATAATCCTTTGGAAAGAGTTGTGTACAAATCCTTTGGAAAGAGTTGTGTACAAATCCTTTGAAAAGAGTTGTGCACGAATCCTTTGGCAAGAGTTGTGTTTTTCTTTTAAATAGACAGTTTAACTAAATCTAGGTTAAGAACAAATAAAAACTAAACAAAAAAAATTAAGTAATATAAACTCATTTTTAATAAAATTTCTTTTAAAATATCAAACATAAAAAGCAAATAAAACTCAACCCCACTGTCTCTCAAACAAGACAAGAGATATTATTATGCTTCTCCACAATACTTAACACAATGTTTTCCATGTGAAACAAACCTTGTTTTATTGTGTGGGCTCACAAATATCCCAGTAAACAACACAGCTGTTAAACAAAATCAACCATTCAATGATGCTGATTAATAATAAATCGATTTGTTTGGTTAATTGAATCCTACATAGTAAAAGTTACATAAAATAATTAATGTTATTCACAAATCTTTAGACAAGATACATTAAATTATTACAACAAAAAAAATGAAGTAATGTAATGATCAATTCTTTTAAAAAAGTATATTTTTTAAAAAAGGGGAGATATCTTCATAGGTTACAGTTTCATAACAAAGGTTATGTTGATGTTGGTTACATTTACATAGGTTACAGTTTCATAACAAAGGTTATGTTGATGTTGGTTACCCGGCCAGCAGGTAAATGTAAATGAATACAATTTTTAAAAATTATACAAATAGATAATAATAGCAAACATCATTCATTTCCTCTGTACAAGCTTGGTATGAAGTATTGCTGGATTCAGATAAAAACACATCAGAAGGCACTTGGGGCATCGTGTACCTATTTAATGTGCTGAAATAACACAACACACACATTTTAGTGATGTTAAATTAATAATTAATATCTTACTGAAAACATTAAAAGTGATTAGAAACTGTTTAATGATTCATACTGCATACTTTTTATTATTACAAATTTGACTTTATCAAGAAGCCTGTTTCAGAAAACAAGCAACCATAAAATCAATACAAAAATTAAAACACTTGGCCGCAATGTAGTCTCTAAGAGGACAGCAAGAGGAATGTAATGAACCACAAGTAGGTAAGAGAGTTGATAACGGCAATAGGGGACGGAAGAGAGGAAAAGTTGTGTTATTTTTTCTACAGTTTTTCCCCTAGTTTGTATTACTTTTTTCCTGAATTATTTTGTTTGTGGTGAAAGTTAGAGAAAATGGAGATAGATAGGGCATACATTAAGGAAACCAATCACTAACATCACAAGACAGGCCATGAATTGGAGTCCTCAAGGTACCAGGAGAACAGGAAGACCAAGAGTCACATGGAGGAGGGGATTAGAGGCAGACATGAAGAGAATGAAGAAAAGTTTGGGCTGAACTAGCAAAGATAGCCCCAAGACAGGGACAGATGGAAAAGTATTGTGGATAGCCTATGCTCCGTTGGGAATGAGGAAGGCTAAGAAGAAGACGATTTCTTAGTGAGCTGACTCAAATGTTGTGATAAAACTGCTTATCAAATATTAACCTCTGTATTTTTTTGCTTTGTTTCTGTGAACGACACACGCTGCGACAATAACACCGATGATGATGAGTCCTGCCACCCCAACTCCTATGCCGATGCCAATGTACTTGTCTCTGTTGTCAGTCCCCCTGTAACTGATGTACAACAAGATAATTATTGGTACATAGTTCAATCATTTTCAACATTTTGTAAACAAAATAATACCGTTATAAAAATATATTTTCAAAACACTTATTTATTTTCCTTATACAGACAGTCCTCTGAAGTTTTTGGTTAATGTAGTCATTTAGGACAGAGATTCCCAACCTTTTTTGTTTTCTTCACTCATACCCTTTCATTAGACTTTTCATTTATGAGTAAAATTTGCTAATCCCCAAATCCCCAGGCGGTCCGCCGCATCACCCCCCATGAGTACACGTACCAAGTTTGGGAACTGCTGATTTACGAGATTAATAAGGAAACTGATTCTATTAGAAATGTGTTAAAATATATCTAGACTACTAAATTTATTTCTTGAACATTTCATTCAACCAGGCCTAGACCTACATATATGAATTTGGGCCTTCCCCCCACAGAATACATTTACCATTTTCCATATGTATTTTCCGTATGTATTTTACCCCAATGCATTATAGCTATCCATTTTCCCTCAGTATTTTCCAGCCAGTTTTCTCTGAGAGGTCCAGTCCCATTTTACCTGTGCAGCTATCAGGCAACAGTAGTTGAAACAAACTTAAAGCAATGTTCATTCTGAAAAATCTTTGAAATGCAGACAGTAATCTCCTTGAATTTCAAGGTACAGAGAACTTGAAACTTGAGCAGTCTCAGCACATTGTCCCAGGTCCGGAGGACTTTCTCCTTGAGTAGTCTAGGCACACTCTCCAAGGTCCAGAGTTCATTAACCTTGAGCAGTCTAGGCCCGCTGTCCACCTAAACATCATGAGTTTTATTGGCTTGGCTGGTTCCTATCTTTTTGCAACATCTTCTGCACTCCTACAAAAACTTCACTCACTTCAGTCAGCAGTTTCTGCACTCCTACAAAAACTTCACTCACTTCAGTCAGCAGTTTCTGCACTCCTACAAAAACTTCACTCACTTCAGTCAGCAGTTACTGCACTCCTACAAAACTTCACTCACTTCAGTCAGCAGTTTCTGCACTCCTACAAAAACTTCACTCACTTCCGTCAGCAGTTACTGCACTCCTACAAAAACTTCACTCACTTCAGTCAGCAGTTTCTGCACTCCTACAAAAACTTCACTCACTTCAGTCAGCAGTTTCTGCACTCCTACAAAAACTTCACTCACGCAGTCAGCAGTTACTGCACGCCTACAAAAACTTCACTCACTTCAGTCAGCAGTGTCATCGTATCCCTGTAATCTTCAATTTGATCCAGTCCAGATTCTTCCAAATAAATTGAGCACATCTTGTAATACCAGATGCATGTTTGATTACTTACATGAACGACACAGATCATATCTGTTTTAGGATACTAAACTTGATTTGTGTTGTTGGACTATCAGTCCTCCTACCCAAATAACATCCCCTAGTTGGCTTTGAAGTGAAAAGACATGGCCTCCTCTTCATAAAAACATTTTGGCTTTGCAAGTCTAAGGCTGATATACTTACTTATATGGCCGACAGTAGGATGTTCCATCGGAATCGAGAGCACAAAATGTATCAGCGGTACAAGGGTCTAGTTCAGATCTTATATCACACTGGCTTGTGGCAGATGTTAACTCTGTCAACATTGAAAAAACACAACTATTAATTAAGACAATCGCATTAACTCAAATTAATGTTTTCTTAATTAGAGCAGTAGTTAACGGTTTTTCAAAAGTCAGGTTTTTTGGGTCATAGTGAACAGCTCGAGGCTAGATCAAACAATCTTTTGAACATTAATAAAAAAATAAATTGAAATGAAGTTGAGCCACAGCAGGTGTCCTCGAGACTCACCCATGGAACCAGCCTTTATGTAAGCACCTTCCTGCCGAGTACCATTGACGGTGACCGCCGTCAGATTGATCAGTGTCATAGCTTTGATTAGTGAACCCCCGGCATTCGGGTTTGCCTCGGCATTCATACTAGCTTCCACCTCTGCAATTAGACTGCCTTTCCTGGTTGAGGAAAAAAAATCCATTTAGAATAAAACATAAATAATTAGGCCTACAAAACCTAAATAATTATACAACATAAATAGAGTTTCAGTGCATTTAATTGATTTAAAAAGTCTATAAATATTTGTTAGATATCAATTTTTTTTAAATGAATCCAAGGATTTCATTGGCTGAGGTGCACGCACAAGGCATGAGTGAAAGAAGCTTGGTTTTATTTTCATTCAAATGAAGGAATACCGTCACCACTTGAACTTACTTGAGATTTTTGACAATCAGGTTGAGAAAACCTTGAAGCAGCTGGCCCAGTTGTGACCGTAACTGCAGAAAAAGAAAATTGTTTACTTTAAGCTTTTCCCATTCTGTTGTATTTAAAAATGTGCTCTTTTTAAAGTTGAGAAGCGCAGCCTTAGATGTAAGATCCAAACATGAATATCTGAATAAACTAACATTACAAACCCAAAACGTCCTAATAGACTGAAAACAAGCGTTATATTTTTATTATAAGGCTGAGCTGGATTGCATTTTAAATTAAGGAAAAAGAAATGTTGATAAAAACGGCATTTAATGTTTCCTTAATAAATATCAAATTCTAAAAAATTAAGAATCAAAATTCAAAGTTACCACATTCTGCAGCTCTTTGACTACAGCTTTATATTCATCATTGCTTGGATTCAGGAAAGAATCAGCGGGGGAGAAAAATGGAAACCTTATTTCAAAAGCTCGACTGTACACAACTGTAAAATAACAGTTTATATGTTGAGAAAAATTATTTTTACAGAAAAGTTAACTATAGATTTTAACATTGTATGAAATTATTAAGAAATTTATTTTGATTTATGTATAATTTAAGTTTTTAAAAAACATTGAAGAATTCCACCTACCAATACATTTTCCTTCAACACTCAATGTGAAACCATCATAGCATGAACAGTTGTAGCCACCCTGGGTGTTGTTACAGTACTGCTGGCAAGGTTTTGTGGTGGCACATTCATCAATATCTGGGTGAATGTAAACAAAGTGAACTGAGATTTGATTCCAAGGTATTAATTAATTTATTGTAATCTTGAAAATGGAGAGTTTCTTAGAGGGACATTGTCCTCATTAATGGATCCACCAGTGTTGTGTGGGTGGGGGCAGCAAGGGGACAGCTGCTTGCACTTTAAAAGAATTCTACATTGCCAACTTTAAAAAGAGCAAAATTAAATAATAGAAATTATGAAAGTGTATTTTCCATGAAACACATTTGGACCTATTTCATTGTGACGTGTCATTGTGACATGTCATCATGACAAGTCATCATGACTTTTCATCGTGACATGTCATCGCGACAAGTCATTGCGACAAGTCATCATGTCTTGTCATTGTGACATTTAGAAATGAGCAGACGGCTCAGACTGTTGCGCCTCTGAAAACTTTGAAACCCCAATGAGAGATTTAGTGCATTGAGAACAATTATTAGACATACATGACTTTAAAAATAAAACATCATCTGCCTAAAATACTAAGACTAACACAGGTTCTCAGGTTAGCATGCATGGACCTCTTACCAGTGCATTCTCCTGTTGTTGTCGATAGCGTGTAGCCTTTAGGACAAACGCAAACATAGGAACCAGCTGTGTTGTTGCACAGTTGGTTGACTTTGCAAGGACTTGAGCTGCATTCATCGACATCTGTCAAGTTAATTAGGAGATACCGGTATTAAATACTGTATTCTTTAATTTACAAATACTGTGTCAAAACAGGATTCATTTTTTGTATTAAGCTTAGCACAACTAAATTAATATCAAGAGCAGGTTTGTAAAATCGCCCTGTTGCTGTATAAGAAACTGAGATCAAAGGGACAACATCAAAGAGCTTTTTTTGAAAAAGTTTATCGTACCAAGACAAGATCCATTACTCATCATCCCATAGCCCGGAGCACATGTACAGCGGTAGCTGCCGATTGTATTCTGACACAGGTCAGAGCATGGGCTTGGACTTCTCTCACATTCATTTATGTCTGTTGTAGAGTAGAGGAGTTGAAGACAGGTCAAGTACTTGCAACACAAATCATACATTCAATTTTATTTAATATTATTATTCACAGGAGTTAATGCCAGGGGAAAAAGTGCACCCCCACCCCCCTTATGTATTTTTTTCTTAAAAAGAAAAAAAGTGGAGAAAGGCTGTTCCCATGTGTTCCTGTAGGACTTACAGAAACACCAGTCCCATGTGTTCCTGTAGGACCCAAGCCCTGATTATTCCTCACTCCGTTTTGTTATCAAAGATTATTGCCCTTTATTTGACAGTTTTTTTTGTGTTTGTTTTTTTTTTAAAGATTGCTGTGCAGTGGGTCTCAATTTTGTCAAGCACAAATACTTTCAGCAGGTCCTTCTTCAAATATAAATATCAACCTACCCTTACAACTGCCATTACATTTCAGCAGGTTGTTAAATATAAATGTTCACCTACCCTTACAACTGCCATCAGGCTGAACAGCAAAGCCCATACGACAAGAGCAGGTGTAGGAAGACAAGCTGTTGGTGCACGTTTGTTCACAAGAGTTTAGTCCTGGGTCTTGACACTCGTCAATATCTGTCAATAACAAATGCAAATTGAAGGAAAGATTATGAAACCTTGTACGAGCCAAAATAAAAGCCCCGGGCGTCACAGTGGTATTGATAAAGGAAAATCATGCTGAACTGTTATGGACAAATGTATTTTGGAAAAAAAATCACAGCAACAAAGTCATCTATATTTTGTGGGCCCACCATCAATGCATTGATCATTCTGGCTCCTAAGTCATAACATTAATGAAAAATAACATTAGATCTTTAAATAGTAATTATGCAGATAGTCATTTTCAGATTGAAATTATGTTGGTAAAATAAATCCTGAAATTAAAAAGTCACAAATTTGGTTTCCAAATGAGAAAAAGTTATGTTTAAAAAAACTAAACAAACCTGTGCAGTTATTTGCTCCGCTTATCTTTTTGTAGCCTTTGGGGCAGACACACTGAAAACTACCAGCTTCATTCTTGCAGGTCGGGGACAGCGTAGAGTTACCACAGTTGTGTGTGCCTTCAAGGGGTTGAACATTTAGAAAGAAAAGAAATGGAAACATTAACTCAAATTTACATAAGCTTCTTTCAAGATTTTAATTGCATGACATTAAGACATGATTTATGAGTAGCGCATTGTTGTGGAAGGTAAAATTCATTGCAGAATTTGAAAATTTAAGACTATACGTTAAATGAGGAAGTAACTATGAGTTTGAGAGAATTTTGTTCCTTAAATAAACATTATGAAAATAGCAAGTTAGTGGTTGGTAAGGCTGTCTTCTAGTGTAAGTAACAATAACTAGAACATCTTGACTGTAGGAAGTAAAAGGCAGCAGCCATCGTTATTTCTTCTTATCTTTTAAACCCAACATTAAAAAAATACATTAAACAAAATCTACCATACTTTTACAGTGTAAAACCACCAAAGTACCTAACCAACAAATAGCAGCTGTTATGCATAAAACCTTACATATGCAACCTTAATGTCCAATTATTTTTCTAGTAATGTAATTATCCTACTGTCTTTAAACTTTGACCAAAAAGATGTTAAAGCAAATAAAGGAAAGAACTTAATTCTGTGAGCATTGAAATATCCAAGAAGTTTGTACCAGATGTGTCAATAAATTCTAGCTTTACAGACATTTCTACAAAAAGTCTTTCGTTTCTTCACTGATTGAGTTTTATACAATAGATCATCCATTTTTTAATAATTTATTTCATCAGCAGTGGAACAAACGTGTAGAGACGGACACCTAGAATATGGCACAAACTACCTACCTCTATCGCATTCATTGATGTCTCTATCACAGGTCGGACCTTCCCATCCACTGTTACAAGTGCACGAGCCTGTGACTTTATTACACGCAGAGTTCTGGGTGTTGCACTGACATCTCTGAGCACAGCTGGGTCCATAAAAGTTTTCATCACAAGCTGGCCAAAATATGATACAAAATATGAAACCAAAATATCATAATACATTGATCAAAATTCCTCATGATGGAACAAAATTTTGGGATAAAGGTGTTTAAATATTATGAATCACATTCTTCAGGCTCCGCCATACTGTTTTAATTGTGTCTTAATCAACCCAAGCCTTATCATAGTCGAACCCTGTAAAGGATTTGTTCGTGTTTGTGGGTGAGTGTTTGGTGATAAGATTATTTGTAAAGCTTTTGATATATGCTTTGTATTTTGTGACCTATTTGGGTATGGGAAATGATGTAAATTTTGCTCTGGTTTTGAGTGCAGCAGTGATGGAGTAGTGAGTAAAGGAGTAGTAAGTATTGGAGTAGTGAGTAATGGAGTAGTGAGTAATGGAGTAGTGAGTAATGGAGTAGAGAGTAATGGAGTAGTGAGTAATGGAGTAGTGAGTGATGGAGTAGTGAGTAATGGATTAGTGAGGACGGTAACGGAGTAGTGAGTAATGGAGTACTGAGCAATGGAGTTTTAGTAATGGAGTTGTTTATTTAATAAAGAGACATTCGTCATTGAATCATTGCTTTGATAAGTAATTGAAGTACCCCTAGACAACGAAGCTATAGAACTGATAATTTCCAGTTCGTAACAAACACCTTTCATAATTAGCCAAATCAAAACTTTAAACTGACACTTTACTGTATAATATCACGTGCACCACAGCCATGGTGTCCTGAGTTATACCATTATGATGAAGATGATTAGACTTGATAGTTTGAGAGGCACGGTTTAGTGTATACCTTCACAGAGTCCAGTGCTGGCATTTTTCTTAAGGTAACCATCCTTACAGTGACAGAAGTAAGACCCCTGGGTGTTGACACACTCACTGTTGGGGTCAGTGCAAGGTGAAGGTGTTGATGTGCATTCATTGACGTCCTGGTTGCAGACCGGACCACCCCAGCCCTGATAGGACGTTAACGATAAGACATCAATATACTGTCAGTAGTGGGTAAAACATGTAATGTTACATTTAATGTAAGTGTAAGGTAACCACAGTAAAAAGCACCTAATTATTTTATCACTCACAACGATTTACCATCGCTTATAACCATATACTATCACTCACAACCATGTACTATCACTCATAACCACATACATTTGCATCTGCAAAAAATGCTTAGAAAGACCAAATGTTATTTTTTTACCTTTTTCCTGAATGCAAGCCCCACAAATTGTCAATCAAACTTTGTTAATAATTTTTTTTATTTTTTAACTTCATTTATTTGAAATAAATTCCACTTACTTCTTATTTTTCGTTCCAAATTTTGTAAGCATAAGAAGAATTTCTTACCGATAGACATATGCAAGAACCATTATTAGGGTTACACGAGTAAGTGTTGTCCATGACGCAGCTACATGTGCTCAGACAGTTAGAACCATATCTTCCTAATGGGCAAGCTTTTGGGGAAAACAGCAAACATACAGTTTTTAAAAAAATTGTTATGATTTTTAAAGCAAATTATATAAATCTCCCAAGACTTAGTCTTTATGAAATACATGAAGAAAAAAATCAGCTATACTATTAAATAATCTATACTACAACTATTTTTGTGTTCAACTTTTTAATTTGCGTTAATGGGGAGATACTGAGCTAACCACAACTCTTGTTTCTGTAGGTTAAATATCCATGTTCAGATTATTTAAAAACTTTCTTTAAAAAGGCGTCAGTATCAAAATTTAGCTTAACCATTCAATAGTGGAAAATTGATTATTAAAAATATATAATTCTTCTGTTTAGAAGTTGAAACAAATTATCAGGGAAAACAATATTTCATTTTTAAAAAAGCAAAACACTGCATAAAAAAAAATCCAAAAAGATAGTGAAATATATATATATATATATTTTTGTTAAAAGAAACATGTATGTTAAATTTCTAGTTACATAATCATCCCAGCACAGGTGAAGAAATACATTTTGGAAAATCTACCTTCACAGGAGACCTTGTCCCCAGCAAGTTTAAAACCAGATCCACAGCTGCAAGTAAAATCATTTCCAGCTTCATTTTCTTGGCAGCCTTGCTGGCAAGAGCTTGATGCGCACAGGTCCACATCTGGTTACAAATAAACACAACTTAAGTGTGACATATATATCTCGTCTATCCATAGACTTTAACATGGGCATTTTATGTATGTTTCACATAATATATGTGATTTATATTTCATGTTCCACCACATTTCCTCAGTAAAGTTATTGTTAAATTTTCTCACTAATTTTAAAAAAAAAAATGCCTTATCCAATACCAGCTGAAGCCTTATTTAAAAAAAACATTTGGAACAAATCCAATCTGACATTTAATCTGATTAATTTATATTCTTCTACGTACCTTGGCACTGCAGCTCATTGATGACACTGACGTTTTGTCCACGTGGGCAGCTGCAAGTCTCAACCCCCTCAATAACAGCACAGCTGTGGGCACATTTCTTAGTGGGGCACTGAGCGGTGGCTGTAAATAAAATGCATGTAATATTGCATAAGGTTAATAAGAGCATTATCAATTTTATAAAATGCAATTATTTATAACCTAAACTAACTCTGTGCTCTCTGACCATCCAAATGATGAGAGCCAGTGATATATCCACATCCTACTGTTCATCTTTTTTTTTTTTTTAAAAATCAAAGTTTCTTTGCTCTATTTAACATAAATTATATTTAAAAAAAGTGAGAGCTGAATTAAGAGACAATGTAAATACAAGTAATTAATGTAATTAGAACATAAATTACTGAGTAAAAACAAGAAAGAATTCATTTTGTTTTTAAATTCTGCGTTAGCTTTTTATTGTACGACGTACAAATTTTTTCTATTTCCTACCAAAAAAATAATAGCTTGAATATACCTCTACAAGAAACACCATCATTAGCAAGTTGGTAGCCGTTGCCACAAGAACACCTGTAGCTACCCAGGGTGTTGACACACGACTGTTCACATAGAGCTGTTCCTGTGACACATTCGTTTACATCTGTGGATGATTACATTGACGTGGTGAGAACCATGAACAAAATCTTAAGGGAAATTCTTTGACGTTTGGTAACTGTATTATATTAATAGTAAAAGTAAGGCGATCCATTAAAACTTTATAATATTTATGGATTTTCCCATGAAAATTGACCCACTTCATTAACTGAAGTCATCTTCACCTGGTTCTCAACTTTCTTAATGCCGGGACCCTTTACATAAAAGTTCCTTATGTTGAGGTGACCCCCAACCATAAAATCATTTTCGTTGCTGCTTCATAAATTTTCGATGTGTTTTCCCATGGTCTAAGCCGACCCCTGTGTGAGGGTCGTGTGACCCACAAAGGGGTAGCGACCAACAGGTTGAGAACTGCTTACCTGGACAGTAATAAGAGCAAGTTACCAATATAGGAACTAATCAACAGGATACACTTTGCCAAATTGTGCAGACACAAGGCCATTCCTAGCCTAGAATGAAACATACTAATACACCTTCATTGTATTGTACTGTGGTACACTTGGTACACCAAAGAATGTCAAAGGTGAATGATCACGGTTTTCAACTCCTTTGTTGTTCATTTTTTTAAAACTGTTCAGTTCACAGAAAATTTCTAAGACAGCACTTACTTACCATTACATCTTTCCTCTGCCACATTGTATGTAAACCCAATAAAACAGGAGCAGGTGTGGCCACCATCACGGTTGACACACCCTTGGTCACACGTATTCAACAGTGGATTGGAACATTCATCGATATCTGAGTGGACACAAAGTTTCTTTTACAAATCTTACAGAAAACTGTATCTCCTCACCAATACCTAAACCATTGATTGAAAAAATAGCGTTAAATAATAGAAATGTTTGAAATGACCCTCTCTGATTATTCCAAACATTAATCTCATTGCCATTCTAATAATAATTTTTAAAAAAAAGCTATTTACCAACACAAGTTTGATTAACCTTCCTGTATCCTGATGGACACTGACAGCTGTAAGAGCCAACAGAGTTGACACACTTCTCGGGTGATTGACAGGGCGGCGTGCTGGTCTCACATTCGTTGACGTCAAACTCACAATACTTTCCTGGATTGAGTTAGTTTTAGAGTTGAATCTCAACGAATGTACAAGGGTGTAATTACAATTTAATCCCAATGCAACTGATGGGCAGTTTCATAGAGAGACAAGGATACAAAAATTCATATTCCATTTTTGAATTTGTAATCAAATTACGGCTCATTTATCAATGAATACATCCTACTGAATGATCTTTAAGGTTTGCCAGCATTTGATATTCCATGACACTAGAACCAAAGGGACGTCTGGGGTTGGTTGTATTTAACTGACACACAGGCAGCTTGCCCGGTCAATTAGTCTTAAGCCATCTCATACAGCCTTTACTACTACAGCTCATTTTGTTGTGTCTCAGATGAGATTAAGGAGGGGATTTTACCTGTGAAACCCCTCTTGCAAACACATCCCATGACAGGGCTGCATTGGTCGGCACCAGTGGTGCATGTACAATTGTTAGAACAGCTGATTCCCCAGGTCTGGCCACTGCAACCTTTAAATTAATAAAAAAATTCAAGTGGTTTGATATGATATTTGCAGTACATGAAAATACACAAAAACTTACTTGCACTACTGTAATTACTTAAATATGGTGAGATCTTTTTCAAAAACTAGTTTTGTCATTTAACAATGCTGTTTCAGATTCACAAAGGACCATCATAATAAAATGTAATATTTAAAGAACAGATTTAAAAAATCTTATGTACCAAACATCCAAGAAAATTAAGGAATTAAATTTTCCAATCACAAGAAAGAAATAATTTGCAGGCACAATTTTTAGTGATTAAAATTTAATCTAATGAGAATTTTTTTTATTTAAACTAATATCTTACCAATATAAGCATTATTTGTTTATTTATGGGTAAAATAGTCAAAATAAAATTTATTTGTTCTGATGTTAATTTGTTTAAAAAAATTGATATGGAGCAAAACCTAATTGACAAAGTCTCAATTCCACTGTAGCAGGTTTATTGTATCAACAATAATGTTAACAAAAAAAAGGAAAGCAGACACTAACCAATGCAAGTTCTGTTGTCATTGTCTAGTCTGAACCCCACAAGACACGAACACGTGTAGCCCCCTGGAGTGTTGACACAGCTGTCTTTTAGACTGCATCCATTGAGATTAGCATCACTGCATTCATTGACATCTGTTAGTGGAGAATGAAACACCATTTCATTTGTCAAGTCAAGTCTTCATTGGTTAACAAAAACTGAACTGATTCAGTTGCTTCCTCTTTTTAAAAATAAACTGTTATTAAAATTACCATACTTTGGCATTACTGTATTGACATTTTATTTGAAACATAAGCTTCACTGAGATGAAAATTGAGAAGACCAGTGTCATGAATATACAACTAAATTTCAAAATAATCATTTGAATATTCAAAATTTTTTAAAGTTTTACTTTATTGTACTTTACCTATACAGGTCTGTTTGTCTGCTGCCAGTCTGTAGCCAGAATTACAGTAGCAAAAAGCTTCCCTTGTGTCCAGGTTGACTGTACACCCATGTGAACATGTCAGATTGGATTCATCTTTACACACGTCTTTGCCTGAATATTAAACAAAAAATACTAAGGAAATAAGAAAAGCTGATTGTACAATCCTCAAATGTGGAATGGCTAAAACATAATTTGTCAATCATGCTTACACATCTTGTACCTAATTGAGTTAACTAATTGAGAAGTCCTTGTTCGATAAACATAGAAACTAAATGCCCAGGTACCACCAAAACAAGAAGTGAAAGTTGGGCAGAGGATTCAAAGTATTGCTTAGTTGAAGTGCTAAAATTTTTCTACAATGTTGCAAAGAAAAATGTACATTTGAAAAAAATTGAACAACTTTCAGGAAAACATACTAGAGTAACAATTTTATAAAGTAATTTTAGAACTGATGCCAGAGTTACTATATAATAAAGTAATGGTAGAAATGATCCTAGCATTACAATATAATATAGTAATGATACAACTGATCCTAGAGTTACAATATTATAAAGTAATGTTAGACTAATCCTAGAGTTACAATATAATAATGATAGAACTGATCCTTGCATTGCAATATAATAAAGTAATGATAGAACTGATCCTTGCATTACAATATAATAAAGTAATTGTAGAACTGATCTTACCATACAGTATAATAAAGTAATGATAGAACTGATCCTTGCATTACAATATAATAAAGTAATGCTAGAACTGATCCTAGCAGTACAATATAATAAAGTAATGATAGAACTGATCCTAGCATTATAACATAATAAAGTAATGATAGAACTGATCCTAGCATTGCAATATAATAAAGTAATGTTAGAATTGATCCTAGCATTACAACATAATAAAGCAAGATAGAACTGATCCTAAACTAAAGTTAAGAGAATGAACAAACAGGATAAAAAAAATGCATCTACTACTTTGCAGAGAATGACAATGGGGGAATTCCACTAAATTAAGTATAACTGAGAAATTTATTTTGCAGCTTCAGTTTTAAAAAGACTAACACAGTTGTGGGAGATATGTATAAAAAATAAAATAATAGACTATCCCTTCCCTTGAATTCAGTGAGTTCAAAAAAGTTTTTATCTTGAAAGAATGGCACATCTAAAAAATTTCATCTACATACTGAGGACACACTTAGTCCTGTCTGTGTCATCCAGCCTGGAGCCAAAGTAACAGCTACAGCTGAACCCACCAAAGTTGTTGACGCACAGCTGCTGGCAGTTGTGAGAGTTGCTGGTGCATTCGTTGAAATCTGCAAATGTGGACATGAAACATTGTTGAACCATAGACCATTTAAGTAAGTTACCCAATAGAATCTCACGGAGGATAAGTGTACTAGATCATTGCTTCTCACTACACGTGTCGTGATTTGGTGGGAATTCTGTAATATTGGCACTACAATGTATACTCATTGCTCTAAGTTTTTACATTGATCATCATGTACTGACACAAAACAGATAAGAAAAATGCTAATGCAAAAAGAAAGAAACAAAAAAAAAAACACCTTATCAAGAAAGAAATTTCAAAACAATTGCTCTCCTTATTACTAAAAACCTAAAATATGAGGATGATGATGATTGAATACTTTTATAATGTCCATGCTTTTTTTAGCATGCTCACAGCGCTCTGATGTCCTAAAATCTATTTAAAGAAAATAGTCTTTAAATGTTTCTTAAAAGATTTTTTTTATCATTTTCAATTTTCCCTCAAAGATTGAGGCAAACTGTTCCATAATGGTAGAACTGACAGTCATTTGTAAGCATCTATTCATAAAATACAAATCTTGACACCATGGTCCATTTCAGATGATACAGACATAATACAAGATAATATATGATGAAGGATGTTTTTTTATAATGGTATTCCACAGAGTATTTTAATAGAGCAATTGCAGGGACAGGCTACAACTAAATCAGATTGACCGTTACCTTGACAGAAGCCCCCAGCCGTCTTTGAGAAACCTGCCTGACAGTCACAGGTGTAGTTTCCCTGAGTGTTGCGGCAAACTTGCTGCTGTGAGAGATCACAGTTGTGGGCCAACACATCGGCACATTCATCGATATCTGAGGACAAAAAAATCATCATCAGCATCTAACACTAGCTTTTTACATTTCAGACATTTCAGACATTTTAGATTAAACAGCAGCTTGTTCAAATTACATCTTTAGGTTACACCACAGCTTGTTCAGCTTACATCTTTAGATTACACTGCAGCTTGTTCTTTGGATTATGCTGGATATTGTTCAAATTACATCTTTAGATTACGCTGAATATTTGTCAAATAACACCTAATCATCTTCTTCATCATGTGTAGTTAATGAATGGCAAAAAGAATAAACATTGCTACATTTGCTGAAGTTGAAACAGTGCTTTTTATATTTCTTTAAGCTGACATTTTTGTTTCTTGTCTATTTGCCTATTTTTTAAAATACAATTTTTATTTCTCAACAAACATATAAATAAATACAACTAAAATACAAAACTAAAAATTAATTAATTTTTAAGTAGAAGTGAGGGAAAAAAACAGAAAATTTTATTCAATAACTTCTTACCGACACAAGTTCCATTCACTCTAGTGTAGCCTGCCACACATTTACACTCATAAGAGCCAACTAGGTCGTGGCAGATTTCACCGAGACCACAGACGGCACCAGTTTCACACTCATTGATGTTTGTGTCACAGGATGGACCGGTCCAGCCACTTTGGCAGATGCAGCCCTTGACTGGGTCGCAACGGAGAGAATGTCCCCCACACATGCAGGTCTGAGTACAATTTGTGCCATAGCTAGGGCTCTCGCAAGCTGAAGGAGTCAAATTTTTTTTTATAGCACGCGAAGCATTTAAGATTTGAACAACCCGCACATTACTATCAAACCAACTATAAAACTGGATCATAAGAAAAAAATATTAAAACTTGAAATAAAAACAACAGTTCTTTGTAGCATCAATAATCAACTCATGTTTACCTTGGATGAGAATATTGCAAAACGTTCGCAGTGTTGCAGACTTTTATCAAACTTAGTATTATCAAACGTAAATCTATGTCATCAAAATTAAGCATTTTTCTTGGCAATGTCGTTGTGATAAAATTAAAGGACCTACGCGTGCAAGTGGTGCTGTCTTGAGCTAATTTGTATCCAGGATAGCAAGAGCATTCATAGCCACCAGCTTTATTGGTACACACTTGGTCACAGGGCTGGTTGGCATGGGAGCACTCATCAGTATCTTTACATAAACATCAAAACAGTTCAAGTATGAAGTACGTTTTATTTAAAAAGTAATATTAAATGCAGTTTTTATTTGCACTGAATGATTCATTAACGCGATGAAAATTTTATGAAAATAGAAATTAATTTAACTGAGTGAAAAAAAATAATTTCAAAATAGGTAGATTATTTAATCATTAGTTTTTTTTGTAATAAAAAAGGAGATATAAAAATTAATGTTGAGTTATCTACACCTACCAACGCAAGCTGTGGGGTTCTGGGAGTCAAATGTATAGAATGACTTGCAACTACACGTTGGCCTATTGTCAGCATCAATAATGCAAAGCTGATCACATCCAGAATTGGAACACACTGAGTTATCAACAGCTGGTGAAAATATGTCAAGAAACAGATTTATGAATTCTATTTTTTTTAAAATATTTTTGATTTGTATATTGTCTAAATGAAATCCAGGTTCTCAAAATAAAATTAATGATACAAATTTGTGTTAAAAATTCAAGAAGTAATTCACGAGCTAAATGTAATAAAATATTTGCACACTCAAATTACTATTAGTGTTGACTCACAAAGTAAAAGTGAAAAAGTAATAAATAATATAAATTTTGAATTTACTAAAGCTATAAATATTCAGACTCATTGAGATTGCTTTTCAACCATTTAATACCTGTAGATGAATCATAGAAAATTTTTTCAAATTATAATACTGAATGCAAGTACAAGATAGATACTTACACAACTGACACGAGTATTTATCCCCCTGCAGTGTGTATCCTTGCTCGCAAGAACAGTTGTATGACCCGGGTGTGTTGACACACTTCTGCTCACACCTGTGTGTCTGCTCCGCGCATTCATTGATGTCTGTATATAAATTTAAACAAAATTTATTCTGTCCTTAGAAAGCTTAATACCAAATAATATCTTACATCTTATTTAAATTAATTTCAAATTAGGTCCTAATTGTTTTAGTTATATTTTTAAAAGATACTTTTTTTTTAAAAACCAACCCATATTCTCCATGACCAGAACATACACATTTTTATTTCAAAAACTACAGTTTTCTGAAAATGGACTGAAGAATTTCTATTATTTTAGAAGGTTCCGCTTTAGTTTATTATCTTACCTATACATGTCTTGCCATCAAAATTGCTCAGTCGATAGCCAGAGTAGCAGGAACACTGATATGATCCAATGGTGTTGTTGCATTGCTGACTGCACGGGTTTGTCACACACTCATCAATATCTTAGATTTAAAATGAAATATTTATTTTTAAATCGATAAATTTATACAATGCTTACTACAAGATTGAAATTTAGGTCCAGCATTAATAGGTCATATATAACTAGAAGTCATTGGACTGATTGTTATTTATGTCTTAAAACATACAAGTAGACAACAATAGCATCATGGTTCCTAGTTGTGCTTGATAAAAAGAGAAAACTGCTGTTGACATGAAGACTTAACCATTTGCACATGCAAAGTACATTTCTAACCAACATTTTCTTTGAGCCCTCACATGACATGGATTGTTAGCGATGCTAGTGCGAACAATGAAAAGAAGGTGATAAAATTTCTGGTATAACCATACCAATGCATTTGTTGCTGACATTCTGAGACCCATTGTGACAAGGCCCGCAGGTGTGACTGCCGACACCTTGGGAATCTTGTAATGAGGCTGGTGTGTCTGAGCAATTCTGACCTTGACTACAAGGGTTGTCACTGCAGGCATCAAAGTCCTTCTCACAATCTGCACCTAAAATTTAAATTAAGTTTTCTTGATTTGATGAACAGCTCATTCAAGCATTAATTTCATGGTTAAATAGTTCTATCTGCTACCTTAAAAGTCTATTGGCTTGCAACATAGAATTACATACCAAATATAACCTGAATATTTAAATTTTGACCTTTTTATTAATCATCATATATAAAATTAATTTGGTTCACACTGGTGCAGGATGGGGGAGGCAGGTGAGGAGAGCACTTTCTCAATATATAAAAGAGGCTGCATTTTCAGCCAACTGCAGAGGTTTTTTTTCGCAGAGTGAGGCTGCGAAATTTGTTGCCTGCCCGTGGCAGGATTAACCCTAACTGATGGTGTGTTTATTATTATAATAGACCTGTCCTTTCAATGTGAAAAAAATATTTAAATTTTTGCACCAAAGCTAATTTTTTTAAAAGCAAACCTGTATATGCAGCTCTGCACTGACAGGCAAACTTTTGGAAGTTACCACCCTGTTCACTGTTTGGCCGGATCACTGACTTATTGCACTGACCATGTCCACTACACAGGGTGCAGAGTGCTAGAGAAATGGTCAGAGTTGTGGATCTCCCACCTAAGCTATCCACCGCTACGACACTGCAACAAAAATGTCTTGCATTAGGCCTTATGTTTACATATACTTTAAACATTTAATATTTTAACCTCTTCCATTCTCAGTTTGAATTTTTTTTTAATGTATGAATGTCACAAATATATATTAACTTTATTAACAATAAATGTGTGAATCTTACAAATATATATTAACTTTATAACACTAATGTATGAATATCGCATAAATCACTTTATTAGCACTAAATTTATGAATGTTACAAATATATATATATATATATATATATTAACTTTATTAACACAAAATGTATGAATATCACAAATGTATAGTAACTTTATTAACACTAACTGCTCCTAAGAAAAGTTACATTAGTGGTTAACGGATTACCACATTAATTTTTAAACATTTAAATGCTAATCATTCGAAGCAATTTCTTTTTTTAAATGGTGTTTCTTATAAATATAAATAACAACAGGACTTTGAATCTTTCTGACCTGATAGTGACAGGGACGCTTGCGTTGGGTGTGAAGGTGATGATGCCAGATTGGCTGATATTAACGCTGGCAGGAGCACCCACCAACTCAAACTTATCGAAGTTACCGTCTGGGTCCGTGGTGTTTACTTGAATTGTCGCAGGCTGGCCCTCCGTCACTTCAATGAATCCAAGGCCGTTCACCTTGGTGATCAGGTTAATAGCTGGTACAGTGTTTTCTGTTTGAAGAAAACTAGTTTAAGTTGATTGTCTGTGCAAATTTTATAAAAGCATATAATCCCACAAGATGTGTATGTGTGCTTATGATCATTATTATTTTTTCTAAATATTAAATTAAAATAAAACTTACAAATGCTTTAGAGCCATACTGTGTTGATATTTTGGCATTGATTATTACTCCAATCATTTTAAACTGACATGATTAAAGTAGTGCTTGAAGGAACCAGTTTTTTAAAAATCTCTTTTACCACCATGAGCTAATTATATCTTAATAAATTATCTTTCCCCACTCATAACTTTTTCTTTTTTTTAAGCATAATCTAAGAAATTATCTGTAGAATAACTTAAGATATTAAAGCCTCAATTATTATACATGAAAAAATATATCTCATTTTTACTAGATAGTATTTTTTTTCCTCTTTTAAAAAGTCTGTCTTAATCATCTACTTACTTCTATTAAAAATTTTTTTAAATATAGATATATTATTACAAATTTGAAACACGTCTGTACTTGACTTGCCTTGAGTTAACCTTGTTTGATTGCCCTCCTCACCAACTTTTTTGGTGTTTTCTGCAAAGGCTGGGTCTAAAGTGGCAGCATAGTCAAAGATACAAGCATCATTTTGGACACCACATATGGCCTGAGCATCCCTGAGGGTGGTACTGTTGATGTCTGATGAGAACTTTGGGGTAAATTCTGGATGGTTGTAGTCTGCCCAAGACTCACCAACAGGGTAGATAAATACTGAGTTTTGAGCTGTTACTGCCCCTGATGTTGCAGAAGAAAAATGTAGAGCTCAATAAAGTAAAAAAATTAATGGATTATTTTAAATGAAAATAGCTTTAATAAATTTAAAAGACCTTCTCACTTATTTTTGGACTTCAACATTAATGCTAAATCTGGTGTGTCTCGCTTTTACTCACAAATCTACGGTAAGACACAAGGTTAATGAGTTTAAATTAGGAGACTAACAATGTGGTCCAAACTGGTAAAATATTTCCTTGTCTGTGAGGTTAGGCCTGAGTATGGTCCCATTAGGAAGCTGAAACTCATCAGTGATGTTGTTGTTTAAGTTGCCAAGGAGGCCCTTTGTTTGGCCATTTAACGTGGTTACCATGGTGACACCAAGATTCAAGCTGCGCAGTCCAACCGACACAGAAATCTCAACCCCTGCGGAAATATTGTAGTAATTTAAAAAAAAAAAAAGTTGAACACGTTGCCACATGCTTTTTTTTTAACGGCTCAGCTAATTAACATGGCCGTAAATATTCTTTTGTTTCATGTTAACAGTGAATCTAGTGTTTTTAAAACACAAAGAATTTGAACTTTCTCCATGAAAAGGTAGAAGCTCCATATATTGTCAATAATGACCAACAATACATTTTGTGGGGGTGTGGAAAGACAACAAGAACCGCTCACCAGATGGGAAATTAGCCGACAAGGTTGTGGTCCCATTGAGATCAGTTCTTGTCAACATTAAGTCTTCTTTGTTAATAATCACAGAGAATGTGGGGTCAGAATAAAAAGCTGCAGTGTAGTCCTGTCCATTGGCGTAGATGATCAGACCTAAAAGCATTGCATACAAATTATTTATCAAGCGATCCATAACAGCATTCTAAAAATATAAAAAATATTAATTTTTTTTCTTATTTTTAAAAGCCAAAGATTTTTTTAAATACATGAATTGAGCAAAATCGAGATAAACAACAATTGCCACATATATATGTTTAAGGTGAAAAAAACACATCCACGTCTTAAGTAACTCACGATCTTTGTTGGTGGAGAGCTCTGCTTGAAAGTGTGAGTAGTTGCCTTCTTTAGCGGCCACCGCAGAGAAGACTGTAGCACTTTGACTCTCCGAGCCATCACTTTTTGTTGCTTTAGCTGTGCGAGCCTAAAATACAAGACACAGATAGAACTACAACTACTACAATGCTGCTGTCAAATTGTTTTAAAATAGCAATTTTTATTTATTTACAGAGCCAAAACTTTGTAGCACAAAAGGGATAAAAAAATAATATTCAAAGATTTTTTTATTTTTTTTTAGTTTTATAGCCTAATTTAAATTGTTAAATTTAAATATAAATTTTCTAAAGTGTGGCAAAACTTCTAAAAAATATATTTTTAAAATATATCTAGTAATCATATAGCTAAGGATTATGCAAAAAAATAGATATTTTTTAGATATTTTGGAACATTTTTTTACCTGCATGGTGAAATTTTTGCCGGTAACCCATGCCATGATATACTCTCCCCAGCCATTGAACGTGTACATTACGCCGTCAAGGGTCTGAATGTGTGGATCACCAAGAGCAATCCCAGAGATGATAATGGACGTGTTGCTGCAAGCCTTGTTGGGTCGCACCTGGTAGAAGAGCTCACAAAGGTGGCTGGAGTCAGCGTCCTCGCAGCACCACCTGTGAGGGATCATGTCATGGATCCTGTGCTCCCTGACTGTTGCGCTCCATGAAAATGGGTCGTACAAGGTCACGAACCCTGCTTCAGGCGGTGAGGATATGAAGGTCATTGTGTTGCGCTGGTTCCACCATCCCAGATTGGGTATGGAGTGGTAGCAGCACAGCTGTGAAATTAGACACACCGTCAGTCATAAGAACTAGGTTTAAAATAATCTCTCACATCATTTCAGTGAGCAAATGTATGTTACATAATTTTGACACAAGCTTATTAATATGCCTTTTTGAACGTTGGATTTAAAATACATTACAATGTTCCAACACATGAATGATTGCATGTAAGACATTTGTCAAAAGGCTTGTCATGTAATCCTCAGTAACAAATTGATTTGATATTTTGTCCTTTAAGCTTTAAAAAAAGAATCAAGCAATAAAATGAACCAATTTTTTTAAAAATTTTTTGAGTGACATATTCTGTCTGAGCGATTTATGAATTTTCTCATGCAAATCTTCAATAAAACGCTCCCTAACTGAATGTGGAAAATTGTTTGTATTCTTGTCAGTCAACCTTGTTATAAGTGTGTCCGAAAAACCTAGTGACGAGGCTGTTCAGTGCAAAGCAAATTTTGGTCCCAACAGCTGAGACCTGTGACCACTGTCTTCCCATCTGTGCCACACTGCATGGGCATTCAAAGAGACCTGTACATAAATATTACACAGAGTTGTTGATGTCATTGTAGGAAGTTCAAATCTTTATTACATTTTTTCTAGTTCATCCTAGATAAATTTAGGTTTTTTTTTCACTTGACATTTTAGACTGTATAGAATTACTACATTTTAACATGTTAGGCTGTATAGAATTAATAAAAACGGCCTTTACCATTGAAACAAAACTTATTTGTTCATTTCCATTACTTAATAAATTTACAAAACTTATTAAGAAATTAAAAATAATAAGATCTAGTCATAAAGTTTAAAAATTAAAAAAAAAACAATATTGATAATCATTCATAAATAAGTATGAAAAATCACAGTACATACCAGCCACACGACTTAAAAATGTCTGGTCGGCAAGGAGATAAGCATTGCTACTGTAGAAGTCCTGACATCTTTGATCAGAGTTAGTTATGTACCCTATCTGAGCAAGCCAGGTTCCCTGACGACCTAATCAGAAAATTTAAAATGTAAAATTTCACTAACAGCACTTCTGACAAATTTGTAAGCAGTAACACTTTATTGTTACATGCTGTGCTATGAGGCTACAAATGAACTGCGGATAAGCTCATGTGAATGGATTGTGGATACACTCATGTAAATGGACTGTGGATAAGCTCGTGTGAATGGACTGTGTATAAGCTCATATATGGTGTGTTAAATAATTCAGTTAAGCCCAAACCACAAAGCCAACTCAGGTCCCCAGCCTAAAAAAGAAATTTGAGCTTTAAAAAATAAAATTTAATTTGAAAAAACCAAGGGAGTCAATGGTTGAATCAATTTAAAATGTGCATGTGATTGCCCTGCAACTGACCTTTGTTGCCAATAATCTCATCAAGCGATGATATCAAGAAACTGCCATGTTCAACAAAGTCTACATATTCCAGGTCATTCACGTATCCAACAGAAACACTACGTCCCCTGATGTAAGGCCAGTTGAACTCTTTCGACTTGTAGAAGAAGATCAGATAGGAGGTCTCGCCATCCGTGATGATGACAGATTGGAATGTGACAACATTAGGAGCCTCCTGGTGGTCGAAAAATATTTCTTATCATAGAAGTTTTGTAGGATTTTAAATAGCTTGAATTATAAAACAAATGAAATTTTAAACTTGTTATGAAATCACATTCTATTTTAATAGTGTCCCACAAACTTAAAACAGTCAATACAATCATTCTACAATATTTGAAATCAACTCGGAGATGACAAATTCAAAAAGGAAGTCGTTAACATTCATTACACATGACACATATAAAATGAATGGCTCTGTGTTTCACTGTAGCTAAAATGCTTTTCCCAAGTTTACACTTATTCTTTCCTTTAATTACATTATACAATTTGTAACTGCTAAAGTTTACAAATATGCGTGGCTTTAAAAGTTGAATGGCTTGTGTTACACCCAACATACCGCCTGTCTTCTGAACCTGCCGTAGTAGTAGCCATAGTAGTAGTAGTCAACTTGGCTTTCCACTCTGACCCACGTTGCCACAAAAACATACTTGGGGTTAAAGCCCGCAATGCCAAAGTTATCAAAGACATCTGCACTGGCCCGTTGTAACACAGTGTTGACATTTGCCTGAGTCGGACCACTATCGGTGCTTTTCTTATACAGGTGGTACAGGATTTCAGAACCTGAAATTTTCGTGTAAAATACACGTTTACTATAAAAGAAATTTTACATAAATATTGCTTTTGTGACTACTTAGGCAAGGACAGATTTTATGACACAAAGGCAGTTTTTTTTGTGTGTTTAGCTTGTGATTTCCTAGTCAATGTAGTTTGTTATCACACAACTAGATTAGCTTCGATTTAGAAAAATCTCCTTTTAAAGTTGTTTTTCATTTTTTAGAAATTAGCTTTGCTTTCCACTTTGGTTAAAATATCCTAAATGGTTATTTATGTCATGATAAATAATAAATAAATGAAATGAATTTTTTTTTAAAAACACTAATTTTTTTTACTTTAAATGTCATGAATATATTATCATTATTATTATTTTAAGTGGTTTTATATAGTGTGGCTCACCACACTGTACATACAATTTAACGTACATAATAAAAAACTTTAAAAATTAATTAACATACATTATTTAAATAAAACAAAACAAATGTATATGTAAAACTATTTACATGTCAAGCCATACACTACTTACCATTGTCCACTTTTATGTCAGTCATGAAAGGACAAATAATTTTGTGTCCATAGCCGAACCGGTAGCTGAGCTCACCCCAGTACCAATACTGTTGTGGTGTGCCGACACTGATCATACCATTGTTAGACACCTACAGAAGATAAAAATATATAATTGAAACAGGTTTCCTATGAATACATTTTTTGAAGCCTGTGTAAGCTCAACTGATAACTAAACAAATGGTACCTGTATTTATACAGGGGAACAATTTTTTTTTCTTGCTCGGCTTGTCTCCCTCCTTCTCATTAAACGAGCGCTTAATGTAACAATGGAAATGTGTTTTCAGGCTCAGTATTTAAAATTTTAGGGGTTTTTATCATTTTTTGTTCATCATTAATGCTTACAAAATTATTATAAAATTATCATGATTGATACCAACAAGACTTCTTAAATATCACTTTAGACCAAACAGAGAATTTATGACTAAAAGTAATTAAATCAATTTCCTAATATCTCACAGCCATCACCATGCGCCCGCAGGGGGTGGCAAGGGGGGGCATCCCCCCCCCTCCCCCCCCCGATTGATTGGATAAAATTTTTTTAGAAAAAAATGTATTAAAGTAAAAAGAAAATAAAGAGAAAGTAACTAAGCTGATGTCCTGTCCGTTCATTCACCATACAAATACGCTACGGTATATTAAAACTACATTAAAATATTACTAAAAATTTTTTGCCCCCCCCCCGGAAAGTTAATCGATTTTTTTGCCCCCCTAGAAAGTTTTCTGCAGGCGCCCATGGCCATCACATAATGAGAAATTGAACTTTGATAAAGGTTGACAGAGTTTATTTTCAACTTACATAAAGATTATAATGCTTCTCACTTCCAAATGGAAGGCCATTTTCAAACACTACGGCATTGCTGATGGCATATCTGTCTTGGGACAATTTTGTATCACCTTTGTCAGCGCCGTAAGGGTACAAGCTCTGTTGTGTGCGGTTGAAATCTGAAGAGGGGGTATTGTATTAAAAAAATATTGACTGTGAATTTCTAAGAATGAAAATTTTATAAGTATTATTACTTCACTTTCTGTCCGTTTAAAAAAAAAAAATCAATCGTACTTCATCTTTACTTTTATATTCCATCGTTATGAATTTTTACTAGATAAAAAATTGACATCAACTCATGATATTTACTTGTGCAAGGGTCCTGTGGTGACCTCCTAGTGTAGCCACTGATGCAATCACAGATGTAGCTGCCAGGCGTGTTAACACACTGCTCTGATGTACCAGTACAAAGGTTGGTTTGAAGGCATTCATCAACATCTACCAAGGCAGATACAAAAACATGTTTTCTTACTTTTGTAAGGATATTGTAATGCTATGCAGATGTAAGGCTGTAACAAAGATGATGTATTTAATGCTCATTAGAATAAGTGATGTTAGCTTTCCATTATATTTGTCATATTGAAATGAGCTTCTGAGGCCCCATTCCTCATGTGCCCGCGCTTGTAGACAACTCACCAGTGCACTGGGACTCGGATGTAACTCGTTGGTAACCACTAATACAGCTACACACAAAGCTTCCAAGGGGTCCAACCCTATTGTTGCATCTCTCAAGTTGCCCACAAACTGTTGGCGTCAACGAGCATTCATCGATGTCTGGTAATATACATTTTTTGTAAAGGTTTCTTAAAAGTTTAAAATAGATTGTAGATCTAGTTAAGCAAATAATTAATAAAAAATAAAATTTTAGTGCTAACCATCATCTGGATCAAATAATTTCAAGTTGTAGATCTGGTTCATCATCAAAAATCAAATCTTAGGGCTAATCATTGAATAAAGTTATTTAGCTGAGCTTGGTGTGATAAAATATTTATTATTTCTCTCACCTATATGGTTTGTAAATCCCAGAGAGTCTGCCTGTGTGAGAAACATGTTAACTGCTTTGACTGAATGAGACACACCATTAATGAGTACCAGGTAAGGGTTTCTATAAAACTTTGTGTAGATCTCGGCACCAAGATTGTTTGAGAAATCATTGGTTACATCAAAAGTGGATACCACAGAGACAATCACGACCACTCTGTGAAGCAAATATTATGTCATAGGTAGCATTCAACAATTGATGTTGCAAAGGATAAATGATTGCATATCTCTAAATATAATTTTCATAAAATCAGAAAACAGACTTTTGAAAAAGTAAATAAATTCAAATACCTAGGATCTTTATTAATGAAAGAAATGAATTACTCACACAAATAAAATACAGAATATTGGCCGGAAACAGGGAATACTTCAGTAGTCAAAAGTAAAAACATTACAAGAAAAACAAAGAGAACTATCTACAAAACTGTGATCTGACCAAGTTGTAACATACGCAAGTAAAACTTGGACCCTCAAAAAAAAAACCATAGAAAACTTATTAACCACATGGGAGAGGAAAGTTCTCCGGAAAGTATATGGACCAACAAAGGATGAATATGAATTGAGAATAAAAACCAATCAGGAATTGTATAGTCTATATGAGGATCAAACGCTAGTAGCAGAAATAAAAAAGGGTAGGCTATGCAGGGTTCTTAGCAATACTAAAAAAAATTATTGGCAATACCAATACCAATACTGCCTGTAAAATCTATTGGCAATACCAATACCAATACAATTTTAAAACCAGTATTGCAATACCAATACCAATATTTATTTATTATTGCCTTACCAATACCAATATTTGGGTCATTCGACGAATAAAACGCAAATACGTAATTCATCGCTCTATATCACTTACATCGATAAACGATAACACCATTTTTGGCTAATTTAGACAATGCATTTTTAACCAAATTTTGTTCAATAGTTAACACTTGCTTCATCAGTTTTCCTCAAAGCATTCAAAAGTCTTTGACAACATATTAAATAAGTCGGCATACCTTAACATCCTTAAGCAACAAGATTTTTAATATGTATACTGTACACATATTGTGAATGAATGAATGGATGGATGGATGAATGAATGGATGAATGAAGCAAATGACTGTCATAGAAAAGCAAATGATACATAAACATGAATGAATGAATGGATGGATGGATGAATGAATGGATGAATGAAGCAAATGACTGTCATAGAAAAGCAAATGATACATAAACGGTTAAACATCATACTATAGTAAAAACAGTCAGACCGAGTCAGTGGATTGCATCACATCTGGAAAACTAACGATGAACGATGAATTTTAGTAGAGTTCACAGGGTAACGCCACCTATTTGGCCGTTACCACTTAGCCAGGCGAAGAAAAGTAACCATTTCAAAATGCGCACTGCTCAGTCGTGAACGAAGAGGGGAAAATACTCGTCCTCCTAATGAAAACAACCTTTCAACAGCAGCGCTTGAAGGAAGTCCTGTATTCAGGTCTATGTATATTTTACGGATATGTGGATAGGCATCCAATGATGCAATACTGTCTGAAGTGTCTGCCAAGTAATTATTAATTTCTTGATTCACATCAGGTGAATCATTCACACGATGTCGTCTGGCTGACAATCCAGCGAAGAAGTCTGGCTGATTATCTGTACCATCAGCAGCAGCCGACGTTGCTTTCTGATCATCAGTAGGAGCAACCAACAGTGATTGTGAAACGCGTCTCTTCAGTGCTTCAATAAGATGCGAACGCTGTAAATCATCATCTATCCAGTCCAACTTGAATTTGGGATGTACAACGGATGCCAGCTGAGCATCAATGCTGTCAAACATGTTTGAAAATCTTCTATCGATGGCATTCAAAAGACATGAAGCTAATGGAGAACAAATTACGAGCCGATCATTCTTTCCTTGATCAAGAAACACTTTTAACTGAGCCTTCATCACGACAAGTGTTGGTAGAAGGAAACCAAGTCCAATGTCTTTTTTAGTTTCACCCTGCAAAATATCTAGTCCACAGCTAACAGGCTTCATAACAGCAACATACTCTTTAACAAATGTTTTCTGTACAGGCTGTAGTCTTTTGATATCAAGTTCATCACAAAGTTTGTCAAACTTAACTTCCATGTCACTTACACAGAGAATGTTGTAAACTCTGGTGACAGCATCATACATTGAATTCCACCGGGTTTCACCAGGTGTTACCAAAAGCATACCAAGTGAATCCTTGATCTTTTCAGAAGCTACAACTGATCGGTTTTGTTTATTCCAGAGGGCTGTCAACTTTGAAAATGTCTGAACTGATGTTCTCTTATAAAGTGGATCATCAATTTTGGCACAGTCACTTGTTGCTACAAGGCTGAGCAAATGACAGGCATATCATATATGATTTGATTTCTATTATCATTCATTTCATTGATCAGTCTCATTCAAAAATTGTTTGGCAATGTCACTCGCAAGATGGCGACACCAAAGAAAAATTTATTATATTCAGCTTTATTCACAACCAATGTTGTAGAGAATTTATTGAATATTGCTTTTAGTATTGGTTAAAAATCAATACCAATATCAAAAATAATTATTGGCAATACCAATACCAATATCAAATTTCAAGAAGTATTGCAATATCGTCCCAATACTTAAAAAAGTATTGGCAATACTACCAATACCAATACAATATTGCAATATTAACAACCCTGAGGCTATGCTGGGCAGGACACTTAGAAAGAACGCTAAATGACAGAGGAGTGAAGAGGGTACATTACCAAAACCCCAGAGGAAAACAGCCCAAAGACAGACCTAGGCTTAGATGGATGGATGGGTGATACACTAATATTAAAATAGCCTGTCTGAGTTAGAATTGTAATCTACATCCTTTTCCCCATTTTAACCTTTGCTTTTTCCTAAAACATATTTATTAAGCAGTTTTAAAACATCAAAAACTAATTTTAAAAATAAACACTTGCAAGAAATACTTATGACTGACTTACTCATTTGAACTTGAACTTTCATTTCTGTCAGATACAAGCAAAGCATTATTATATTTATGCAATAATTAAAACATGTTAATGTAAAAAGTAAAAAACTTCAATAACATACAAAATTCCTATTAATTAGATATACTGTATTTATTGGCGTATAACACACACTTTTTCTCCCCGAAAATAGGGGGCAAATCATGTGTGCATGTTATAAGCCGATATAATGTTTAGTTTTTTTTCCTGAAATTTCCTTCTTAAATTGAGGTGTGTGTTATTCGCGGGGGCATGTTATACGCCAATAAATAGGGTAGTTTGAATTTCCAGAAGTCAATTAAATTTAAAAAAAAAAAATTTTTAACTTAAAAAAAAAAAAAAAGAAACAAATCATTAAAGGGAGATAACTTACAAAAAATACTTAAAGGGCGAAAATGTTTAGTTTTTTTTCCTGAAATTTCCTTCTTAAATTGAGGTGGTGGTTATTCGCGGGGGCATGTTATACGCCAAAAAATAGGGTAGTTTGAATTTCCAAAAGTCAATTAAATTTAAAAAAAAAAAATTTTTAACTTAAAAAAAAAAAAAAGAAACAAATCATTAAAGGGAGATAACTTACAAAAAATACTTAAAGGGCGAAAACTTACAAAACAGTTGAAGCCAGAGCACCAACATAGTCTTTCACTTGAGACAGGGCTTTTGATATCTTTAAACAAATAAAAGGGGCAGAATGAAACAACAGCAATTCAATAGCACTTGAAACATTTTATTTAAATAATTCTATTAGAAAAGTTTTTATTTCTTTTTTCTAGTATATAAGACTGATGGTATGAACACTTCATGAATTGAGATGATATTGATTATAATTTATTTTATAAATAATATAATGTCTAAAGAAATAAGTAGACTTTTTGGTGGTACAAAACCGTCAAACAGTTTTTAATTGACATTACTTTCTATAGGAGTGGAATGCATTTAACTGATTAACTACCAGATTGAAAAATCTGATGTGGGCGAATTAAAACTAGGTCACATTTTCTAATTTTAAGTGTATGTACAATTTCAGATGCAGTTTTATTAATTATAAACATATTCTAATGATTAATAAACCATTTTGTAGGTAATTAAATTGTCTATAATATAAACTTTAAAAATTTGTAAAGGTAAGTTTTGTTAGGAAATTATTAATTGGTAAATTAGTATTTTCAATAGAAAAACAATAAAAAATATATTGATGTGCCCACTTACAAATACATTTCAAATTTCCTAATCCTTTAAAGCCTTTTATTTGGTGGTTTCGAAATAGTATATCTAATAATAAGTAAAATGAACCAAAGAACACAGAAATTAAAAAATATTTACACGTCCAATCACGTATAAGCCTTTAGTAACCATGTCACTTGTTGCGCGGTAAACATGTACAAGTTTGTAAATAGCTAGGAAATTAAATCAAAACTAATTAACATTTCGTTTTTCAAAACATTCTGCCGATAGCATGGGTTTCAAATATAAACATCTGGTCGGTAAATTAAAATCTCGAAGCAAAACGGGAACGGAATAATAAAAATACTTGACTCGATTTACTACGATATTAACATTGGCGCTACCAGCGGCTCGTGGCCATAACGAAAGAAATGCCGAGCCGCTTTAAGCGGCTCATGGTAGTTGACCAGTTACAGGCTTAGGCTTTGAAAGACATCATTAATACAAGTCTGAGACAAACACTCACTGTGCTTCTAACAGCTGTTTTTACATCTGGTTCAGTGGAATCCTCATTTGACATGTTTATTGTGATTCTCAGATAAAGAAGTTTCCCATCAGAAATTGCTAAATTATTGCAAAATGATATTATCACAATGGTAATTTAAAAAAAAAATATTGTTTTAAAGCTACGACATAAATAATAAATATTTAGTAGTGCAATTTGGTAAATTGCATGTATTTAATTACTTAAACTTACAATTCTTTAAATTATTTTAAAACTCATTATTAGTGGGTATAACGTACACACATATAAAAATATTCCTTTCTAAAAATAGCTCAAATGGTATTGCATAAGCTTTAAAAATTATAAATAAATCATGATGTAGGCCTAATGGTTACCGTTAAATACTTATGCAGACAAAATGATTCTATTTTCATTTAATGTCTGCAAAAACTAGAATAAAACACGATTGTATTTATTAGTCTTAGTTTTGTTAACATTTTTATTTTGTCCTCAACTTACCGACACACTGAGAAATATTTGATGCAGCCCTTATTAAGGTAAACAAATTTCCTGGACAAGAAATGCATTCAGTTTTCCCACTGTCAGGTTGGTAGGAACCGTAAGGACATTGTTGGCAGCTTGCCACGTAGCTCTTAAAGTAACCAGCATTGCAGCCAACTTCACCTTCAAGAATTAATTATGACAGCTTCAACTGATAAATACCACAGCATCACTGAAGTCAAATTACTTTAAAAAAAATTAATTTAATAATTTAGGCATTAAATATTCTAAATTCAATACACTAAACAACATATTATATAGAATCAAAAGGGAATCTTTTGTTTCTTCTTCCATATATTATGGGCCCACAATCAATTTATTGATCATTCTGGCTCAATTTTTTTTTTTACTGTTGTTTGCCAATATAGGCTTTTAGCCTAAAAAACCCCTTTGATTGTATTGTATTTTCTTTCAAGCTGTCAAATATCATGTTCTTACCTCTTTATTGACAGGGATTGAATGCAGTCCTGACTATATTACCGTTTATATTTGACGTTGCCTGTAAAACCAAAACATTACCTCATCTGGGATACACTTTGTTACCAAGAGATCCAACCATTCAATTTTTTAAAAGATGTTTTACAGCTAAAACTCACCTACAACATTTATGGCCAATGAATCACTAGGCTCAGACACTCCTTTCCCATTCTCCACTGTGCATGCATAGTTGCCAGTATCAGAAACTGTTACAGAGAGTAGGGAGAAGAGAAACAAAATCTGGCCACCATCATCAACACTATTCTGTGTGCTGCTAGAAACTGGCTGGCCATTTTTATAAAGCACTGCTTTAAAGGAAGTTGTGCTCAGTGAGAGACAGTAAACTTTAACAGTCCATCCAACAATTACTGTAGTGTCTCTGTAAGTAAAGATTTCTGGTTTCACTGCTCTTGAGCCAACTGTGGTAAAAAATGTATATAATTATATAATATAATTTTATTGCATGATGTTTTCAATCTCTAAAAATATATATAATCTTTAGACTTAGATCTATACTTAAAAACATTTGAACAATGAATACATCACTAAAAGTAATATTACAGGAGATACAACACATTTATGTTTTTTAACATTCTGTAAGAAAATGTGCAATCAGCATTTCAATATTGCAGCATCCTTAAAATTAGTTTAAAAATATAATTTTATTTAACTTTTAAATTACTTAAGATGTAATAAAATCATTTACATTCAAGCAGATAAGCATCACTAGCATCGAGACTCCAAACTCCAGACTTCTGCCTGCATGTGTATCTGCCTTCATCATATTTATTAATATTGCTCAGAATTAGAGTTTTAGACGTTTCCAGAAGAGTAATGCCATTTTTCTGCCAGGTAATGTCAAATCCATTGGACGCATCAAGGGTATTACAGGTAAGTGTTATATTGGTGCCAAGGTCAGGTGATGTAGATGATGAGGTGATATTTGTTTTGACTGCAAAATATATGGGTAAGCATCAAGGAATTGAAAAATTGTCAAGTTAAAAAAATATTCATCAAAATCAATCATTACAACAATATAGAATACAGCCAATTGTTTTTAATACTGAAAACTTTATTCTTTAATATAAAAATATTGAGATTTTAATTAACAAAAAGGAAAAAAAGAAACAAAACTATGTTTAATAAAACTTGCACCCACCTGTTACTTTGACCAAGAGAGGATAACTTCTTACTGAGTCACTAAATCCATTGTTGGTAATGCAAGTGAAGTTGTGTTCCCCTGGTAACAACCCGGTAACTGAAAACTGGCCCCCTGTTTTGTTGGCTCCAACTTGCTGCCCAGCCGAGAACAGTGCGTAGTTGTAGGGTATTGCCATTTTGTAGTTACTCAATTGATACTGAGCAACGGATCTCATCTGTGAGAAACATCTAAACAGCAACAAAAACATAAACAATGAATTGAATGGTACAGAAGCAGATTTCTTAGAAAAGATTTAATATAATCTTATTTATTTTGAAGGATTAAAATATTTCATCACATCTATCGTGCTTTAACTTTACTGCTGGTGTTTTCTTCTCAAAAAGAATATAAAGTAATTTTAATAATTTAAAATCAAATTAGATTTTATTATGTCTTTTTTAAAACAAATGCAATATGAGATGATTCTTTTATTGATCCAAATAAATGTAAATGTTCTTGGATTGCATTGTACACTTTTCATTTTCAGCACATAAATAAATACATATTTTAAAAAAATATTTTTTTTACTATTGTAACAATTTAAACACAAGACATCTAAATTATTTCTCTAATGTAGAAATCTGCCATCAATGAACTCCCCTAGTGACAATAATGACTTGGTAACCGTTTGTATGAAGAAAATTACGGTGTAAGAATATTTATATAGAGGATCTGAGATCATCAATTTATTAGCTTTGCACTATGTAGGTCATCAAAGTGATTTAAAGAAATTAAAATAGGATATTTTTTTAAGTTGATGTTTTGCAGTAAAAAATTAATAAAACACGTAAAATTATTCGACACATTTTTTAGTGGCTGGCTTATCCCCCTTTGTGGTGTTCAGTTTACAAGTCATATTGAAAGTCATGCACTGATGTTATTTTTTTATTGTTTTGACTTCCATATTGAAATTGGCCTTTTTTTTTAAATTGAATTTGTGATTTTTAAAATTATCTTTTAATTCTCAAATCTGGAATATATTTACGCATGTTAATTATTATATTTTAAAATAAGGAATTAGTTTCTATGTTAAGGTAAATTTCAAACTTTGCCAATTTATCATAAAATGCCAGAAAAGAGAAGTTGGTTCAAGGAATTACAAATTTTAAGAGAAATTTAATGTATAGGCCTACAGCTGGTAGAGTATGTTGCATAAAATGTAAGGCATTGACTCACAAAACTTCAACTCATTATAACTTATAGGTTTTAAGGTTAAGTAAATTAATTCTAAGGGGAAATGTCTACTAATCTTTTTACAACTGTAACTAATAGCCAAAAGGAGGCTCGGGATGCCTTTAACTGCTTTGATAACCCATAAGAGTTCAAAATGTCCTACTTTTTTTTTTTTAGCTAGATAGCTAGATTCTTAAAAGATTCAAATAAAAGTCATTGTTATCTTCGTGGAAGTTGGTGAGGGGGTGGGGGGAAGGTATGGTATTGATCATTGGCTTAGCCCATCACCAGCATTATCCACAAGCAACAGAAGGCTAAGACAAGGAAGACATATTACTGTAGATGAACGGTAGCGTCCACACTGAAAGCAATAAACACTGGCCCATCTTCATAGTAGTAATACCGGTTGGATTGACCTACATATGCCGGATCTAATGTCAGCATTGGCTGAAGGGGTGGTCTCACTGTAAATAAAAAAATGTTCCATGTGGCATTCACAATCTGCGCTACAACTAAGATAAAACTGACAGAGAAAATAAACATTTTTAAACAACGTTTATTGATAAATGTAAAAGTGTTGGTTGCTTTACTTGACTTACAACTTATATCCAGAAAATATTTTTCTAGTTTGAAACTTATTGTTTTTTCAAATTGCTTTAAGAATCATTTTGAATGTTTCAGACTTGAAATTCTGAAATTACTAAGTTAAATTAGGAATTAGTAAGAGAATATACAAATGAAATGGTTATCTGAATCAGTGCTAATATGGAATTTAAACAATTATGAGATTAATATATAATAAATTATTTCTTACGGGCAAGAAGGTAAGGATCTGAAACTTGGTCAAACCACATGTCAGTGTAACCACGGTTGGAGCGGTTGGAGTAGCTGCAGGTGTAAACACCGTCATCATCTTCAAGAAGTGAAGCCAGATTCAGAATTTTGCCATTCCTTATTATAGGATTGAAGTCTTTGTTCCAAGAGATTTGTTCATCACCGACAATGCCAGGTACATGGCAGGTCAAGGTCAATGTTTGGCCAATCATTGGATTGGAACTGTTAGCAGATATCCACGGTTTAGGAAGTACTGGAGAAAAAAATTGCATTGTTTAGAGTAAATTAAAAACAAATCGTAAAGAATCATCTTTATTTTAAAACAATTTTGATTTTGAAAGTTTTGATTGTGGAGGGAGGGGGGAGATTTTTGGAGGATTATGAAAAATATCTCATGATTGAGGTGAAATAAGGTGGAAATGAATATCAGAAAGGCTCTTTTTTCAAATATTGTGTTAAAATGTCAATAAGACCTGAAGCTCTATGGATTTTTTGTTACGAATAAGAGAAAGATTGTAATTTAACATTAAGAAAGAAAATATACACGTTTTGGGGGAACAATTATATTAAAATTCTTAGAAAGCTGATGGAATAATGAACTGATAAGATGACCACCAAAAAAAAAAAAAAATTAAAAAAGGAATGAAAAGAAATCAAAGATGGAAGAAAAAAATAGTACAATAAAATGTATGCTATCCTCCATGTCTGAGATCTATCTTAAAATAAAAGGATCATGATTTTTTCTCATAAGTGATATTAAAAGGGAACAAAAAAAAATTATAATAAAAGGGGAAAAGAAAATTTCTTGAGCTTAACAACTATTTATTAAGTTCAGATTGGGAATGCTCCCCTGTAGTATATTTAAAAAAATATTAACGAAACCTCCCTTTAAGATGATCCTTCCCATTCCTACACATTTTTTTAAAAACTAGTGCTGTTTATGTGCACCACATTAGGATAATTAAATTGAATTTGTGAGGCAAGTGGGAAAATGTCTCTTATGAATAATTTTGAGTCTGAAAATGTCATTGGTAAAGTCTTGCTAATAAAATAAATAGGGAATCATTTTGTTTCAATTATATTATTTAAATATAGCTTGTATCATGAAATTACCTAGAGCTCTAGAAATGAATACAGTGATTGTTGGTTCTGATTCACCAAATGAATTTATAGCCGTGCAAGAGTAGTTGCCCTCACTGTCAGGTGTACCAAAGTCCACCGTATAAAATCTCCTAATATTGAACATATTTCCAAACCATATTTCATCTGAAAAAGGTACGTTCGTTACTTCCTTGCCATCTTTGTAGAGTCTAAAATAAACAGAAAAACATTCCCATGAGATTCTCCATTTATAAAAGAAAAAACAACTTGAAACCAAGTAGCCATTTTTTTTAATCTCTTCATACACTAAGCTAATTAAACCACAATTACAAAGAGAGGACAATAATTTCATAAAAGTATTTTATTTTAATACTAGCTATATTTAGTTTTTTTAAATGTATGGTTAGGTGGTTTTAAAAACTTAGTTTCTTAATAAAATGTATGGCTCAAAGGATTTATAAAGAAAGATTCAGATTAAAATGTATGGTCCAGAGGATTTTATTGTTTTTGAACTTACAATTTAAGATAACCATTATAGTATTTCTCACTCAAGTCTATGTGTAGACATTTTAATGTTAGAAAATGGAATCTCCTGCCAAATAATAATACAGATATAAAATAAGAATATTTTATAACACAAAGATTTTTTAAATTACTAAGTTACTTACCTGAATGGACTTTTAATATCAATTAAGAGAGTGTTGACAAAACATTCAAAAGTTGTCAAATTGGTATTTGGAGTACTACCACTGGAAACAGTTTCTCGAACGGCTCTGCTGGGTCGTTCATTGTTAATGACACCACCGTTTGGACCATTTATGCCCGGTGCATTGGGTCTCTCAACTGACAAGAAAAATGAAAGCAAACATGCAGTGGACTTCTTGGCAATGACTGGGAGACTCCTCCATATACAATAATGCAATCAACAGATATACCAGAGTATGTTGAGGCTTAACATATTTGAAAACAACAAATTATATTTCCCCATTCCCTTATTTCACACAATTCATTTGAAACACTCTCTTTATGCACACATACAGAGGCCCCATCCCAGCAAGCTATTTTAAAATCTTCAAGCTTTTTGAAGCCCTGCATTTTAAAAATAATTTTACTCTGTAAAAGTTCATATAAAATGTGAATCTACTAATCGTCTTTATTTCCAAAATTAAATAAAAAAAAAAAAACATGTTGCTTTTATTTCAAACCCATAAAAACTTTGAAAATCATTGACATCAATTATCATTATTAATATAAGAAAACTACATGCATATATACATCTGATCCAGGCTAAAGAGCAAAAAATATGTCCCAAATTAATTGTTAGCTGTATTATAATAATAATAAGCAAGGGTGACATTAAAAACTAATAGCAATGTATGTATGCTGATATTAAAATAATAGATACAATTATGGCCACTCTCTGAGTAGAACAGAATTTATTAATTCCTTTTTGTTGGAATTTTGACACCAATCTAATAAGATTCTACGATTGTAATATCTCAACTTTACACATTTGTCAAGACCGCCTCAACACTCCACATAATGCACACACAAAAATAATGTGTCTATCCCATCCCCTCTCAAGACATACATCGGTTGACTTACAAGCAACAACGTAGTAGTTATCTGATATGATCTCAATTGCGTTGATGTACGCGACGCACGCATACAAGCCCTCATGGCTCTTTGTCAGGGCATCAAAAGACAAAACTTGTCTCCCTTCTATAACAGCTTGTTGGCTTAAGGTGCTGGATCAAAATTTTTTTTTACAAAGGATAACATTTCAGAAACTGGTTGAAAATCAATCAAACTATTTTGAGGGGCATTGAAACATTTTTTTTCAGATAAAGACCTAGTACCAACCCATGATGTCATACTTACATTATTGGTATTGTCTCATTCAAAACTATAGGTTTAAATTTTTTTTTAAATTGAATGCTATCTACCCTATTACTTTTACAAAGAAAATTTGGAATAATTATTTTTCTTTATATAACTCATTTAAATCTTACCAGCCTTCAACACCCCAACCTCTTTGCTTGTAACCAATTTAATACAAACAGACACAAAGTTTTTGTCCATACTTGTAAAAGTGCCAGTTATAAGTTGCATTTGGATTGTGAGACTTCAGTGTACATGTCAATGTAAGGGGCTGGCCAAGAGATGTAAGGACACTGCTTGCAGTAATGACAATTTCATCTGTGGGGAAAAAAACAACAAATACGATTAACATGTTTTTTTTTGTTTTTTTTTATAAGCAACATACAAACCAAGAGGGTTTTTAGAGAATCATGAGCACTGTTTCTAATATCTTTTTAAAGGCAATAAAATAAAATAATCATTTAAAGAAGGAGGCCCATGTTTATTTTACATTGAGATAATTCATTATTAGCTGAAATCCTATGCAGTAGAATGGCCAGTGCTCTATTTTTATCTCATTTAACAACTATTTACTCCATCAAAATCAACGTATTTAAGTCTAATGGATGAGTTTAGCAAAAAAAAAGAACAGTTTCTGCATTTGTTATTTTAGAACAGCGGTTCCTAAATATTTTTTTTTTCTTCTCCTGTAACTCTTGCCTAGACTTTTCATATATGAGTACCCTGCCCCTGCCAACTCCCTTGACCCCCCTCCTACAAAAAGGTTTAAAAATAGATTAGCTATATAAATAATTGAAACAGATCAAGCTATGATAACTTTAGGCTTAAATATTCTATTTCACAAGTTATTTCAATTTCTTTTTCTTTACAAATAACGTAGCTACAACGAATCTCAAAAATAAAGAGGAGAACATCAATAAAAACTATCAACTTTGGCTTAAATACAACAATATGGTGTTCTAATCATTAATTTAATTTCAAAATATGGTTTTTGGATAAAATTTGTTGATAATATACAGGTATAGTTTGAAATATTGCTTCTAGTAAATCTATTGTATCAAGAAAATACACTTAAAAAAAAATAAACAACAGTTTTTCAACAGTATCAATAGAATTTTTATGGTTCTGCGCATACCACCAGCGGTACCAGTACCTCTGGTTGGAACCCTTGTTTCAGAAGAATATGAACTAGCTAAACTCAATTCTTCTGGTTTTTTCAATTACTGGATTGTTAAAAAAAATTTTTTTTAAAACTTTGAGCATCCACAGAGAAAGATCAGGTTTGTTCCACACTTTGAGCAAATAAATAGCCACATACCAAATTCAGTCAGGCTGGCAAAGATAGAGCCTTTAAACATCTTTTCTTACTGTCAAGAATTTTTCTTTTTATAACGCAGCAAGAAAAGATCAAAGCAAAATTTTATAAATGAAGATAAATTAAGAAAAGAGGATTAATTTCCTTTTTTTTCATGTCAGAGGTGCAACAAAGTGTATTTCACACTCATGAGAAAAAGTCAGTTTTAAATAAATTTAATGTGTGACTTTATTAGGAGTTTATTCAGACAAAGATGAAATATGACACATAGTTAGCTTTTACTTTATTTTACTTTAAGTGCAAATTGTGATGAAAGTATCATGACCGACAATGAAAGTATATTATAGTTACATTTATTCAACACTATAAAAGGTCAGTTTGATTTTAACAAAATTATTATCAAACTTTATATAAATCATAGCATTGAGCTGAATCAGTCCTATGAATTTACGGTATTGTGGACTGTGAGAGGTGACAAAAAGTATGGGTGAAATATATTCAGGATGAAATCAGCTCCTGTAAGAGCACGGCATAATTTCAAGATTCGAATAACAAAATGTTTTATGTTAGCCTTAATCTTGAAATTTATTAAATATTTTTAGTTAACTGAATTTTATTGAAGAATGATACATAAAATACTACAGGTATGGAAAAAAAATTAAAATTAACTGCATTAAAATGAAACATTTAAAATCAATGATATCTTCACGGTAAGCCTTTTTACATACTCACTTTGAGCAGGCAGGTAAATGGGTACACTGAAATTTGAGTCCCCCACTTTGTTTGAGGCCACACATGTGTAAGTAACTCCGACACTGACGCCGTTGGCGACATAAAAAGTAGAATTGCTGATTAATTTTGTTGACACCTTGACGCCATTGGCATACAGAGAAACTGTCTCTGCATTGCTGCTGTAACAGTTGAAATTTGTAATGTTTCTGTTGAATGAAATCAAAGTTGGCTGTTTCTCCTTTCTGCTGAAACTGGGGGTATCGGGCACAGCCGCTGCAATCAAACAGCAGAAGAGTAACTGTACAATTTACCAAATAATTACTTGAATGGTAAAAGCAAGGGTATAATGTGTGCAGCCCCAAGATCAAATATTGGTTCAATATTGACATCATATTTATAATATAGGCTCAAATTTTTTGTTCAAGTTTCGTGTAAATTCCCCCTTACCATTCTATTTGCTTCTAACAAGATTTACATTATGTTGTGTTCAGAGTGTTGACCTAATTTTTGCTTCAATGTATAGCTGCAGCATCCACCACTTATCTCCCCACTGTTTTGTTTTGATATGGACGTAAATGATAAAGTGTTTAGTGCTCTACCTTTACCCACCCCTCCCTTGATTGGGAAAAGATTGTTTTTGTTTTAATTTGTTCAAAAGAATGCTAACCAGTGATGTAATTTCTAGAATTTCTTTTCATCCTTATGAATAAGCCTGCAACTTTCCCAGCCGGAAGAGATTTGCTAGATTTCCTACACACAAGACATAGTATGAGCCTTAATAGGTCTGCTGTAAATTAGTATAGTTTTTATTTCTGCATATTTGATTTTGTATAAATTTAATTGTATAATTGAATTAAATATTGTATATATCACTACCATTGGTATAGTTTTTCTTTGTATAATGCTTTTCAGTCCTTTGTTATGTATTTGTTATCTGACGAGCCAAATCTTAAAACATTAAATTTGAAAAACCATATAACAGTACAAAACAGTAGTTTACCTATTTTGTTTTTTTGGTGACATTTGGTTACTAAATCAATGGAAATTTCCTTTTAATTACTTTCATTTTCTTTGACATTTTATCAGTAATTTCAATTACCCAGGTAATTCATCAGATCACATCTCATTTATAAGCAGTGATTTGTATGATTTTTTATTGAAATTTTAGATCAAGGTAAGACTAATTATATTGATGTTAATCCGTAAGCATGAAATCAATTCCACTGTGTCTAATGAAATGTGAAAACATTTTACTCTTGATAAATTATAGTGTTATGGTTTTACATAAATTTAGTTAAAACTAAAAGAAAAATCAATTACCATGAATCATTTTGATTAACAAGTTTAAATTAAGGGCTTATTTTTGAAAGCTAAGAACTACCATACATTGAAGAATTTTTAATTATTTCTTTCTATTCTTCCTTTAGAACCTACCATAAAATTGGAATGTATCAGAAAACATAAAACTGTTGGCAAATTGAACTTTGCAGCGGTATCTGTAGACTGCTTGTGAGTTGAGGACAAGGACATCCAATGTGCTGTTACTGGAAAGTGGGTAGTAAGAATCATAATCCTTGTACCATGTGATAATGCCTCCATCAATGGTTGTAAGACAGAGGAGTGAGTAAATTTGGTTGATAACAGGTGGACCATTGGAAATAGGCACAATCACAGGTCTTTCTGTGGAAAAAAATGTATAATAAAATAAGAAAAGTTTTAAAAAAGGTTAATTTGAAAAAAAATAAATTTCATTGAGGTCTCTTTCAAAGAATATTATGAAATTGTTAAAATGTAGTCCAGAAGACCAGTTTGTGTGTAAGAAAACAAATTAATTGTTCTTGGAGCTGTGGATTTTAATCTGCAAGGATAAAGCGTGCCATTTACATTAGTCACAGCTTGTAGATATCAATTTGCTGCCACAAGATTGACTATTTCTAGTTAATTTCACAAAAAATAATGTAGGTATTCTTTCCCTGTCCTCAGGTGTTAACCACCTGGGGGGGGGGGGGGGGGGGTTGTTCTTTCTTACAGTTACATGAATTGTGCCATTACAATTCTAATAGACCATAATTATTTTTATTTACATTTTTTAAATCTGATGAAGTAGAATTTGTACAGATCTTATTATCAGGGAGATGGCACCAAAATAACTGTGTGTTGCAGATACTAGGGTAAAACATTTGTAAACATTTTATTTTTAAAAATGTATTTCAACGGCCTCAAGTATTTTTCAGCACGCATTAAATCTGCCCATCCAACTTACCAATGAAAGTTACGTTTACGTCATTACTCATTGGTCCAGTGCCATCTGTGCTACTTGCAGAGCATCTGTAAGTACCAGTCACACCATGAGGGAGTAAAAAACTGCAGTCTTGATCATCAACATATCTGCAAATGGTAATAAAGTTTAAACCATTCAAATCAAAATCAGAGCATGGAAAATAAAAGAGTTATAATTTTAATAGCATAAACTGTTTAGTCCTGTCTTGCAGGGTCCTTTCAAGTATACCCAAAAAGTAAATATTTTAATTAATTTTTTTAGTTTCATAAGCAATACTTAAAGTGATTTCTTCAAAATAAATAATGTAGATCAATGACTATATCAACACCCATTTTCAAAAACGACTACTAACACAGGGCCCTGCAAATTTTGTATTTCAATTAACTATGAGTATTTTGGTGTTTTAATATAGCATGTACTTTGAAATGTTTAAGAAACACACAAATTAATTAATTTTTTTTTTTTAAGTCCTACAAGATAGGATCTGAAGTCATAGTTTGAGGACCCTTCTAGCAAACTATCTACTTTCAATAAATTAACATTCCTGAACTGAACTTTGAATGTTTAGATTTTTAAATATATATATATATATATTTTTGTTTAATTTTTTTTTACATTGTAGGAATTTGTCTTGTTTATAAAAATGTGTCGTTTTAAAACTTAAATAATTTTAAAATAAATATAAATTGTGAAATAGCTACCTTATGTCACCAACATATAATGTGCAATACTGTATGTTCCTAAAGTAAGATGTTTGTTGGCAATATATTTGAGGATTCTCATTATATACCCTAATTTGAGACTCTCTGGGTAATGATGTGTCTCCAGGAATCCATGCTGTAAAACAGAGAAGTGTTTTAATCCTATATATTTAATCATTGATATCATAATCATTGACTCAATTATCAGTTGGTCTGATCTATTTTTTTGTTATAATTGAAATTAACACTGTTCTATAGAATTCACTCTTAAATTTATTTGAAATTATTCATGCATGAAACAACCCACTGATGTGGAAACTTTAAATTTTATTTATAACAACTTGCTGACTGAATCTTAGCTTGCTTCTTTTCACTAATCACACTGTTCTAAACAAATTTAAATTTATATATACATACTCAAGGTAAACTAATTTATTATGATTAACAATAGAAAAATACAACTGTGTAAGCTACTGTGGAGGATAAGGAATTTCTGAGTCTCTAATAACTTCCCCAATATGTTATTCTGTGATAGCTCCGACATTGTTTTATACTTTAAAACCATGAACATCATGTCACCAGATTTCATCCAAATAGGTTCCCCTCAGGATTTCTCATATTAATTTTGACTTTTCTAAGTCATTTGAAACATGTCATTCCACCTAACTGAGGAATGACCAATTGTTTTTTGCTGTTTTTTTGGGGGGGGGGAGTGGGGGGTGTTTGTAGTGTGTGTTATTGCGAACATCCTTCCAAAAAATTAAGGGTTTACCAAAAACTGGACCCCAAATGATTTTCTTCTGTGTCTTACTCCCTGCGGGAATCTAACGGTATTAATAGAAATTGTATTTAAATAAAATAACATGAGATAATTTGTTAATAAAGCAGCACCCTGGATGCTTTAAGTTTACCTTCAAAATAAGAAGGTGTTTGGCACTGTCCTTTAACTGATACAAATACTTACATGTGACATTAACAAAAACAGGACTGCTCTGTTCGGACTCTCCTTTTTTGTTAGAGAAAGTGCAGGTGTAATTTCCTGCACTTTTATAAAGTGCATTTTGTGTGTAATATGAATAACCATAGCTTGAATTCTGTTTTGCTATCTTGATGCCATTGTGATACAGAAAAGACCTGTGAAAATGTAAGGTGTTTTCCTTTTTAAAAAGCTAATTGAAAAGAAACATGAACAGTCAACCTATTAAGGCTTTTTGAGGAAATATTAAACTTAACAGGTAAGAAGTGAACAAAGTCTCGACCTTATTGCGTTTTTGTTAAGAATGAGTCATATGGACTGTATCATCTATCAACCCCTTCCCAGCCCAACCAACCAATTTAGAGAAGGAAGTATGTTTGTATAATTATATTTAAAATTTATTTGTATGTTGAAAATTATTACAGGAATAAATTCATTGTCAAACTGAAGAACATGAAAGATTTTTTTATAATTGGAGAGTAACATTGTGTATAAGAAGCCTTCCAATGTAGCTGTAGACAAGAGCCAAAATCTCTCCTATTCCCCCAACCCAGAACAAAAAAACATGGTGTGACAGATTTAGGGATAGGGGATATGGGGGAGGGGATTTGGCAGTTAAGTTGTGAGGCCTATTGAGTAAGAAGGGCAAGTGGGGGTTGAGGGCAAAGAAAATAAAAAATAATTTTACAGTATCTCAACCTTTAACTTCATCCTTTAAGTCAATGGTCCCAAAAACTATTTTCGGAAGGAAACTTTTTTGTGGAAGATAATTTTTCAAAGGACCGGGGTTGGGTGTTTTGTGTTTGATCAAAATGCTTAAAACTCCCACTCTGTGTCTCTGTGCTCCAAGTTCCGGATAGGCCAAGGATAGTTACCGTTGGTTTGGGACCCCTGTTTCAAATAACATATGTTAGTGGAAGATGCAGATGGAGAGCTGGGGAAAAGGTTGAGAAATCATAAAAAAATTAAGGCTACAGCTGTCAACATTACATTTTACTCCTCTTGACCCCAAAAAGGCCAAATAAATTTCTTGTACTGGGTCATATATAGATTAAGTCATGAATTGAGGGGGGAATCTTTGATGATGTGTTATGAAAATGTATCAATTTTGTGCCAATTTTTGACAATAGAGGGAGGAGCGTGGGCTAAAATTGACCAAAACAGAATGATGATATTAACGGATAAAACAAAAATGAATGTATTCTGCCCTTGCATACCATTCAGATCCAAATAATGTTGTTTGATTGGCAGTGCATCTAATGCTCAAGTATGATCCATGGCTTACATTTCCTGGAGAAGCTTCAATAGCAGGGCTTTCAGGAGCAGCAACTAAGAATAGATTGTTAGCAGAACAAAAAAATATTATATTTGTTATTCACACATAAACTAACAAGCTTTTCTGATATGAATAATTCAGAATTATTATGATTGTTCCTATATCAATTTTTTTTAAATATTTGAGGCAAGTATTATTCTGTTTTTATTACTTACACAAAACAAAAAAACCATCACTATTTGAAGAGGTAAATTTATCTAAATATATGTTGAAAGCACATTTATATACTCCAGCATCACTTGATGAGAGATTGGTCTTAATCAGTGTCTGAAGATTAGCACTGCTAAGAACATCATTGTTCCTAGATTTAAATAAAAAAAATAAAAAAATACATTTTAATTTTTTTTTTTTAAGCAAATGTTCAAATAGTTTTAGAGCCGTATAATGGCATGCAATGTCTATGAAATGGTTAAATAATTTTATATTTATGTTTTTAGCATAAATTATGAATAATAATAATCAATAATTTTTGTTGAATACACTGATCACTGATAGTATTGATACCAAAGACCAATGCCTTGATAAAATAAGTATAAGAGATTAGCCTCTATTTACTTTAGATTTAATAAGTAATGACTTTAACTACATTTTCCCTTTATTTACTTTAGATTTTATTTGAGAATTAATGACTTTATTTAATTTAAATATTAAAATACAGTTTCAAGTTACAGCACTTATTATTGTTATTGTCTACTCATACTCAGCTGTACTGTTTTAACCCGTAGGCTGTAGGCCCACTAATTAAATAAATGAGTATTTTATAATAATACTATAATTTATTTAATATAATATAATTATAAGTCTATCAGTATCAGTTTATCGTCTATAACTATTCAATAATATTGGCATTGGCAATATTATTGGTATTTCTTGGCCTTGCCTTCGTTTTAGTTGTCTCTTTTGTGTGTGTGACTTTTGTTTGTTGGACAACAATGTTTTTTTTTTTAAAATTAACAAAGAATAAAGATCAAGTCCAAGTAGGCCGACATTAAAATTGAATATACAGGCATAAATAAATAAAACAAATTTGAAAAAAAAATATAATCATCTTCAAATACTTTTTTCAAAAGAACACCCCTTTAAGACGAGTATTATCAAACAATTGTTTATTTTTTTGGCATATTATTATGTGGTTCGTTATTATGTTGCCTGTTGCAAAATAACGATTTTAATTTTTAAATGGTCTGGTTTAGAATTTTATTATTATTTAAAATGTCATGTTTTCAAATTAGAAGGAAAAAAATGGTCACTATAAATTTTGGGTGGGTGCAGGGCGTGGTATGAAGATGAAAATTAAAAAAAAATATATATTTTTGCTTTAGATATTTTAAACCTAAGTATTGGTAGAAAATTATTAAGATATGGAAAACAGTTAGTATTTTAAAATCGTGGTTAGTGTCAAATTCCTAACATCAAGCACAAGTGGCAAGTGCACATAAACCTAAAAGCGTTTTTAAATAATTATTATTTTTAGTTCGTAATTATTATTTAACTTTGTAATTTACATATTCAATAGGAAAAATGATTATAAACATCAAAAGTAGGTCAATATATCGTATGTTGTTTTTTTAAGAGTCCCAATCATGACAATGTGATTCTGATTATGAAAACTGTAATTTTTAATTTAAATATATATAAGTATAAGTTGTAAAGATAATTATAGTCTTACTTAGTCCAAATATATCCCAGGTTTGATTCTTGGATGTATGTATTGCAGTTCAAGGTCAAATCATCCCCTATTTTGGGGTCAGTATTGATAGATGTAATTACAGGAGCATCTAAAAAATAAACATGAGATGAAATTACAATGTTATTGTTTATTTCGTTATTAAGTTATGGCTGGGAAGACTGCTATCAAGTTGGCTATGTCAGAACACAAAAGAATTTGACCATCAGCTGCTACAAAAAGTGCAGCAAATGAAAATGCTATCACACTTGAATCGGATCCCAAGGGAGTGGGGTTCTGCATGGTTCATGGGATCCGTGATCACCAGTGGCGACGTCATCAAATTTAACATGGCGGGTCCCTTGCAGGTCTTAAAAAAATTTGGCGGGTCCCAAATAAATGTATTAAAAATAAATGACGTTATATTGACTTTTGTTGTCGATAAAAATTTAAACATATAAAGGCATTTAAAATGGAAGTTCTCTTACATGTAATGTAGTTTACGCTTAATGAGCATATATACAATATTAGTAACTAATAAAAATTTACCAGGTCATTTGCCAGGTCCCAAGTTTTTTTACCAGGTCCTGGGACCTGGCGGGACCTGGTGTAGCGGCGCCACTGACCATGGGCTTCCCATTCTATCAATGGCCCTTGTGTCATGAAAGCAACTCCTTGTGTGTGTGGAGCATCTTCCTCCTCATGCCCTGAGTATATTAATGTTTCACTTGAGGTCAATGTTGACTGTCCAGCTTGTGTCCATCTTGTTTCACAAATGCTGAGCAGTATGTTTTCATTTCTGTCGCCACTTGGGCTGATTTTCCTGTCTCATACATGGTCCTAACGCTCCATGAGCCTATACTTATTGCCTTTGAAAGGAGGGGCCTCAGCTTTGTCAGGCTTACAGTATAACCTGGCTGTTGCAGCAAGGCTTCACAACCCTTCTTGGGTGAAGAAGAGCCCTCTCTTATCAGGGTTGAAATTGGTTTTTTTCTTCTTGTTGTTAACGTCTCTGTAGCAGTTAGTTTTTTTGCTGGTGATGCTGAGCTCACGCCAACTCTTCTCCTTTTGCACCCAAGCTTGGGACCGGCCATGGCAGAGTTTAAGATAAATAGTTTATATAAAAATCTTAAAAATTGTCTCATAGGTACAGATACAGGATTAAGTTATGATGAAGTTGTTTTTTTAAGTATCGTTTGAGTATTATCTAATTGAAAGATTGTGCAAACCTATACTTTTTCTTTTCAGATAGTTCATGTGAACCTTAAAAGATGAGTTTTTTGTATCCTCATAAGTCACTGAAGTCTTCATAATTACATTGTAAGTACAAGTTTGAAATTTAAACTAAACTATAAAAACTATTTGAAATAGACTTGCATCAGTTAATATAGTTGTAAAATATTGTTGTAAGTGAAACATTGTCTTCAATAAGGCTTGTTCTTTGTTAAACTAGAAATATTTTTCTTTGGTCCACATAAATTATTATTTACCTGGACATCAATAATCTCATTACCCCGTTTCATTTAATCAGCAGCAGCTTAGTCGAGTTAATTTTAAGATCTTTTGAAGATATCTCATCTCACAACCTCAATTTTCATTTTTAACAGTCACAAAAAACATATTTCATTCTTTAAGCTCTGCATCCTTTATTCCCAACCATTTTCAACTCACTTTCTTTTATCTTCATCACCGGCATGGTTGCCTTATTAATAATTAAACTTCTTTTTTTTTCATTAAGTCATGTCTTTTTTTTAAAGAATATGATTTGTAAAAAGAAACTTTAAAGACATAACACTGTAAGTGTAGAATTTTTTAACATTAAATAATTGATTGACATATTTTTGGGGGTGGGGGATCAAAATAACCCCCAAATTTGACATTTTATTATTTTAAATAGAGTGCTTTCTACTTGACCACAAGAATATCCTATTGTAAGAGTATGATTCTACTCATCTTTCATATTTAGCTATTGGGTTGACCACAAGAATATCCTATTGTAAGAGTATCATTCTATTTAGCCATTTGGGTTCACCACAAGAATATCCTAGTGTAAGAGTATCATTCTACTTATCTTTCATATTTAGCCATTTGGGTGGACCACAAGAATATCCTATTGTAAGAGTTTGATTCTATTCATTTCTTTAATTTTAAAATAGCGCGAACTGCTTATAGGTTTATTAATTATAAAATCTTCTTTTTAAACAAAATTAATATAGATGATTAATCAGGGTATTTCATTATGTAATATAAATAAATTCTTACAAAAAATATACATAATTATACTCATTGCAAATATTGTCTGATCATTAAAATTATATAATGAATGAATGATAATTTTATGACCCCATTTATTGGAATTTGCTTTGTTCAATATCAGCCCATTAAAATTGGCAAAACCCATCTGTGTCACTGTGCTTGGAAAGCCAGCCTGAGGCCACCTTTCAATTCAAAGGTGTGATCTATTTTTAGTGGGGTTGTTTCAGGAGGGGAGCTAAGCATGGGCTAGTCAGCTATTGTTGTGCAAACAGATGTCACATCTTAAGCCATATTGACAAGCTTATTTTGGATAGTCTCCTTTGGTAGAAGGATGGCACTATTTATCATAGTTCAGCTCTTACCTTCTCTTATTTTCTCCTCTGTTTTTTTTTTACTGTGTGAGTGCATAATTTCTGTCAAATTTAATGAGCAACCAGAAGAGATATTTTGTCAGTCAACTACATAGAGTCACTACTTTATCTGACTTGCATAATAAAGTTGACAGTAAAATAATAATAATTTATTGTGAAAGACAAAGTTTTATTTTATATGATTTCTTTATAATTGCTTAGACTTCTTAAGCTAATTTTGTGGTTTAAATTTCTGTATTTAAATTTTTTGACAGAAACTGAGCACTGTGAAGAGGATAAGAATTTTGGTCCTATGTGAATACATTTAAATAAAGGGAGTTTTATTTTGGGTTTGTTATAGCAACAATTTATTAATTAGTTGTGCAGTGAGACACTTTGAAGTTGATAAGCTCTTTAAAACAACAGCATGAGACCAGTTTTTAGAAAGAAAATGGCCTACGCTGCTTGTTTGTGTCTAATCTCTAACTGAATATGGAGCCACTGTAGTATCATGTCATTTCATTGATCTAACAAGTTATCAATGGATTACTCTAATTGGTCTTCATTGTGGTTTGACTGTCTGATAATATAGTCCAAAGAATGCTCAATTCAAATGCTCGACTAGCTTCATGTTTATTATACATTTGTACTCAAATATTTTTTAAAGAATATGGCACAGCCTCAGCTCATAATGGGTTAACTACTCTTGGATTTTCCAAGAATCTTTTTTTCCCCTTTAAAATAATGTTGTCCATGTGTGTTGTGGTTTGGCTCAAAGTGTTGTTGTCCTATGTCATTTAAGACAGGGTGTTTGGTGGATTTAGAAGTGTCTTAACTGTCCTATGTTATTTAAAACATGGTGTTTGGTTGGATTGAGAGTGTCTTAACTGTCCTATGTCATTTAAAACAGGGTGTTTGGTGGATTGAGAAGTGTCTTATCTGTTGTATGTCATTTAAAACATGGTGTTTGGTGGATTGAGAGTGTCTTAACTGTCCTATGTCATTTAAAACAGGGTGTTTGGTGGATTGAGAAGTGTCTTAACTCTACTATGTCATTTCAAACAGGGTGTTTAGTGGATTGAGAAGTGTCTTAACTGTCCTATGTCATTTAAAACAGGGTGTTTAGTGGATTGAGAAGTGTCTTAACTCTACAATGTCATTTAAAACAGGGTGTTTGATGGATGGGAAGTGTCTTAACTGTACATGTAATCTTGGTATAAAGCAAAGCTGCCACCACAATAGTTTATATTATATTAAGCACAGAAGAACTTCAGAGCAATTTTCAACCCCACCAACCATCCCAAGCTATTGTTAGTGAATATTCACAACTTTTTATCTGTATGACTCACAGAGGTTATGATGCACCTCAGAGTTCAGCTTATCTTCTCTCACTCAGTGTGCATGATTTTACTGAACAGTGTCCTGTTAATTAAGCATGAACTTATTGTGCACTGTTTATTAACTAGGTATGCTCGGACTGTGCCCTTTAAAGTTTTTTTTTTTAGGAATCATCTTACTGTGCCCTGTAGTATAATCTATATATGATTTTTATATTAATTTACAAGTTTAGCTAGGATGAGCTTAATATGCCCTGCAATGTAAACCAGATCTTATCTTACTGTACTATGTAGTAGCAACTGGATATGCTCTTCCTGTGTCCTGTGCTTTTTGCTTGTTTGACATCCCACACAGCCGTGCTATGAAGGCCATGCATTATCACAGTTAATTCTAAGCCAGCTGGCCCGATGTTTCCAACCCTGCCTTCAAGCTGTCGCTACCAGTCCATTTATCTATTGTGGGTGGTCATGGTACTTAGTGGTTGAGTGACTAATGTTTAGCCACAGGAGTCTACCACTATCTTACTCTGTTTATCAGTGTTTCAAATAGGGTAATGTTATCAGATAATGCAATAGAAAACTTGTTCTTTACTAAGAATTGAACTGGACGTTTTCTGTGGCAACTCAACACACGTTGGATTAACAGAGTTATCCCTAAACAGTCATGGATTTGGATTTGATCTCATCATACTTACAACTTGTGTATTGATAAAAGTGTGTGAGTTATGTTGTGCAGTGTTTGCATAAAGGCTCTAGTCACATTGCACAAGAAAATGTGATCACTGGACACATTGATACACATAGATCAAGTAAGAAGGAATATCATGAGTTATAGGTGAGCATTTTTCATTCAGAACTCTGAACTATTCACATGGGCAACATTGGTAAAGAAGTCGTTGCATAGTAAGCTTGAAACATTTTTATTTTTACACTTTAACAAAAGTGCCCTGACTGTAAGACAGCCTTAGTTACTTGATACTGAGATTGTTGACTTGGGATAGGTGTGTCTTCATATAAAGGCTAGACATTCAATATGAGGATTTCTCAACCTTGGGGTTACTTATTTTATTGTCAAACATGCACTCATAAAATAATTATCATCCTATTAGCAGACATTCTAACACAGCTCAGTGGTTAAGTCAAGCAGACATTCCAACACAGCTCAGTGGTTAAGTCAAGCAGACATTCCAACACAGCTCAGTGGTTAACTCAAGCAGACATTCTAACACAGCTCAGTGGTTAACTCAAGCAGACATTCCAACACAGCTAAGTGGTTAACTCAAGCAGACATTCCAACACAGCTCAGTGGTTAACTCAAGCAGACATTCTAACACAGCTCAGTGGTTAACTCAAGCAGACATTCTAACACAGCTCAGTGGTTAACTCAAGCAGACATTCCAACACAGCTCAGTGGTTAACTCAAGCAGACATTCCAACACAGCTCAGTGGTTAACTCAAGCAGACATTCTAACACAGCTCAGTGGTTAACTCAAGCAGACATTCCAACACAGCTCAGTGGTTAACTCAAGCAGACATTCCAACACAGCTCAGTGGTTAACTCAAGCAGACATTCTAACACAGCTCAGTGGTTAACTCAAGCAGACATTCCAACACAGCTCAGTGGTTAAGTCAAGCAGACATTCAAACACAGCTCAGTGGTTAACTCAAGCAGACATTCTAACACAGCTCAGTGGTTGTGTCAAGCTGTCATTGCAGCTATGCCTTTTGTCATGTTACTCTTTTTTCTATTTATAACATGTTTGTATCACCTTCTGGCTTAATATGTTATATTAATTTTTGCTATACAGTTTGTGGATCCATTGATTTTATGGAGATCTGGTGTCAGTAACAATGAAAAAAAAATGTTTCAAGGCTCAATAAATGAGAATCAGGGAGTGCTTGTCCTGAACATCTGCCTGCAGGGCTGCCACTCAATTTTTTTTTAGTTCCAAGATTTGGTCAAAACATTTCCCAAGATTTCCCAAGGTCATGAAAATATGATTTTTTTTATTTTTTTTAAAGGATCTTGGGATTTTATTTTTTTAAAAAGTGAGTTTTGGCCCTGAGTGAAGTAGTGAATTCCCAAGATCTTGGGGAATTTCCCAAGGTGTGGCAGCACTGTCTGCCTGACAATAATTCTGAATACTGGAACTTTCAAATGAAGTCAAGGGAACAGTACACCATTTAGCTCAAAAGTGTGTGTGTGTGTTAGTTGTATTGTGTGTGTGTTTGTTGAAAGAGTTTAAAATGTCAAACACCTCCCAGGACAGATTGCTGGGGAGCAAGGGTCTAATGTTTATTTTTTGGAAGAACAATAATTTACAAAAAAATGGTCTATTTTATTTGTAGTCAAAAATGAATTTGAGAAAATGTGGTATTAATAAATAAGCTAAGTGTAGCTTACTTTCTGCAATAAGCAACTATGTGAAATGTTCTGTTTATATGTCTAATGAAATGAATTTTGTATGTTTATATTAGATGTACTGCAAAGTAGTAATGCAATAAAGATGCCTGGGGCGCCTACATATTAATTGCAAAGCCGAATATCAATATGAGGTTAGTGTAAACATCTCAAGCTTACATTTCCAATGCTAAAAACAAAGGCCAATAACACCTGTTAAATCTCAACCAGGCAGACTTGTTCAATAAACAAATCTAGAGGAGATTACTCATATACACTCATTATCTTAGACTACAGGATTGTGAAACATAAAATAAAATAATATATTCAGTTAAATCTTAGGTGTTGAAAAATGTCATTTAATTCAAGGTACACTTTTCTTATTTTTGTCTTAAAATTTTGTTATGTCTAGCCATAAATAGCAGATCATTAGAACTCTATTTAAAAATAGTTGTTTTCCATGCATGAATCTGTATGACAGCTTGTGCAATCAGCTTCCATCAAGGCGTTTTATAAGGGCATTCTCAAGATGATAGTTCGATTCTTTGTCTAATTTTCATTATCTTTGTCAGAAGTTTTTGTATATTCTCATAAAATGATATATTTTATGCTAACAAATCCTTGAAATTAGCTACAAGCCCCAATCTCTCTTCCCCCCCCCCCTCCAAAATTTTTCTCTTTAAAAAAATACTAAAGTATCTCCGTCCCCTGATATCTCTGTCATTTGTCCAAAGTTTTTTTAATTTCTCAAAAAAAGATATATTTTATGCCAACAAATCCTTGAAATTAGCTAACAGCCCCCATCCCCCTTCCCCCCCCCCCCTCCAAAATTTTTCTCTTTAAAAAAATACTAAAGTATCTCCGTCCCCTGATATCTCTGTCCCCAGATTTTTCTGTTCAGATTTTTCAACTTCCAATAAATGTAACCATAAGGATAAGGCTATTCTTTCCATTTTAGCCTGTTGCTGTAATTCTTGGTTTGAATTAACCCTGACAGCATATATTACTTTCAATGTGTGACTCTATACATTTTTTCTCAAAGCTTCTCATTGATGAATGCTGTTTAGTACTCATTTATTCTATCCTATCAATAGCATGTTTCTGTTGTTGGTACCAATATCACTTAAAATGTGGATTATTTCAACGTGAAACACATAAGGACCATTGCATTTTAGTTTAACCCAATGATTATGAATGGTTAAAAAAAAAGTTTTTTTTAAATGTTGTAACAAATATGCTTCTAGAAGTGGTTGTCAGTCAGCCTCATAACTTTCAATCATTTCAAAGTGTGGCACTTAAGATCTTGGGTGTCAGAGTCAGCCTCATAACTTTCATGCATTTCAAAGTGTGTCACTTAAGATCTTGGGTGTCAGAGTCAGCCTCATAACTTTCATGCATTTCAAAGTGTGTCACTTAAGATCTTGGGTGTCAGAGTCAGCCTCATAACTTTCATGCATTTCAAAGTGTGTCACTTAAGATCTTGGGTGTCAGAGTCAGCCTCATAACTTTCATGCATTTCAAAGTGTGTCACTTAAGATCTTGGGTGTCAGAGTCAGCCTCATAACTTTCATGCATTTCAAAGTGTGTCACTTAAGATCTTGGGTGTCAGAGTCAGCCCCATAACTTTCATGCATTTCAAAGTGTGTCACTTAAGATCTTGGGTGTCAGAGTCAGCCTCATAACTTTCATGCATTTCAAAGTGTGTCACTTAAGATCTTGGGTGTCGGAGTCAGCCTCATAACTTTCATGCATTTCAAAGTGTGTCCTTCAGGCTCATGGGGTTCAGCCTCATGGGTGTCACCCTCATTACTTTCATGCATTTCAAAGTTTGCTACATCATATTTTAAAAAAAAACGATGATATAACTATTGTTATTGAAACTTTGATGTGTATAGTTCATATATATTATTACTTTGTTGTTGTAGAACTAAAGCACTTTCAAACTGTTTGTAACTCCAACCTGTCATATCTTAAATATCCAAACACAAATGTCTCAAACCATCTTGCAAAGCTGTTTGTACAGTACCAGCAGTTGGCAAAGATTTCTCTCTCTTTACTGGCAAAACGTTCCTGTTAAGTGAAACACATTCTGTTTATTTGATGGATTGTGTCTCTTAATAAGCAGCTCCTGGTCAAATTAAATGGAATTAAAATATCCTTCTAATGATACACACATGCTGTCCTTGTCTAAGTGATTGCACACATGTGTTGGACAGATCTTTCAAATGGTAACATGTTGTGTGTTTACAAATTCTACCCACATACTGTCATTGACTAACTGATTACACACATGTTGGGAATAATATGGTACACATGTTATGTGTCTTCTTGATGATACACACATGCTGTCATTGTTTAAGTGTCTTCTTGATGATACACACATGCTGTCATTGTTTAAGTGTCTTCTTGATGATACACACATGCTGTCATTGTTTAAGTGTCTTCTTGATGATACACACATGCTGTCATTGTTTAAGTGTCTTCTTGATGATACACACATGCTGTCATTGTTTAAGTGTCTTCTTGATGATACACACATGCTGTCATTGTTTAAGTGTCTTCTTGATGATACACACATGCTGTCATTGTTTAAGTGTCTTCTTGATGATACACACATGCTGTCATTGTTTAAGTGTCTTCTTGATGATACACACATGCTGTCATTGTTTAAGTGTCTTCTTGATGATACACACATGCTGTCATTGTTTAAGGGATTAAAAACATAATTTGGATAAATATGGTAGCATGTTGTGTGTCCTACTGTATGGTAGCATGTTGTGTGTCCTACTGTATGGTAGCATGTTGTGTGTCCTACTGTATGGTAGCATGTTGTGTGTCCTACTGTATGGTAGCATGTTGTGTGTCCTACTGATGCTGTCCTTTTAGTTACAAGATTATTGCTTATAGGTTCCTAATTCCTTCACTTGTTGGTGAACATTACATAGAGCTTACTGCTATAGGTTCCTGATTCCTTCACTTGTTGGTGAACATTACATAGAGCTTACTGCTATAGGTTCCTGATTCCTTCACTTGTTGGTGAACATTACATAGAGCTTACTGCTATAGGTTCCTAATTCCTTCACTTGTTGGTGAACATTACATAGAGCTTACTGTTATAGGTTCCTAATTCCTTCACTTGTTGGTGAACATTACATAGAGCTTACTGCTATAGGTTCCTAATCCCTTCTCTTGTTGGTGAACATTACATAGAGCTTACTGCTATAGGTTCCTAATTCCTTCACTTGTTGGTGAACATTACATAGAGCTTACTGTTATAGGTTCCTAATCCATTCACTTGTTGGTGAACATAACATAGAGCTTACTGCTATAGGTTCCTAATCCCTTCTCTTGTTGGTGAACATAACATAGAGCTTACTGCTATAGATTCCTAATTCCTTCACTTGTTGGTGAACATTACATAGAGCTTACTGTTATAGGTTCCTAATCCATTCACTTGTTGGTGAACATTACATAGAGCTTACTGCTATAGGTTCCTAATTCCTTCACTTGTTGGTGAACATTACATAGAGCGTACTGCTATAGGTTCCTAATTCCTTCACTTGTTGGTGAACATTACATAGAGCTTACTGCTATCGGTTCCTAATCCCTTCTCTTGTTGGTGAACATAACATAGAGCTTACTGCTATAGGTTCCTAATTCCTTCACTTGTTGGTGAACATTACATAGAGCTTACTGCTGTAGGTTCCCAATTCCTTCACTTGTTGGTGAACATAACATAGAGCGTACTGTTATAGGTTCCTAATTCCTTCACTTGTTGGTGAACATAACATAGAGCTTACTGTTATAGGTTCCTAATTCCTTCACTTGTTGGTGAACATAACATAGAGCTTACTGTTATAGGTTCCTATTCCCTTCACTTGTTGGTGAACACAACATAGAGCTTACTGCTGTAGGTTCCCAATTCCTTCACTTGTTGGTGAACATAACATAGAGCGTACTGTTATAGGTTCCTAATTCCTTCACTTGTTGGTGAACATTACATAGAGCTTACTGCTATAGGTTCCTAATCCCTTCTCTTGTTGGTGAACATAACATAGAGCTTACTGCTATAGATTCCTAATTCCTTCACTTGTTGGTGAACATTACATAGAGCTTACTGTTATAGGTTCCTAATCCATTCACTTGTTGGTGAACATTACATAGAGCTTACTGCTATAGGTTCCTAATTCCTTCACTTGTTGGTGAACATTACATAGAGCGTACTGCTATAGGTTCCTAATTCCTTCACTTGTTGGTGAACATTACATAGAGCTTACTGCTATCGGTTCCTAATCCCTTCTCTTGTTGGTGAACATAACATAGAGCTTACTGCTATAGGTTCCTAATTCCTTCACTTGTTGGTGAACATTACATAGAGCTTACTGCTGTAGGTTCCCAATTCCTTCACTTGTTGGTGAACATAACATAGAGCGTACTGTTATAGGTTCCTAATTCCTTCACTTGTTGGTGAACATAACATAGAGCTTACTGTTATAGGTTCCTAATTCCTTCACTTGTTGGTGAACATAACATAGAGCTTACTGTTATAGGTTCCTATTCCCTTCACTTGTTGGTGAACACAACATAGAGCTTACTGCTGTAGGTTCCCAATTCCTTCACTTGTTGGTGAACATAACATAGAGCGTACTGTTATAGGTTCCTAATTCCTTCACTTGTTGGTGAACATTACATAGAGCTTACTTTTATAGGTTCCTAATCCCTTCACTAGTTGGTGAACATAACATAGAGCTTACTGCTGTAGGTTCCCAATTCCTTCACTTGTTGGTGAACATAACATAGAGCGTACTATTATAGGTTCCTTATTCCTTCACTTGTTGGTGAACATTACATAGAGCTTACTGCTATAGGTTCCTAATCCCTTCTCTTGTTGGTGAACATAACATAGAGTGTACTGCTATAGGTTCCTTATTCCTTCACTTGTTGGTGAACATTACATAGAGCTTACTGCTATAGGTTCCTAATCCCTTCTCTTGTTGGTGAACATTACATAGAGCTTGCTGTTACTACTTCCTACTCAACTGTTCTTTTGATTCAATTTGAAAAGATTTGTGTCCACACCGTTGTGTTTCTCTTTTAGGCAAATGGATGACCGGAGGGTGGCTGACTACTTTGTGGTGGCCGGGCTCGATAAAAACAACCAGAAGCTCTTGGACGACGCTCACGGTGATGATGTTAAACCAGCCGGCCGAGACCCCATCACAGACATCACAGTCATCAATAGGTTAGAACAATGGCTGACAGAATAGACTAGAAGAGAGGAATCCTTTTAGAACTATTTCTAAATGGTTTTTAACTGAGTTCAAATAGGAAAGGCTATGGCGAAAAAAACAACTTAAGTGCCTCTCATTTTTCTTTATGAGGCAGTGTTTCCCTAATGAGGGGGGGTGACAATTTCAATCATGAGACATTAAAAAGAATAGTCGATCACTGTCCTGTTTGTTGTTTGTTTATTACAATACAAAAGTATTTCACTGATTATAAGTTCCTTCCTACAATGTTGAATCTGGACTAAGAAGGAAGGAAAATCAAATTCAATCTTCCCAATGGCAGCACCAAATTAGATTAACATTCTCATGTCCCAACCATTTTTACACCACAGATATATTACACCAGGTATTTCCGTAACATAAAGGGAAATATTACACTCCTAATTCACTTGCAGTATTTTTAAGAACCCCGTTAGGCGCAGTTGTATTGAGTTTTATTTTGCATCTGTGAATATAAATGTTGAAAAGCTGGTCTAACCCAATTATTATAAATGGTTTTTAAAAAAAAAATGTAACAAATATGCTTCAAGAAGTTGAGTCCGAATTCAAAATATTTTCTCACTTGAGTTTGTCACTCAAGCTTATTGGTTTCAGCCTCATTACTTTCATGCAGTTCAAAGTTTGTCACTCAAGCTCATGGCAATAACAAAGGAAATCTCTTAAGATTTTTAGTGTTATGTTACTTGTTCTACTTCTATTTGTCTTGTTTGCTGAAGAAGGCTCTGAGCCGAAACGTCCAAATCTTATTGTCCTGTCTATTGATTCAAGTTTAGCATACCTTGTTGTTATATTTCATTGACACAACTTGAATGCAGTCCATCAATTGTTATCTTTTATCGTTGGTAACATTAGTACATAGACTTATGTATTTTGATATGCATTTTAATCAATGAGAATCTTTTGCTCTGAATGCAGGAGTTTAGGTGAAAAAATACCCAAAGGTTATGAGTGTATTGAGCAGACGCCAACAGGGTACCCGGCCAACCTCAATCATGGCAGCTTGCGATGTCCAGACATGTTTATTTGTTTCAGGAGAGGGAGGGACAAACCACCTCTTAAAGACTTGGGGTTAGTACATCTATCATGTCATCTATCTGTAACAGGACTGGGGTTAGTACATCTATCATGTCATCTATCTGTAACAGGACTGGGGTTAGTACATCTATCATGTCATCTATCTGTAACAGGACTGGGTTTAGTACATCTATCATGTCATCTATCTGTAACAGGACTGGGGTTAGTACATCTATCATGTTATCTATCTGTAACAGGACTGGGTTTAGTACATCTATCATGTCATCTATCTGTAACAGGACTGGGTTTAGTACATCTATCATGTCATCTATCTGTAACAGGACTGGGGTTAGTACATCTATCATGTTATCTATCTGTAACAGGACTGGGTTTAGTACATCTATCATGTCATCTATCTGTAACAAGCCTGATTTAGTACATCTATCATGTCATCTATCTGTAACAGGACTGGGGTTAGTACATCTATCATGTTATCTATCTGTAACAGGACTGGGGTTAGTACATCTATCATGTTATCTATCTGTAACAGGACTGGGGTTAGTACATCTATCAGATCATTTACCTGTAACAGGACTAGGGTTAGTACATCTATCATGTCATCTATCTGTAACAGGACTGGGTTTAGTACATCTATCATGTCATCTATCTGTAACAGGACTGGGGTTAGTACATCTATCATGTCATCTATCTGTAACAGGACTGGGGTTAGTACATCTATCATGTTATCTATCTGTAACAGGACTGGGGTTAGTACATCTATCAGATCATTTACCTGTAACAGGACTGGGGTTAGTACATCTATCAGATCATTTACCTGTAACAGGACTGGGGTTTGTACATCTATCAGATCATTTACCTGTAACAGGACTGGGGTTAGTACATCTATCAGATCATTTACCTGTAACAGGACTGGGGTTAGTACATCTATCATGTTATCTATCTGTAACAGGACTGGGGTTAGTACATCTATCAGATCATTTACCTGTAACAGGATTATTGAAAAAATATACAAGTATTTCCTGATTATTGAAATAGAAATTAAGGGGGGGGGGTTAAGGTGCTCTATTTCTTTCCATTAAAACACCACACTAAGCCAAGTCAAGCTTATAAAAACTTAATAATCATTAATAAATATATATCTTAATGTGCCTCAACACCTTAAAAGAGTATTCAATAGATGAAATGACTTCTATCCTCAGTTAATACACAGTGACAGTGGTATATAAAAAAAGGGATAAGAAGTTATTAAAATTAAAAAAACACCAGTTCTTCCTTGAATAAATTAATTAAAATAAGAATATAAACTTGAAATCAGTTTCTTATATCTAAGAAGGTTAGAAGCACACATGAACATTTGTAGAGAACCGATCAACCAGTTGATTGCGCTGAGTTCAATTATAACTACACCAAACTGAGTTGCACACTTATGAAATAGCTGTCCAAATGTGAATCAAACATCTTCTCAATGTGCAGAGTAGCTGTTCAACCAAATGTTAATCAAACATCTTGTCAATGTGCAGAATATTGTATGAAGGAAAGGAACGTGTCATGGAAGGCTGTGAAGTGGTCAGCACAACAATGGAAGGACATCCGGCCAATGTCAACAACAGCAACAGCAGCAGAACATACATCACTTTCAGACGGGCTGAGAAGTCAGCTCCAAGTGATACACTGGTTGTAGTGGATATCTGTATTATTCTAGGAAACAGGGTAAATATCCTAGTTAGAATTTGTTTGCCCCAAAAAAAACAAATTAAAATATTCATGACTTCAGTAGTAGAATTGTTAATTTGCATCTATCGCTTTCATCCTTGACTTTGAGACACACAGTTGTAGCACCTCAGTAGTATTAATAATAATAATAATAAAGTTCATTTCAAAAACACGCTTCATCCCCAAAGGCTCGAAGCGCTGTACAAAGTCAACAAAATACAAATCTATAATTTACCACATTTAAAACAAACGCAACACTACAAAAACTAATTACTAGCATACAATTGCAAAGTCTTTCTAGCCATTTCAACCCCAAGCAACACAGCCATTATGCATTAACTGGAAAATAAGGTTGACAATCATCCCAGAAGGTGTTTGCGAAATAGGTGTGTCTTTAAATTGGTTTTAAAGGACTCCAGTGTCTGGTTGTTTCTGAGATCGACAGGAAGGGCGTTCCAAATTGTTGGACCAGCAAATGCGAAAGTGCGCTTTCCGTAAGTCTCAAGGCAAACACGTGGTGTCGAGAGTTTGCCACTATCGGATGAGCGGAGCTCTCTAGTGGGTACATAAGGCGTAAGCAGCTCTTTCAGATAGGACGGCGCCAGGTTATGTAAGCAGCGGTAGCACAACGTTGCGATTTTGTACTCTATGCGAGGACGCACCGTCAGCCAGTGCAGCTCTCTCAGAAGTGTTTTTGCATGGTCGAACTTGCGTTTGCGGAGAACAATGCGAGCCGCATTATTCTGTGCTATTTGAATTTTATCCAGGAGCGTAGCTGGAAGACCCACCATGAGAGCATTGCAATAGTCCATGCGTGATAGCACAAATGCAGACATCAGCCTCTTTGTTGCATCAATTGTTAGGAAGGGCCTGATGTGACTAATCCTGTTGTGACTAGTAGAATTGTTAACTTGCATCTATCGCTTTCATCCTTGACTTTGAGACACACAGTTGTAGCACCTCAGTAGTAGAATTGTTAACTTGCATCTATCGCTTTCATCTTGACTTTGAGACACACAGTTGTAGCACCTCAGTAGTAGAATTGTTAACTTGCATCTATCGCTTTTATCCTTGACTTTGAGACACACAGTTGTAGCACATAACTAAACTACTGCATGGGTTATTTTATCTTGATAATTAGGAGATAAAATATCAAATTTTAATATTAACCCTTTAACTGCCAAGTGCATTTTTCTGTAGAGTCAAGCCATTTTAAGAATTTCCATATGCTTGTAAAATATGACAAAATCCAATTACTAAATGAATTCAGAGACCCTTACAATTATGCATTTTCTGAAAATAAATTGGACAAGGGATTTTATGGTATGAAAAGAATTTGTTTTAATATTATTTATGTTGATTTTGACCTTGACAGAATGATTAAAGTTTTACTACTCAACTTCTGAATTCAACCAAAACTTAAACTCCATAATTTTTTCAAACTAAAATAAAATCAAGTTTATGAAATACTAGAAGCAATATTCGTTCAGAAAATGTCAAGTTATAGGTAATTATATTGAATATTGTAATATTCGTGAATTTTTTTCATTCATCACCTTCAAATTTCTGACATACAAAGTGCAAGAAGGTAGGGATGAAATGAGTTCAAAAATTCCTTTTTAAAATGAAGTTATTAAATCCATTTAATGCTCCAGAACATACACAAACATGAAGGTCTTTGAAACTCTTTTGGGTAAGTCTTTGGGATCCAATCTTTGTCTTTTCTGTTCGATTTCCACCCTTTCCCTAACGACGTTGTCTGTAACAATATTACTAAGCTTAGGGCTAAAATTGTCCAAATTTAACTCTTGTGTCACCATCACTAATCCATTTTAAATAATAATTCCAATAAAGAAAGTCTGTGTTGATGTTGCATTCTGGTGGGGGGCGCTCTTTCCAGCATAAGCCATTATGGCAAAAAATCTCTCCAGCATAAGCCATTATGGCAAAAAATCTCCCCAGCATAAGCCATTATGGCAAAAAATTGAGCAAATGTCACACCTGATTAATCACAAATCAAGCCCTGATAAAAGCCTCGTTAACACACAGATAGAAAAGTAAACAGGAAGCAGACTCATTTATATAGAGGGATTTCCCCTTAACCAATATACTTTAAAACATTCCTGTCAAATATTTCGTTGTCTAATATATTCCGATGTCAAAAATTCCAGTGTTCTATTATATTCTGATGTCAAATATTCTGTCTAACCTTATGTCAGACTAGTTTGTTTTGGATATAGTCTCTCACTTGGTCACCACACTGACTAGTGTAAGTGTTTTTTATACAGTACGTTTATTTCAATTAACTCAAAGGCTGCAAGGTTCATTGTACACTATGCGTTTATTTCACTGTGCTAAACATCCACTTGGGACACAATGCGTTTATTTCACTGTGCTAAACATCCACTTGGGACACAATGCGTTTATTTCACTGTGCTAAACATCCACTTGGGACACAATGCCTTTATTTCACTGTGCTAAACATCCACTTGGGACACAATGCGTTTATTTCACTGTGCTAAACATCCACTTGGGACACAATGCCTTTATTTCACTGTGCTAAACATCCACTTGGGACACAATGCGTTTATTTCACTGTGCTAAACATCCACTTGGGACACAATGCGTTTATTTCACTGTGCTAAACATCCACTTGGGACACAATGCGTTTATTTCACTGTGCTAAACATCCACTTGGGACACAATGCCTTTATTTCACTGTGCTAAACATCCACTTGGGACACAATGCGTTTATTTCACTGTGCTAAACATCCACTTGGGACACAATGCGTTTATTTCCCTGTGCTAAACATCCACATGGGACACAATGAAGTTGCTTCCTAATTACACCCAGCAGAAAATATTAACCTTAAAAGACTTCAAAGAAAATCTAACCCAAACTATTATCTCTCTCGCTCAAAATCATTCTCTCCCTTTATAACCCCAAAAAAATCCACCCACCCGTCCTTGACATGAAAAGAGTTCACACTAGCTCACTAAACTTACCTGTCAACATCACCACACACACTGCACCTCTGATGCCATGACCTTGACAATTCCCATTTTATTGACAATTTTGCCAGTGGCCAATTATTAATTGGCCTTGTTACCACAGAAAGGGGTTTAATTGGCCGTTCTGAGAGTTTTAGAGTTAGATAAAGTATCCCAGAGATCCTTGAGGAAGGAACTGTCTTATATATTTTTACTTTACATCAGGGTGAAGAGCCACCTCTGACTTTCTTGAAAATATTGAAAAACTTGAACAAGGGCATGGTGAGTAGACAATTATAATTATATTTTGTATATATAATTATAATTATTATTATATGTATAATTAATTATACTTATATTATATTATACCTGATATTGACTTCATGTCAGTAATCAAACAAGAGTTGTTCAAAAATACTAATACATTTCTAAATTATTATAGAAATTATAGACTTATTCTGTGGAGTTGAGTGGTGCATAAGACTATTTTGATGAGCTTGTGTAATGAAGATGTATTGTCACCAGGTCATCTTACCCTTTTAATAATGTTGTACTTTTCAAGTTCGTTTAGAAATTAATATCTCTTAATAATTTTGTTTGTTCACCAACGCATGAATAAATATGAAATAAATATACACACGACTAAAAGAAAATAAATAAACAGAATTGTGAATGATTTGACCTAATACTTGTTCACAGCTGGGCTCAGATGTTTATCTTTGTTACAAGAAAGCTATGGTTAAATCAGATGCTCTGGCTTACAATGCTTGTAAGTACATATGGACACATTAAGCGCCCTTATACATACACAATATAAGTCTGAATGAGTCAGAATCCAGCTCTTGTATATTTTTTTTTTTATTCTCGGGCGTTGGTTATTGTTATTGCCTCATACAAAAGCCTAATTCTCTACCGGTCTGTTTATAATATTTCTGTCTCTTTATCCTCTTGTTACTTCCAACATTTGCACCAGGTGAACCCTGATACCTAAGGCTAAGATTTGTGTGTTTGTTTATCATAATCCTACAGCTGTTCTGGGCCGCTATCCCCTGGAAGATTACAATGAGTTTCCACTGCCGCAGACCGTATCCATGTTCTGTCTGCCCATGGGAGCAACCGTCGAGGTTTGGGCTGCAGGTGCCCAGCACCCGGTTCCCAGCTTTTCAACATTTATATTCACTGGAGCAGGGGGCGAGAAGGTAGATATTGATTGGTGGTTCTTGGTTTAACCTAGACATTGCTTGGTGGTTCTTTGTTTAACCATGGCTTTTTTTATCAATCGATTATAGAAGTTAGGACATATTTTAATTATGAAGGTTGGGATATTTCCTGGGTATTAAATAATGAAGGTAGAGCCATTTCCTGGGTATTTAATTATGAAGGTAAAGCCATTCACTTCATGGGTATTTAATTCAATTGTGCAATGCTGTATATAACTTTTGTTGCTAAAATATTGTAAAACACACAGACCACCCCCAGCCATGACCCAAAATTCCACCAACAATTTGAAGACATCATAGCTTTACAGGGTTTTTAATGGTCAGCTTCAGACACACTTGAGACATCACGGGTCTCAAAAAAATAAGCCATTAAAATGTACACATCTAAGACTAATGGATGTTTCAATAAAATTTTTAAAGTGTTTATGCTAACAATACACACTGGTGTTATTTTATGAACACTGCAAAGTAGCCTCACTGAATGTAAGGAAAGCCACAAGTATGTAAACAATTATATTTTTCTCCCTCTCAGGTGTATGGGGCAGCTGTGAGTTTCTATGAAGAATACAATGAAGAGAACCTGAGTGACCAACAGATGAGATCCTTAGGCTTAAAGAATCGCCAAATTAGGCAGCAGTTACCTATCTTGAAGACGGTTCATGTCAGAAAGGCCATTGCACTACTTTCTCACTGGCCTTTCTTTGATGCCTTCAAAAAATTCCTCTCTCAGCTGTATAAGATTTCCATCACTGGTCCTCACACTGTCCCCATGGAAAGACACATTTCTCATTTTATGTATGATGTCCCCTACCCGTCACCAGAAAGACCCAGAATTCTAGTTCAGCTGACCCATGATTCCCTCTCACTGTGCATGCCGGAAGATTCACCACTACCTCAGAGGTTATCCAACATGCTAGTTATATTTTATTTGTCTCAAATTCTTTATTGATGATGATTATCTTTTATTAAGTGTTGAAATGTCCAATACACAAATTTCTTTTTCTCAGGTCTGTACGCCTGTCATTTATTTGTTAAAAGTGTCAAGTATTAACTTATGTTAACTTATGTTAACTTATATTTAGGTCTTCCAAATAAGAATCTTATGTTTATAGGATGATGGCCCAAATTGTATTTTTAATCATCCTATTTCACAGTGGAGCGTCTTTTATCACTATGTTACGGAATCTTGGTCCTGAGTTAACGATGAATCTTCTGGTGTTTGTTCTGCTAGAGACCAAAATTTTGCTGCATTCACTTCGGCCTACTGTTTTAACAGAAGTCGCTGAGGCTGTATCCACTGTAAGTGTCCACTCAAATTTCTGGCTAAAGAATTCATGTTCTAAACATAACGTTGCACCAACTTATGTGACTAATGAAAGTATTTTTTCTTTCCAGATGATCTTCCCATTCCACTGGCAGTGCCCTTACATCCCCCTGTGTCCACTGGGGCTCTCAGATGTACTCAATGCTCCATGTCCATTTATTGTTGGTGGGTGCAGCTTATACAAGAGATAATTAATTCAGATTACTTTTTGATTGCGCCACAGAAGGCGGGTTTTTTAAACTACACTTGAAATTCATGATATTGACTTTTCATTTAATAAACAATTAAATGAAGTAAGTTGAAACAAAGAAGTCTACATTGTAAGTGGATTTATGTCGTGAATTGATAAATCATTAAATTGAGTTCATATTTGAGATTTTTTAACAGCTCTCCTGGTTTAGTCAAAGCGGCTGATATTCTTGTATTGATTAAATTGTGTGCTGCTGAAGAGATTACTTTTGAGTCATTTTAATAAATTGAATATTGATTCTTGTTCAGGTGTTGATTCTCGCTACTTTGACCTCTATGATCCACCACCAGATGTTGTCTGTGTCGACCTAGATACCAGCAGAATTTCTCAGTAAGCTATTGCTAGTAACTTTGAAGAATTTATAAGACTGTTGGACTGCGATAAAGCTTTAAAATAGATTGATTAGACATAAACAATTTGTGTCTATATTACAATGCATGTTAAGCTTTAATAATATTTTTACATAATACACAAATAGACATTTCGGCACATGCCTTCATCAGTACAACAACGAAACATTTAAATAAGTATATATTAAATTTACATAATATATATATATATATAAATATATCCTACCTAAAAAAAGAGAAAAATAGGAGTTGGCACAAAAACGAGACAGAAACAAAGTAAAGAAGAATGGAAAGGAAGTGACTTGGAGTAAAATGTAAAAAACCAAACAGGAAAAAGACGTGGCAGTTACGTAAAATTGTGGACTTGGTTTATCCCGTATGGAGTCAACGTACCAAATCTTGTTATTAATTTATTCTCCATATAGACCCTATCAGGTGTATTACATGTATACAGTATACCAGTAACTGCAATGTCTGAAATTCCATCATGGTTAGTTCTATTGAAATGTTTGGAGACCGGACAGAGAGCCTGTTTATTTATGTTATAGAGGTGTTCTCTAAACTGATTTCCAAGGCTACAACCTGTCGCTCCTACGTATAATTTTACCGCACTTTTTACAAAGGATGGTGTAAATCACGTTGCGACTTGTGCAGGTAAAGCCATCTTTTATTCTGAATATTTCCAGAGGTAAAGTGATTTTATCAACTTCAATCACGTTGGACATGTGTTACAATGGCTACAGTTGCAAATTTTGGTGTCTTTATGTGCTTCAATAGCAGGGAGGTGGCTTCTGACTAGCATGTCCGTAAAGCTTAACATAATTGCTATATTGACACAGATAGTTTGTGTCTAATTAATCTATTTTGAAGAATTTAGAGTTTTTAAAAAAAAATCAGTATCATTGTGTCAGGTAGCATACATGAAATTTTATATAAACTCTACTTGATCATACAGAAGTTATACTGTCATTGACGTGATTATATTTTATCAGTAGCCCAGCAGTAGGCTTCTACCCTCAAGAGACTGTTCACTCTGTCACTCTGAAAGAACACGTATTTGAATAATTATTTGTTTTTCTTTCAACAGACCTGAAGATAAAAAGTCTATAAGTTTTAAACTTTTGCCAAAGGTCAGTTGGTCATTTATGACATTAACTTTAAAAAAAATTACTCCTAATTAAACATTAAATATGTTGTTCAGAATTATTCAAGATGTGTAGGCTTGCAAAATTATTAGATTAATTGCAGATGACATAATATTTTGTCCACGTTTCAGACTTATTCCAAAGGAATGGTTGTATTACAATTTATGCATATTTTAATGAATTGTCAAAATAACTATAAAAATATGTTTGTTTTAAGATAAAAATGTTTACTTGATCAGAAGCCAACGCGAGTAATGCAGGAATGTCTGTCCAGACTTTATGAGAGGGCCAGTCAGCCCAATGTACAGAAGCAAGCCAGTGATGAGGTATCACTAGAGATGACTCACTTTGACCTGGACTTTAGAAGGAAGAAACAAGATGTGAGTCTGGAGAGTTCATTCTTCATGTGTTAATAACAGGTTTATTCACCCAGTTTTATTTAACAACTATTCTCATATTTTTTTTTGTCCAACCAAGATTGCTCAGTGTGTCATATACCTTTATTCTTATCTATTGCCAGATGCAGCTAGAATTAGCCATTCAAGAGGTGTTCCTCAGATTCACCGCCAGTCTACTGAAAGATTACAAGAATTTCCTCAATCCTATCACCAAGCAGCCCAATAGCCGTACCACAGATGCCTCATCCTTGTTTGATATGCAAGGTCAGTCGGGTCAACATTCAAAATAACTCACCATGTCTTTTTTTATAAATTTCAAAAGATTCACTCAATCATCCCAATCAGTTAGTTAAAGAATAATGGCTGTTGAATCTCTTGTTAACATATGAGAGGCTAATAATAACATTTAAAAAAATAATTTTTAAGCACCAAAATAATAGCAATGAAAGACTCAAATTGAAAGGACATTGAATAGTTCTCCAGACCTTGGTGTATATAAGATCAGATTCTGAATTCACTAACCCCAAAAGTTTCTGTTGTGTCTTTTCAGCATCATAGCATTTCATTTCTTAAATAAAAAAGTTGATGGTTTAATAAATACAAGATAACAGAAGGACCAATTGATAAATTTGGAGCAATGAAGATATTCACTGACCATGGCTAAACTAAGCAAACATGATAGAAGAAGCTAAAATGGGCAGTACGATGTAACCTCAGATAACAAATGCCCAATTTAACAAAAAAAATCAGTCACCAATGTTCGTCTCTGTTAACGAATGATACATTGGGGTATGAAAGTGTCAGCATATGCCCGTACAGACAATCCTACGGGCTGGGCAGTGCTTTGGGGCATTAGCATTAAACACCATGTCCCAGTGCAGTGTTACAAAACACTACTGACTTTTTGTTAACTCTGCACTCTTTGTGTTATGTTGACCCTCATTATTGCACCTAAAGAAAAATGTGTTATAGACAGGAACCATGTTAGTGTGGAAGTAAAGAAAGAAATTATTTTAGAACATAAATGACAGTAGTGGTGTATTTACTTATTAAGGATGTTTTAATTTCATTTGATTCTTTTCATTAAAACACATACAAATGTCAATGTACATTGCTAAGACTAGAACAGATTCATGAAGTTACATGGATTTCAAAGGGAACAATTATTTCGGTTAGCCAATGTTTCGTAGTCACGGAATGAATAAATTTTGTAATCCAAGGTTCCACCATATTTTTAGAGATATTAAAGTTATTTTACCATATTTTTCACAGCCCACATCCTTCTATAGAGTGTGGCTGCTTGGGCACAAACATGGTATTCATCTAATGTTCCATTTTTCCAAATTTTAGTTTAGCCTTTTTGTATAGTCATTATAAAAGACATATTCTTTCCTTTCATTAGGTTTCCTAAAAAGTCGAGACAAAACCAACACCAAATTTTTCTCCCAAATGATGCGTACACAAATGTTCTTCCGCTTCATAGAAGAAAGATCATTTGTATCAGACAAGGATGCCAGTCTGGCTTTCTTTGATGAATGTGCCGAGAAGGTCAGGGTCTACTCATCTAGTTTATAGTGTATTACATTTGATCAGTCGCCTGGTTTTCTAACAAGTATAATGTTTAAACTTTTATTGTATCAAAGCTCATTTTAAATATTAGTGATGTATTTAGTTAAAAATAAATTATGGCACATTTCAAACATTGTTGCAGGTGGATGAGTCAAGGGAAGAACCAAGACTCATCGACATTGACAACAGTCAAATGAGGTAAACGGTGGCAATGTGACACTAAAGATAGTTATTAGTCTTGCATACTTGGTCATGTAAGTCAATAGACTTGGTCATGTAAGTCAATAGACTTGCTAAGAAAACAAAAACAGAAATGTGATGATGAAGGCTTCCTGCCGACTCGTTCGTTGTTTTGTTGCGTTCCTTTTTTTTTTCAGGTTTTCCCCATACTTTTTCTTACTCATTTCCTTTTGCAGAAACTTAATAAATTCGGGTCAGGTAGAAAGCTTTTATTATTATTTTAATTTTTGGGACTAATTTGAACATTGTTGTCTGTTCTAGTGAGAGAACTGTCTTCATTATGCCACCAGAACCAGTAGGCCTACCAGAGGGAGTCAAGTACAGGTACGTTTCAACTTAGCAAATTATCAAACTCCGCATGTGAGCAAAGCCAACTCATAAAGTGTGGAGTGTGGGTCAGGTTGAGGCGTTCCTTCATCAACACACTCACTATTAGTTCACATAATGTACCTGAACATTTACAATGTTCAATCAGTTACAATCTACATATAGCACTGAGTGATTCACAATGTACCTGAACATTTACCATTTTCAATGAATTACAAGTTACATATAGCACAGAGTCATTAGTTAAAGTTATCTTACTGCTCAATTATCACATTTGTTTCCATTTCTGAATCTTGGTGGTGAGACTGAAATGCTGACAACATCTGCGGTACAAGAAAGAATATACATTTACAATCACGTTTCCTTAAGGAAATTTTTAATCAGGATTTCAGAGTTAGAGTCTTTGATTTTAACTTGACAATTTACTCAAAAATTTCTCGAACCCCAAATTAAATATGTTTTAAAATGCAGTTTGTAAGAATGAATATTTTTATTTTATTTTTTTAATGTTGATAATTAGCCATCACTATGCATTTCTCTAACATACAAATATCTCCTTACTAGCTTTTCTGATTTATTTTCTGTTGCAGTTTATTAGTTATTTGATAATCTTTATTACACTGTTTTGTTTCATCTCACATCTATGACATATTTATTGATCTCAACTATTAGCTATGGCAAGTGCCTTTTTTTTTTTTACTATTGTAAGTAAGATTTTAACTTCTGTGATAATATCTGATCCCACAGCTACAATGGATTTCCTGAACTGAAGCAGGAGCTTTTCCTGACCAAGAAGAAATCGGTTTTAAACATCCCAAGCAAACAGCTGTGTCCCAACAGCCCACTCGCCCGCAGAACCAAGCAAGAAGTCAAGTCTGCCCAAAAGGTCAATTGAAATATGCATTAGAGTTTGTATGAATCATGATGGTGTGTCGATAACTAAATGCTAATAATTATAAGATTTGTTTGCATAAATCATGAAAAGTATTCGATAACTTACTTCAATAACTGACCTCAATAACTGACCTCTAGTTATGATTTTTTTAGCCATATTTCAATTAAGAATGGAACCCTTTTCTTCCAAGCATACTTCAAGCTTGTATCTTAGTGTACCTCAGTAATTGTTTTGACAAAGTTTTCATGTGTGACGACCCTTCTAACATGGCCGCCATTAATTGGACATTGTCTATGACCCTTCTAACATGGCCGCCATTAATTGGACATTGTCTATGACCCTTCTAACATGGCCGCCATTAATTGGACATTGTCTATGACCCTTCTAACATGGCCACCATTAATTGGACATTGTCTACATTTCATGCTTTGTATTATATTAATTGGTAAACATCCCTGTCTTGTTTACAACAGGTTGCCCAGCAACAGGTTGGAAATCCTGAAACCTGGGCTAAGTAAGTATACTACTTATTATAGGTTGCTCAGCAAATATTTAGTCAAGTAATTGCAAATGTAGTCATCAGACCATAGAGGTGTTGTCAACCAGCTTTCACTCTTGTCAAAGGTCATAATCATTTCATAATCTTAAATACGTGTTTGTTCAAGTTTGTCTTTTTACCATATTTCTTGCACATGTAAGGTACATTGTTTTTGTTCCAAATCAATCAGTTATTGTTTTATAAAAACCACTATATGTTTTAGTTATCTTCCAAAGGATATTAAGTAGCCGACTCAGTGATATAACAAAGTATAAAATGCTGTACCATGTTAAATGTTTTAAACTGTGTTCCCATTGAGGGAATAGGTGGTCTTCTTTAGGGGACTAATTATGCCCCTTGTATTTTGGTTAGTGGCTCAAATTCCGTTAAGGAAAGTCATTGTTTTGACCGGACTAGTCGTTGGATGGGGTTACTTTAAGTGATGGGCAGGGGCCAGGAGATATTTATTGACCTCTGACCCAATGTAGATTTGTCTAAAACACTTTTACAGATGCCTGTTGAGCTACTGCTACAGTCTGTGGTTTGTTGTGTTTCCGGCCTATGTACAAGCCCAGCCTAAGAAGCTAGATGTCTTGAAAGTTGGCTTCTTTGTCATGAAGCAGATGCAAGCTGCAAAACTTATCACAGTAGATGAGGTGACACAGTTAACTTTGGATATTTGTGTTTTGTTTTATTTGTTAACAAGTGCAAACATTTGTAAAGTAATGCTCAAATTCATAATAATTTCTCAAATCTGTTGTCAAATCGATGGATTTATTATGCAATAAATAATGCAGAAGTTTGATATATTAAACAATTGGTTCTAGCATGTTTTATTTCATATGTAATGAAATTAGATGAGATTCTATCATGTGGTAGATTAGTGCACAGGTTTGATCATAGATTGGCTAGCATTTTAGTCTGTGCTCAGTCCTCTGTGTCTCGTACTACAGCTTGATATTTTCTTATCTTTTAAAGAGTTTTTTTAAAAACACTTTAACTTAGTATTCACTATAACACATAGTGCAAATATTTCATATTATTTAAAAGTTGAAAATTCACATGAGTGTGGTGGATATAACGGTTTGTTTACTTTGATTGTTCATCTATTTCAGCTGTGTTATCGTGTGCTCATGCAGCTTGCGGGTCAGTACAATAAGCCAGGCCTGGCCGTCCAAGTATTCTCACAAATGAAAAAACATGGTGTCCAACCAAATGCTATCACCTATGGCTACTATAATAAAGTATGTACCTTGAATTTCATAATAATAATCACATAGAATGGCAGAATTTTATACGTGGTATTAAATACAGGTGAAAATAAATAACCTGTAAAAGTTTTAACAATTTAATATGCACGTATTGTCATATTCAACTGACCGGTTATTAGCATAGGCTTGGATAATTAACAATAGTGTAGGCTTGGATAATTAACAATACCCTAATGTCTGTCCTGTGTAAGTTTCTTGATACAAGTTTTAAAGCTCTTTTATAGGTTATCATTAATTATTTGCCATCATCTGGTGAGCAGATATTGCCCTGAGCTTAGTGATGCGTTCACTCTTGACTTCTTATCTTATTTTTTTCATGAAAGCTTATTTCTGCTACTTCTTGAGTCCTTATACTTCTCTTGTACAGCTTGATCAAGTGAACAATCGCAATTTATATTTAAAAGGTGATGCTTGAGGCCATCTGGCCATCTCCCCAGTCCAAAGGGCGTCTGAGGTGGTTGAAAATTCGCAATGTCATTATTGGAGTGGCCCAGTTCCGAAGAGCCGTGCGACGCCGAAGTATCTCTGTGTACTCCAACTCCGGCAGTGAGTTTGATCAGATAAGTCACGCGAGCACGGACAGTTATCTGGGGGACTCCCAGACGCAAGCCAGGCTGGATGCCGCCAAGACGGACACCACTTCATCCGTGGTGAGGGAGGCCGGTCAAGTTATGGATGACGTGCTCAACAAGAATAATGGCAGCTTAGAGGAGAGGATGAGCACAGGTTAGTGTGGCTTGGTTAGGTTTTTGATGCATAAAACAAAGTATTTTAGAGAAAGTATTTATTCACTGTCACATTTCACTTGTGGAGAAAGTATTCACCTTATTTCACCAATGGCAACAATTCCTTGTATAAATTCCATATCATTTTATCTAGGGTACTAAAATATAGCAATGAAATGTTGTATAATTCAATATGCATTTATAATATAGAAATGACTTTCCAAGTTCATGTAAATCTGTTGTGTATTTGGGTTTTCCCTTATAACCTATAGTGGTATGTTTCTGATGTGCAGGGGGTGTATCAGACAGGGGTTACAATTCCATGACACAGGAAGATGTCAAACGGCTGTCACAAATTGTCATATCTACCAGTGACAATGGCAACACAAGCTCCTCCCCAGCCAGTGACAACAAGTCAAAGCTGGATGCCTGGAACCCTCTCAACTTCCTGGTGGGTGGCACCGCCAAGGCAAGGCCGCACTCTGACAAGGTCAAGAAAGGTGGGTTGATGATGGCATCCTTTTTGCTATTATTTTTTATAAATACTAAGATTATTTAATCGGACCCCATGTTGTGTCCCGTTCGTAATTTTGTGCACTGTTAATCCATAATGTTGTAATATTTGTTGTGTAGAGGTGCACATCATGGAAGACAAGTGGAGACATCACGGCCACAGACCACGCGTGGGCAGTATTGTCAAACGCTCTGTCAGTTCTGCACCGTCCACCCTTGTGGATGATTTTGATAAGCTGAAAAGCTCCTTATGTAAGTGAGATTTCTTCCTCTCCTTAGACCAAAGCTGGCAAAACCAATCCACTGCCATAACTGCCGCCTCAATCTATTCAAAGTTATTGACAGTGGAATACCTGCTGGGTTGTCACAAATAAATGTTAAATTTCTGGGCTGTGTTGTACAAATAAATGCAAAATGTGTGGGCTGGATTATCAAAAATATTAATTTTTATTACTCTAGGATAAATATTTATCAAAATTGTTTTAAATTATTCATACTTTATTGCTTGCCACAAGCTTCATAATTTACTTCATATTAAAATAATGAACAAATTTGATACCATCATATCTCTGTGCACTTTTACAGTAAACAATGCATGTGGATTGGTGATACTCAGCAAGGCTTGTATAGAGAGGGGCTCCTTTTTGCCGGACACCGACTTACGCCTTCAGGTAGAGGAAGCTAAGCGACGCAGACACCGCAGTGCCGGCGAAGGCCCCAAACCATCCCGGTCCATGAGTCTGTTTGCAAGCTGGCGGCCACCACGGTTAAATGGCTCCAGCAACGACACGGATGAACAGACGAAGCTGATATTAAACTTCTCGGAGCTGATGAAAAAGGAGGAAGAGGGGGTCATTGATGCAAGTTCCCTTTCCAGTAAACAAAACACCGAGTCAGTTTTTGAACCTTCTGGTGATGTTGTGTCTGGCGGTGATGCTGGCAATACTTGTGTGCAATCTGTTTCTAATGTCAATGGACTTCCGACAAGCTCCCACCATTCCTCCCACCCGCCTGAAACTAACGGTAGCCTGAGCACGAGCTCTCCGTTATTGACTATTGATGAGTCTGATCACCTTCTTGATTCCACACCTACTGTATATTTAGAGGGTGGACCGGTGGTCAAGAACCCACTGCAAGAGTCATCCGCTGTGGGGGATTCATCCAATTCCTCTAGTCATCAGTCAAAATCCAAAGGTCTAACTAAACCATCACCACCTGGACAGCAAGTAACAACCAGTAAAACCCAATCCGCTGACACTGACACTTGTTCACCCGGTGACATACTCCCAACAACTGATGCGTCTACTAATGGAGTAACTGATGTCAACCGCCGAGAAATTCGCAGATCCGTGTCGATTCCTGAGGACAGACTCAGTGGTCAGTTCAATGAGTCCTCTATCAAGCAATCTTTGAGTGAGACTGGTAATACCCTCAACTCCCCCAGAGTTGACCAAAAGACACCAGTCAAAACACCGGTCAAAGCACCAGTCAAACATATCTCAGAAGATTCCCAATCCATCAACTCCCTCTCCGACTCCAAGAAAGAGGGACCCAGTGATTTTGTCTTGAGACGGACTCAGAGTTTGAAAAAAACGAATGAAACCATCGGCAGTTTCCTCAAATTTGCATCAAAGGCGGCATTCACAAAACTGAATGAGCTGAAACAGACTATAACCACCCCAATAAAAAATGGCTCCCTGGGCTCTCTCGGGTCATTGAGTCAGTCGGTGGAGGAGCTCGAAGGCAACGATGGGAGCAGTACAAGCGGCACCATCCGAGAGAGGCTACGTCATGGAGGCAGCCAGGAGTTGTTGAGTCCAAGTGAAGAGAGTGATACGGAGGATACAGACAAGAGAATGTCTGGGGTGTCATTTGGTAAGTAGCTAGAGGTGGCTCCTTGACAGCTGTGTGGCTCATTGACAGCTATGTGGAACCAAGCATGTACTTACTTTAGGGACAATTTAATTTTCAAGTGTTTAACTTTTAATGACAGCTAAAATGCACATGTTAAATGGGAGCTGATCAAGAAACAGTGGATGCCAATCCTGATTAAACTAAATCATTCGACCCCACCGTACTTCATACATGTCAACTCCTAAGTCTTCTTGGATTGATTATATTCGTCAAGTTCTTTTCACACGTTGAATGTGTTGTGCTATTCCTACTATCACTGAACAAACTCAACTCCTTTTCATAATAATTATAACTTTAATGTCTAAGTAAATATTACACACATAACACGTGAATATAGAGCAGCTGGCTATCAGACATAAATAATACACATCCTACCACTTCAAAGTTCCACTCAAGACTGCCGCACGACTAAAACATATGTCACTGGAGTCACAATACTGTATAGACAATACGTCACGAATCAGCATAAAAATATGTCATAGAGACAATGGCGGGAAGAGCGTTCACTAACTATAAGAGTCAAGCTCGAGAAAAGCGTTCAACAACTAATGAACATAATATTCAGTCGCAACAATTACTAATGAACTCCCATACTTGACAGGTGTGAATTTAATTTCTTTGTCAAATTTAAAACTTTGAAGTTGAAATTTACTTGACACTTAAACTTGTTTGTATTAATCTTATTTTAGTGCAGCAATAATTTGTGTGCGTCTCTTGAGTAGTAGATGGGACGTCCCTGTTTGTGTGTTTTTGTTTTTTTATTTAAATCATTTATAGCAACCTTTAACCACTTCATTACCGCAGGGTTTTGGCATCGATTTTTGCCGACTCAGCAACAAAAAACTTTGCGGTGAAATTTTCGGTATATTTCATTCTCTATCCGATTCGCTTTTTAACTTCTATATTGATTAACTAATAAGGAAATATATAGCATTGAAATTTGACGTCGACGTGACGTCCTGCGGTATTTCAGAAAAGTTTAAAATTTTTGTTATGACGTCGATGTGACGTCCTTGGTAATTGAAAGTGAGTGATCATGACGTTGACGTCGACGTCATCGGTAATGAAGTGGTTCAACTACTGTGATGACACAATGTTCCTGGTTGGATTATTGAGCATTCTTGTTATTTTTTCCCGCATCACTCTTCGGTCTCTCCTCCTTATTCAGCTCAAACATGTGTGTGACTAAACCTTAACACCTCTGAGCCACCTAACAGAAATAATAGAGAGTAGTCAGGATAGGCTACTTTTAGTGCATTAGAAATGAGCCAAAATGATGATTGAGGTGATGGGAGTTTACTGTTAAAATGTCAGCTTTCATCACACAAGATTAATGCAGATATTTTCCATACCACGGCTGCTGAGGAATAACGCAAGTCAACACATTAAACAGCCTTGTAAATTTGCTCAAATAAAAATTTCCCTTCATCGTAATTCCACAAAAAAATTGATATATCAGCTACATCTTTTTGCTCTTCAAGTGTAATGGAAAAACATTCAAACTCTCTGTCATCGCTTTTCATTCGGGACACAATATTGCATTGTGGATCTTCTACTTTATGAGCAACTGCCCAAATTCTATTAGTCTTAAATGAGTCTTTTTTTTTTCTTCTTCAGAATAATTTCTTCAGCAGTTGAAAGAAGACAAGACATGATTTAATTAACACATTCTCGGTGAACGGTTTCCCTTGTTGGGCTAAAAAGTGAAACACCTAGAAACATGCTCTTGCCGCTGCTCAGTTGTCAGCTTTCTTCTTCCTAAATAGAAACTGCTATGAGGACAAGTTGCGCTACAAACTTTTGATGTTGTCAGAACTGAGAATATATTGACGAATAATTAGTTTGATAATGTTGTCTGTGAATGTTGTCATCTTTTAGCGCAGCCAACGTCGTGTTGCATATTAAACAGATCACTTTGTTACCTGATTCAAAAAACAAAGTCGGCCACACCCCATTTTTCTTATGAAACACTGCATTCCCTTTCAATGTGTCTCTTCTCTCCTTGTCCTAACATTAAAGTGGGAAACTCCAAGTTTGAAGGCTCCAATCAAAAGAAGAACTGACATACAAAACTGCTGTGCAGGGAGTACACAGCTGAGATGGTAATAAACGCGGCTCTGCCGGAGCAGAGAGAAATAGATCAACTTTAATCAACACTGCACAATACATATTGGCTTGAACTTCAAATCCACATTCATAAAATTTGAGACGAAAACTCCATTTTATTTATACTAACTTAGAACTATTTTCCATGGGTGAAATGTTAAAATAACAAGAAGAAACTGATTCTTCCGGGTGGGTAATCTCCTAAATACTGTTTTGACACAGATGTCCATCAATGATTGTACTGAACCTTAGACGTTATATTGTTGCGAGTGTACAAGCTGACAACCCATAATATGTCTTGTTTATTTCAGAGAGTGCTCCGTCTCCATCCTACCTTGACGATTATAACAGGTTTAAGGATGGCACTTGTAGCATAGCCACTGCAATAAGTTCATCATCTGAGAAGTTGGACGACGTCATCAAAGTAAGGCTTTGTTCTTTGTCACAAGCTCCACCATTGGGTTATGGTCAGGATTAAGCCATACAAACTAGTTTTATTTATGTCACATACAATTAGCATGCACCCAGTCAAACCAATTCTCCTCAATAAATTGCACAAGAAATGAAAGAATGCAAATATTGATTACGTTGAAATTAACCAATGTACTGCTGTGCACACAATACTGCTGTTATTTTAACTAATTAAATTGATCCCGCTGCACATCTTCTTCCATTGTGGTGACATGGGGGCTTCTCATCCGGGATTGGTGAACCTCGTTATTTTCATACTTGAGGTAAAGTACAAGAACATTCTTAGTATTCAACTTTAGTGAAGGCTTTATGCCGAAACGTCCTTGTTTTTTGTCCTGTTACCTTATTTCAAGCTTCCACATACCTCGTTTCACCATTTCATTCTTTTCCATTGTGGAAGCAGGTTGTAATTATGTTTAAAAATTGGTGTTATAGAAATGTATTTTAGTTTGATTCCTTATGAACTGTTTATTCCTATCTTGAACACTCAAAATAAAATGAGTAAAACAGAGTAGGGTTAAACCTGAAAAAATAAACGCAACAAAACAGCGAACGTTTCGGCAGAAAGCCTTCGTCAGCGAACAAAACAACAGAAAAAACGGTATAAAAATAAAAATAAGAAATAGCACTTAGCTGGTAGGTAGTATCTGTGGGCAGCAATAGAAGTAAAAAATACAGTTTTTTTCTGTTGTTTTGTTCGCTGACGAAGGCTTTCTGCCGACTCGTTCGCTGTTTTGTTGCGTTTATTTTTTCAGGTTTAACCCTACTCTGTTTTACTCATTTTATTTTGATTGCAGTCTCTCCCCCTATTACCCCTTGAACACTCAGTCTTTCATGAAAATCTCCATGGAAATGAATTTTTAAAGACAGTACGTTTTTAATGTGAAATTTACACATCAAGAAATTTTTGTGTGTGCAAAAGTTTGTGCATTCAATTTACAGGGTTTAGATTTTCAGACCAATTTATTAAAGATTTCTGCAGTCATAATATGTTCCCCTTGAATTGTACTAACAATTTGAACAATTAGATAAAATTTAGTAGTACATTTCAATCAAACTGTTGTTTTTATGATTGTCAGGCTGCCATGGAGTTGAGATAAGATTTTGTGGTACATTTCAATCAAACTGTTGTTAATATGATTGTCAGGCTGCCATGGAGTTGAGATAAGATTGTGTGGTACATTTCAATCAAACTGTTGTTAATATGATTGTCAGGCTGCCATGGAGTTGAGTTAAGATTTTGTGGTACATTTCAATCAAACTGTTGTTAATGTGATTGTCAGGTTGCTATGGAGGTCGAGATGAGCTCCTGTTCTCGCTGTACCAAGTGTAACCGTCTGATCTATGATGAGGAAATAATGGCCGGTTGGTCAGCTGAGGATTCTAACCTCAATACAAGGTAAAGCATGACTTAAAGGAATATTAAAATCGTAAACAGTTCAAATGTAATTATTAATAGTTGGCTTTCCAGATTCTGTGTTCATTTTTTTATTTTTTAGCACACATTTTCCATGGTTTTGTTGGGTGTGATTGATCTGTCTACATTTATTACCTTATTGATATGCATTCGTTGGGTGTGATTGATCTGTCTACATTTATTACCTTATTGGTATGCATTCTTAGCAGGCTTTTTACCGTAATGTTTAATAAAAAAAATTCTCAACTGTTTCCATCACCTCATTTCAGCTGTCCTTATTGTCATGCTAAGTTTGTGCCTCACCTGCAGGTGTACATCAAGGTAAGACTAACATTGTATTCTTTATATCAAGGTAAGACTAACATTCATTTATTTATTCATCCTGATAAAGGACTGTAAACCTAGGCTTTCCATACATCTTGTTATCATGTATTATATATCTGTTGTAACTGTAAGAATGAAATTTCCCCAGACATCTTGTTAGACGTATCTATTGTAACAGTAAAAATGTAATATCCCCAATGTTGTGTTCCAGGACTGGAGGGGTGATGCAAAGGCTCTTGTGTTTAACAATGAACAGACATACCCCATCCAGGAAAAGCTTTTAGCCAACTCAGACCAACCTGATGGATTGGCCGTCTCTAAATTAGAAGAGGTTGGCACACCACCAGACCCGGAGAGTGTCCAGAGCTCATTAGATCGAGGCGACATGCCGTTAACAATGGAAGAAGCTGCCAGCACCATAAGACGCAGGTGCACCAGTGAATGTTTAACCAATGTGACGGATACGACACCGTTTGGCTCCAGCATGGACAGTCCTCCTCATACTTTTCAGCGATCACCTCTTAGACTCTCCATAGAGGAGGAGGCAGAACTGGGAGAATGTCCTCAAGACAATTCTGTGAAAAAAGAGTTCATGTCCAGGTCAGTTTTTATTTTACTTTACAGAAACAGAAAACTACAGAATGTGTTTCACTCATAAGGTTGATATTAGGAAATACAAGTTTAGCTCTATAGTAGTCCAATGTTATGAAGGCTTATTTCTATAGAAGTCCAATGTTATGAAGGCTTGTTTCTATAAAAGACCAATGCCATGAAGGCTTGTTTTTATAAAAGACCAATGTTATGAAGGCTTGTTTCTATAAAAGATCAATTTTATGAAGCATCTCTGGAAGATGACTCGGTATCAAGAACTAGGGTTGAAAATTACTTGCCTTTTTATGACCATGAACTCTTCTAGAACCCTTGTTCCAGGGCCAGTGTAAAGAAGTACTTGACTAGGACTGAATCCTTGAACCACAGCTAGGGTTTTTGTCTGGATTAAAAAGCAACCAAAGAATGAAAAGAAGCAATTAGCTCTCTTAAATGATACGTTTGTTTAAACAAGTGGAAAGAATTTCTTATGAATGTATAGAGAATGAAGCAGAGACCCATTCATACCATTAAGCATCTTGATATCACTGTACAGGTCAGCATCGTCCTCTGAGCCTGTCGTTGTCCCATACCTCAGTCCCTTGGTACTGAGAAAAGAAGTGGAATACGTCCTTGACCATGAGAGTAATTTGTGCCTTGCCTCTGATACTTTTGTTGAAGACCATCCCATCATTTTCTGGAACCTGGTAGGTAGTTGCCAGACTTGAAGATTGATTAAGGTTTGCTCTGTAATATCTGGAATGTATCTGATAGTTTACATTATTCTAATAATGCTGATCTCATTTCATTCACCATATCTTCCTACAGATTTGGTTTTTTCGACGTATAAATGTTCCAACTCACTTAACTGGATTCCTTTTAACATCCAAAGCTTTCAACTGCAATAAACCTGAGGTTAGTGGATTTTTTAAAATCTTTAACTGACACTAAAATATTGTGTAAATAACTAAAAAGAATATAGAAAAAGTTGACAAATTTAGAGAAGGTAAAAAAAAAAAAATTCCAGGAAAAATTGTCTTGCAAATAATGAACTGGATTTAATGTTACAGGCATCTGACACAGAGAAAACAACATACACCAGTCGAAACATTTTGATCCGACCCCAGTGGGACAATGTGAGAATCCATGATGAAGTTGGATTACCCATGTACTTGGCATGGAGAGCAGGTTGGTCATGTCATGATGATGACACCACAAATTCATTTGTAATTTACCACTCATATGTCATGGCACTGTCACATAAGTAAAATATATCAGTTTATACATTGAAAATGTAAGTGTATAATTAGACATGGTGACAGCTGCAATTTCATTCTTCAACAGATGACCATGAGTTTTATCAGGACTTAAGGACAGTAGTATAACATATGACCATGAGATTTGTCAGGACATAAGGACAGTAGTATAACATATCAATAGATTATTGCATGCACTTGAATATTTTATTGAATTGTTCAAGGCTCTACTTGTTGTTTTTACCTGTGCATAAAAGTCATTCACTAAAGCCTCTTCCATTTCCAGGTCACAAGTCAACAGTGGTAGATGCTTTAGTCATTGAGTCGGACTCTTTCAGTCGGCCGTGAGTATCCATATTTTATTTCAAACTTATTGACCCTGCAATTTTTGCTGCTGGCCTTTATTTATTCTATGACCAGTATCATGGGAAGTTACTCTTGTCAATTTCTGTCACATACAGACTTTATTCTATGACCAGTATCATGGGAAGTTACTCTTGTCAATTTCTGTCACGTACAGACTTTATTCTATGACCAGTATCATGGGAAGTTACTCTTGTCAATTTCTGTCACATACAGACTTTATTCTATGACCAGTATCATGGGAAGTTACTCTTGACAATTTATGTCACGTACATACTTTATTTATTCTATGACCAGTATCATGGGAAGTTACTCTAATCAATTTTTGTCACATTTAGACTGGCTGGACTGAACAAAATAGCATCACTACTATATCTACCGTTAACTCGAGATGCATGATGTCAGTTGTTTGCTAGTCTAAGTTTGAACTGTTATTTTGTCTACAGAATGATGTGGCAGATCATCTCATCCATAAAACGTAATGATGTCATGTCAGCCATCAGAGCTGTTGCTAATACACGCAGGCGAATGACTTCACGTAAAAGACGCTTTAGAAGCATGTACCGTGAAATTTTATTTTTATCTTTTGCTGAATGCGGCCGTGAAAATATTGATCATGGTAAGTCTAAATTAGCCCAGATGTTTCGTGACTGAGTGTAAATAATACCAGTAGTTTAGTGATTGGGTCTAAATAAGCAGTTCATCCCCGGGCACGTTGAAGTGACGCAGAACAATAGGGCTGATGCTCTTGCCCGTGATGGCGCAGCCCAAACCTGATAGACCCATGACCCTGCTGGGTCAAAGCTTGGCTGAAAGACCACTTCTGAGAGGAGTGGCTTAACGGTTGGGCAGTAGGGACTTCTGGACAAAAGCTCTCCCGAAGAATGCCAAGACCGCACAAAAGCGATCCCTGGTGGAAACTTGAGAGACAAAAGCATAGTCTCATCACCCAGATGAGAACAGGCCACTGTACAATGCGCAGTTATCACCATCAATTAGATAACAGAAGGGCTCAAAACTGCCAATTAAATGGCCAGGCTGACAAAACAGTGGACCACCTGGTGGTCGGCTGCCCCAGAAACAGAAGTGGGGTCGAGACCTCTTTTGAAAATTTGATTTGCGGTGATGTCCACCAGATGAGACACACCGGCCGAATACTGGCCCGGGCTATAAGAGAGTGATCACAGCCCGCAATAGAGGATGTAACATTAGTAGAGACTGTGAGTCAAAATAAGACCAGATGTTTAGTGACTGTGAGTCTAAATAAAGCCAGATGTTTAGTGACTGTCAGTCTAAATAAGACTAGATGTTTAGTGACTGTGAGTCGAAATGAGACCATATGTTTAGTGACTGTGAGTCTAAATGAGTCCAGATGTTTAGTGACTGAGTCTAAATGAGTCCAGATGTTTAGTGACTGTGAGTCTAAATGAGACCATATGTTTAGTGACTGTGCGTCTAAATGAGACCATATGTTTAGTGACTGTGCATCTAAATGAGACCATATGTTTAGTGACTGTGAGTCTAAATGAGACCATATGTTTAGTGACTGTGAGTCTAAATGAGACCAGATGTTTAGTGACTGTGAGTCTGAATGAGACCATATGTTTAGTGACTGTGAGTCTAAATGAGACCAGATGTTTAGTGACTGTGAGGCTAAATGAGACCATATGTTTAGTGACTGTGAGTCTAAATGAGACCATATGTTTAGTGACTGTGAGTCTAAATGAGACCATATGTTTAGTGACTGTGAGTCTAAATAAAGCCAGATGTTTAGTGACTGAGTCTAAATGAGACCAGATGTTTAGTGACTGTGAGTCTAAATGAGACCATATGTTTAGTGACTGTGAGTCTAAATGAGACCATATGTTTAGTGACTGTGAGTCTAAATGAGACCATACGTTTAGTGACTGTGAGTCTAAATGAGACCAGATGTTTAGTGACTGTGAGTCTAAATGAGACCATATGTTTAGTGACTGTGAGTCTAAATAAAGCCAAATGTTTAGTGACTGAGTCTAAATGATACCATATGTTTAGTGACTGTGAGTCTAAATGAGACCAGATGTTTAGTGACTGTGAGTCTAAATGAGACCAGATGTTTAGTGACTGTGAGTCTAAATGAGACCATATGTTTAGTGACTGTGAGTCTAAATGAGACCAGATGTTTAGTGACTGTGAGTCTAAATGAGACCATATGTTTAGTGACTGTGAGTCTAAATAAAGCCAAATGTTTAGTGACTGAGTCTAAATGATACCATATGTTTAGTGACTGTGAGTCTAAATGAGACCAGATGTATAGTGACTGTGAGTCTAAATGAGACCAGATGTTTAGTGACTGTGAGTCTAAATGAGACCATATGTTTAGTGACTGTGAGTCTAAATGAGACCATATGTTTAGTGACTGTGAGTCTAAATGAGACCAGATGTTTAGTGACTGAGTCTAAATGAGACCATATGTTTAGTGACTGAGTCTAAATGAGTCCAGATGTTTTAGTGACTGTGAGTCTAAATAAAGCCAGATGTTTAGTGACTGTGAGTCTAAATGAGACCATATGTTTAGTGACTGTGAGTCTAAATGAGACCAGATGTTTAGTGACTGTGAGTCTAAATGGGACCAGATGTTTAGTGACAAGAAAATAGGGAGCAAAGGATGTGTGCGCGTTAAATGCCGATATAATGTTAAGGTTTTACCCTGAAATTCCCTTCTTAAAATGGGGTGTGTGTTATACATCTGTGAGTGTTATACGCAAATAAATATGGTAATTTATGACAACTATCTGGAGGTTGTTAATTGATGACAACTATCTGGAGGTTGTTAATTGATGACAACTATCTGGAGGTTGTTAATTGATGACAACTATCTGGAGTTGTTAATTGATGACAACTATCTGGAGGTTGTTAATTGATGACAACTATCTGGAGGTTGTTAATTGATGAAACTATCTGGAGGTTGTTAATTGATGACAACTATCTGGAGTTGTTAATAGATGACAACTATCTGGAGGTTGTTAATTGATGACAACTATCTGGAGGTTGTTAATTGATGACAACTATCTGGATGTTGTTAATTGATGAAACTATCTGGAGTTGTTAATTGATGGCAACTATCTGGAGGTTGTTAATTGATGACAACTATCTGGAGTTGTTAATTGATGGCAACTCTCTGGAGGTTGTTAATTGATGACAACTATCTGGAGTTGTTAATTGATGGCAACTCTCTGGAGTTGTTAATTGATGACAACTATCTGGAGGTTGTCAATTGATGACAACTATCTGTAGTTGTTAATTGATGACAACTATCTGGAGTTGTTAATTGATGACAACTATCTGGAGTTGTTAATTGATGACAACTATCTGGAGTTGTTAATTGATGACAACTATCTGGAGTTTGTTAATTGATGACAACTATCTGGAGGTTGTTAATTGATGACAACCATCTGGAGTTGTTAATTGATGACAACTATTTGGAGTTGATAATTGATGACAACTATCTGGAGTTGTTAATTGATGACAACTATTTGGAGTTGATAATTGATGACAACTATCTGGAGGTTGTTAATTGATGACAACTATCTGGAGGTTGTTAATTGATGACAACTATCTGGTGTTGTTAATTGATGACAACTATCTGGAGGTTGTTAATTGATGACAACTATCTGGAGTTGTTAATTGATGACAACTATCTGGAGGTTGTTAATTGATGGCAACTATCTGGAGTTGTTAATTGATGGCAACTATCTGGAGTTGTTAATTGATGACAACTATCTGGAGGTTGTCAATTGATGACAACTATCTGGAGTTAATTGATGACAACTATCTGGAGTTGTTAATTGATGACAACTATCTGGAGTTGTTAATTGATGACAACTATCTGGAGGTTGTTAATTGATGACAACTATCTTGAGGTTGTTAATTGATGACAACTATCTGGAGTTTGTTAATTGATGACAACTATCTGGAGGTTGTTAATTGATGACAACTATCTGGATGTTGTTAATTGATGACAACTATCTGGAGTTAATTGATGACAACTATCTGGAGGTTGTTAATTGATGACAACTATCTGGAGGTTGTTAATTGATGACAACTATCTGGAGGTTGTCAATTGATGACAACTATCTGGAGTTGTTAATTGATGACAACTATCTGGAGGTTGTTAATTGATGACAACTATCTGGAGGTTGTTAATTGATGACAACCATCTGGAGTTGTTAATTGATGACAACTATTTGGAGTTGATAATTGATGACAACTATCTGGAGGTTGTTAATTGATGACAACTATCTGGAGGTTTTTAATTGATGACAACTATCTGGAGGTTGTTAATTGATGAAACTATCTGGAGGTTGTTAATTGATGACAACTATCTGGAGTTGTTAATTGATGACAACTATCTGGAGGTTGTTAATTGATGGCAACTATCTGGAGTTGTTAATTGATGGCAACTATCTGGAGTTGTTAATTGATGACAACTATCTGGAGGTTGTTAATAGATGACAACTATCTGGAGTTGTTAATTGATGACAACTCTCTGGAGTTTACCGTTTTTATTGGCGTATAACACACACTTTTTCTCCCTGAAAATAAGGGGCAAATGATGTGTGCGTGTTATACGCCGATATAATGTTACGTTTTTTTACCCTGAAATTTCCTTCTTAAAATGTGGTGCGTGTTACACGCCGATAAATATGGTAACTGATGACAACTATCTGGAGGTTGTAATTATTTTTGGTTGTATTTATTTAAGGATGTATGTGGCACAACTGTTTATATCTAATTGACCCACCATGATTTTTTATGTGAATTTAGCACTGTTTATAAGGGGATCAAATAATGCACTATTCACATATGCAATTCATTTATCCAGATGCATTTGACAGAGAATATGGTGGGGCATTCACTAAACTCCCAACTGCTGAGGTGCGAAGGTTGCAGCTGGAAGACCACCCCAAATCTGACAATATCATATGGTGTAGGAAAGTTTTTGCTGAATTAGAGGTGTAAGAAGTCTGTACTTGACTGCCGTGAGAACCAGCATGAACTGGAGAACCAGCGTGTACTTGAGAACCAGTGTGTACTTGAGACCCAGCGTGTACTTGAGAACCAGTATTGTCTATATCGCCTAGAGACCCATCTTTTTTATTACAGGTCCAATAAGTTAAATGTGCCCAAGAATAAGAGAACAAGTCTCTCGCCCCTCGTGTGTCAGACTTGAACTAAATGTGTTTTATTCTGTTTGTTTGGAAGTATTGAAATCATTCGGATGCCTCCAAAATACTCTGCTGGAAGGTTTGGTTCAGATTTGATTAAAGTGAAACTAAAAGTGAACTTAAGGTCTTTCATGTTAAGTTTGAATTCTTCCTCCTGAATAGGACTGTGTCAGGTTTCTCCCTAATCATATCATTATAGGGCAATCCTAACAGCACAGTGGAAGCTTTGTTCCAGCCTATTTCTAGATGCTTACCAGGATCTAATGAGCTGTCAAATTGAAGACATTAACCTAAACATTCCTCAACAGCCTGCTGTCAAAATACAATGAGTTGGAACTGATTGACAAGACCAGCTGGTTCATCTTTATAACAAGTTTTATGACAAGGATGGGACACATTGAACAGGATTGAACCTGTTTGAGATTTGGAATTGTTGAACAGCAGGGAGCTTGCTCTTAGAATTGATTGCTCAGCAAACGTTCAAGGCAAAGGCTTACAATCAGTTCTTAACATTTTATTCTAGTGATGAAGATGTTTTCAACAACTGCACTTCATTGGGAGTCTTATCAAGTGTGTTTGATGAAGATGTTTTCAACAACTGCACTTCATTGGGAGTCTTATCAAGTGTGTTTGATGAAGATGTTTTCAACAACTGCACTCATTGGGAGTCTTATCAAGTGTGTTTCTTGAATGCATGTTTTGTCCAATGTTCAGCCCCACCCACATTGCTTGAAATGACATTTTATAAAAAAAACATTCTGTTCAAGGGTTGTTTAACCCTAAGTGAGTGAGTGAGTGGCCTTTTCAAAGATAGATCAAAAGTTTGGGTCAAACGTCAATTTAATTGAGAAACTTAGAAAACATGTGTTTGATCATCTGTGTGATTTCTGAGAGTAAAAAAACCACAAGACAACGTGAGCTGACTTTAAACAACTTTTAAGAATTCAAACACTTTTAAATGTGAATGTGTTTCAAATGAACAACACCAAACATTTCATCATAATCCATTTTATTTATGGAACTTATTTTTTTTTTTGTGGGCCTGTTTTAGTCTGGTGGCTATTGATCCTAATAGTTTAAATTCAAAGTGATTTTTTAAATTAATTATAGTTTTTAAAGTGAGAATTATGCACCGCACAACATACATCCCTACATATAAAATTGCAAGCTTTCAGTAGCTCAGGCAAGTGCTTAGTACTCAGTAGGTCAGGCAAGTAATTAGTACTCAGTGGTTCAGGCAAGTACTTGGCACTCAGTAGTTCAGGCAATCCATGACCCCACCAAAAAGTTTTGAGCCTGGCATCTCATTGGTTTATTTACTACAGGGTTGTTGTCTTTTTCTTTCTTTCTAGTGAAATTCCATATGATTTTATTCTTTAAAACTATCATTGTTTTAATAGTCCTATCAGGAAAAGAAAAGTGTAATGTGTATGGAATGAACTTCAAAATAGAAATTATAACTATTATTTTATAATTATGCAGTATTTCTGTAAGTGTATGCGTGTCTATTAAAGTGTTAGTTGGAATGAGAGTCCGGGCACCCATCAGTAACTGAGTGAATGTAACAGATTAGACATCCATGAGTATCTGTGTGGAATGTAACAGATTAGACATCCATGAGTATCTGTGTGGAATGTAACAGATTAGACATCCATGAGTATCTGTGTTTAATGTAACAGATTAGACATCCATGAGTATCTGTGTGGAATGTAACAGATTAGACATCCATGAGTATCTGTGTGGAATGTAACATACTAGACATTCATCAGTATCTGTGTGGAATGTAACATACTAGACATCCATCAGTATCTGTGTGGAATGTAACATACTAGACATCCATCAGTATCTGTGTGGAATGTAACATACAAGACATCCATCAGTATCTGTGTGGAATGTAACATACAAGACATCCATCAGTATCTGTGTGGAATGTAACATACTAGACATCCATCAGTATCTGTGTGGAATGTAACATACTAGACATCCATCAGTATCTGTGTGGAATGTAACATACTAGACATCCATCAGTACATGTGTGGAATGTAACATACTAGACATCCACCAGTATCTGTGTGGAATGTAACATACTAGACATCCATCAGTATCTGTGTGGAATGTAACAGATTAGACATTCATCAGTAACTGAGTGAGTGTAACAAATTAGTAGACATCTATTGGTATGTTCAGCTTTAAATTTAGTGGTGTGGCAGATGAACTACTGATGAGATGATACAATTGGATGATAGTCATGGAAAATACCCTAACCTAACATTGTTGTGCATGACTGTCATCTTGATTCCTGGTCCTCCACCGGCTCATGCTATCCAATATTAGCTGTTGCAACTAGTGTCAATCCATAGGGAAGTACGTTTGGTTTAAAATGTAAATCAAATCGCATCCGGAAATTAGATCGAAAGAAATTTCGTCGACGGTAATTTGATCGAGCGGAAATTTGGTCAAATCTTTTTTCTAAAAATTTACCGTCGACAAAATTTCTTTCGATCAAATTTCCATAAACCAGATGAAATAGTTGGATTGGCAGTGTGCACTAGTCTGAAGTTTCTCATTCTGTATTTGACAACTATGATAGTACATGAGAAATTGGTGGGCCCTGACATGAAAACAGTGGGTATGAGATGGTCAGCAAGCATTTTGGATGTTATATAGATTTTTTTACAGTATAGTCTTAGAAATAAAATTTAATATGCTAACCTTAATAAACTTTCTTCATCAACTGAATTTATGCGGAATAATAATCACCACACCATAAAAGTTTCACATAGATTTAAATGACTGGTCAGTGAATGTCAGATTGTTTAGTTTAATGAGATATGTGATTCCATGTTTTAATAAGAATGTTATCTGTAGTGAGTTGTGCCAGGAACAATTTGTTGATTTTGACTGGTGCATCGTATTTCAAATAAGACAATAGCTTCATAGTGCGCAACTACATTTATTGAAGTGTCTTACATGTTCAATATTTTGTGCAGCACAAAATAACAATTAGTCTTTTCATTACCGTACTGAGCTTTGAATTAATTGTAAATTTAATGAATTGTCTTTATATCCATGACATGTGCCATCTTTGGTTGTTGTGTAAACTTGAAGCTTCTGTTTACTCTTCACAAATATCCCAAAAATTGAGTGGTCGGCAACCCGTGGAGCCAGTGGCTCTTGAAGGAATAAATGCTAATTTTTTTATAGATAGATAGAAAATGATCTAAAATGACATTTAACGCACACACACCACCCACCCCCTCCCCCCAGCCTATGCTGTCAAATTATTCTCCTAGCAAATAGAAATGTATAGAAATTGTTCAGCAAGTTTGACTCTGAAATGTATGACGGTACATAAAACACACAATTACTTGTATGACTGTACATAAAACACAATTATTTGTATGACAGTACATAAAACACACAAATACTTGTATGACGGTACATAAAACAAATACTTGTATGAAGGTACATAAAACACACAATTACTTGTATGACGCTTCATAAAACACACAAATACTTCATTAAATATTAGCAATCTTTTATATTTATTCTTTGCTTTTGGCCCTAATAAACTGTTAATCATTTGCTTGACAGCTGTGTAATAATGGTCCAAATTATGTTCATGGGTTCTCAGTTCTTAGCCACCAGGTCAATAGCTTTTTTTAATTTAAAACTTAATTACCCGCTACCTTTTGAGTGAGGAACTAAATGATTAAGTCAGCCCTGTAATGTAAAAATGAAGCTTTGATGATCACATTGGTGTGATAATGTATGCCTATATTAATAATATATATGTAAATGTATGCATATATGATGAAAAATGTATGTTCATATTGACATGTGGTATCAGAGATTTTGTATTGTGATATTTTGGGAAATTTTTTGTAATATTGAACTGTTTTTGAGGTCTGTGTAACACACATCTGCTGGCCACATCATAATATTACTGGACTGTGTGTCATTTAATCCTGACCTTAGTATTAGATTCAGTAGCAGATATTATCACTGTTGCAATAATTTGTTGAATGCACAACCATATAGTCACGTTTTATTTCACGCTGCATTTGCTATAAATGAAACTGATCTTGTATTTCTTTCACCATTTTGTTTGTTACACTACTCTGATACTGACTCTGACAATGACTGCATCTCAGATTGCTCAAAACCTTTTTTTTTTAAATAAATTTCTTTACCCATGCAAGTGAAGATGTTCTTTCTGAATATTATAATAAATTCCAGATAGGACATTTTAACTTTAAATTTTAAAAGAGCTATATTTTTGTGTGTGATGTTATAACAGGATATGATAATTATTTTGAGATATAAGGTGCTTATTTGTTGATATGCAGAAGTTTGTCCTTTTCTATTAAGCTGGTCAATTGAATACAGGAGACAAAATATATTTTACTTTTTAAGTTAACCACAACTGTTACAATGTGAATGTAGTTACAACTTTGATTACGTTCAACAATTTGTAGCTTTAGTTTTAACCAGGAAATATTCAGCTCTGAAGTCAAGATGCAGAGTTAAAAATTACTTACTTATTAATGCCACCATTTTATATATGCCTGCTTAGTTGCAATATTTCCAAGCCTCATCTTATATACTGTAGATTATCCCCGTTTCATTTTGCAGCTTTTAAAAAAAAATGAAATATATCACTTTGCTTCCGTTGTCCCATCCATGTGTATGTATTACTAGAACTCTACTGTTGACTTGTATAAGAGTTCTCATATGAAATTTAGACTTCCATCCAACATTTTCTCTGCTAGGTAAAAAAAATATATATAGAGATTATCCCTGAAATGTTTATTTCTGTGAATTCTGAATTGTTATTTTCTGTTGATTATCTTTCAGTTATGTACAGATAAAACTTCAATCCTACCATGAAAATTATGTCAGTGTGTACATTACTTTGTAAAATACTTTAAACGTAAATATAATTTATCTGGTGAGAGCAATTTTCTAACATCCTTGACCTTGATAAATGTAGTCTTTTTTCCATTAATGTTCTAATTCAATAAAAGCTTTTTGAAAAAAATTTTTTTCACTCGTTTACCTTTCACTTGAGCCTCTTTGACTGAAGATTACATTATTGCATTTAACCTATCTATATGAAATTTTGCCTAATTTTGCCTATGGTCAATTCTAAAATGATGGAAGTATTGGTTGGTTGGTTGGTCGATGAAATCTGTCTGTTGTGGGTGATGGCTGTGGTGAAAATATTCCCATGACATTAAGATATGATCAGTAGTAGGAAAAACACAATAGACTAGTGCAGGTACTAAAAATACATCATCCTGTACATTATTTATTACAAGATAACTTGTGATATTATGAGTCATATATAGAAATAGTATTTTAAAAAGTCAGTAGTAAAAAAATAAGCTTGTCACACAAGAAAAAAAACAACTAATCTGTCTTACAATCAATATATTTGTGCAGCATTTTGTGTGTGTGCAATAGACACTAAGTTTTTTTCTCTCTGATATATCTCATTTGCGCTCTAAACATTATAAGACCAGCAGTTCAGACTTCAATGATTCAACAAAATTAAAAAACCTAATTTTCTCAGTTTTGCATTTTGAATCATCTAAAAACACATTTGGTTGGTTCTCTTTTGTTCTTTCAAAAAACCATCAGTGCCCGATACCATCCTGACACTCCAGTCACATCTTGACAACATACCCGATACCACCCTGACACTCCAGTCAAATCTTGACAACATAGCCGATACCATCCTGACACTCCAGTCACATCACATCTTGACAACATAGATAAATTAATGGTTAAATATAGATTCTACAACCTATCATTATCATAAACATCAACTCCTTAGAATGGTTTACGTAACATGACAGTGTGAAGATGGTTCAGCAAACATGTGATATTTGAAACGATTAGATGAACTCAGTGGTGTTACAAGTCTCACAGAAAGTGATACAATAATGGCTGGGACTTTTCTATTCATGGAAGTAAATATGCCGTAAAAGAGGAAAAGGACAACTTTATTTTATCATTCAACTCTTAATTCCTAGCCCCAGATCTCAGAAATAAATACAGAATTGAAATATTAACTTTTATAAGACTTGAAGCTCCATATAAAATCTTTACTCGCTAATGTTAGCTGGACATTCTTACAGATTCTCTCCATTGCAATTAACGAATTTTTGTTGTCAAGTTAATATCCCCACCATTTTGTGGATACATGATACATGAAGCATAAAATGAAAGGAAGTAATGCACATAAGGTTAATGTGGAGAAGGCACTGCAGACGTTGACCAAAAAATGATACGGGATGGAGTGACCCATGGCTAATAGTTGGACACAGGATGGAGTGACCCATGGCTAATAGTTGGACACAAGATGGAGTGACCGGTGGCAAATAGTTAGACACAGGATGGAGTGACCAGTGGGTAATAGTTGGACACAGGATGCAGTGACAAATAGTTTGACAACTTTTCAGTCCACAATTATTTCATACAAATTTGTGTGGACACCTTTAAAAGAGTTTAAAAACAAAATAAACATTTCATTTGATTCACGGAAATTAAGGATTATCTGTACTTGTTTAAAAATATTTTCTTAAAGTTCCGATAAAAAAAGGTGAGGAACAATCAGTAATGTTACATAATTTAAAAAGTTAAAATTTGAAATCGATTACATCAGTCCATTTACAAAGCTCTGGAAATGAGGTGGGTTTTTTTGTTTTTGTACAGAATTTTTTTTTTGAAAATCAAACATCTCAATTTTGTCTGTGTAAAATGCTAAACATAGATGTTATTTTGTGCCAAATGTAACAGCTATAGAAGTAGAGATCAATGTTGCTGATGTTTCCCCACCACACAAGTTCCAAGTGTTTTTTTAACATATGAGGAGGAGAGGCGCCATCTTAATAACATGTACATCATATTCTGTTTCTTTATTTAGATACAAGTAGTCATCATCATTCTTTATTACATTTAATAAATTTTATAAAACCAAATCCATTTCAATCCTCAATTTTAAAAGTATAAAAATTTTCAAACAGTTTAACATGTCATAAGATTACTGAAATACAATTTTAGTTTCCCTTTGGGGCACATTTAAAAAAAAAAAAAAAAATCAGCCTGTTCTGGAATGGTATGAAATATGTTCGAAGATATCTTAGGAGTAGGAAGAAAGTTTGTTATTGAGCAAACCCAGTAAGGGCGGCAGAGGAAATGATCTTTAAACACAAATTTAAAATCTGGGGCATAGTTTTAGTAATCCATTCTATTAAGCAAAATACAATTTTTTAAATGGCTGGTATCAATGGATCAAACTATTGTAAGAAGACAAACCATCCCCACCGCATGCACAGTTGTGAATCAACTAAAAAAAAATCTCGCTGATCAAATATAATAATATATAGTAATATATAATTTAACAAATGTGTTTGATTGCTGTCTTTTTTTTTTAATAGGTTGTCATCTCATTGCCTCTTCTAATTCTAATGTAACAAACATTAATGAATTAGATTGCTTATTATGGTAAAACATATCATGGGGAAAGACAATGTCATTGCCATGACTTAAATTCATCAGTTAAAACATTTTCAAACCAACTTTCTCATATAGCATACATGTTTCCTTTATGTACTGACAATATTCCCTGTACATATTGCATTGAAGTTACTTTTCTCAAATTCTTAATTTAAGGCCGAAAAAAAAAAACATTTGCTGTGTGATTCCATGTCCCCTGTCATGGCATTTGTGTTCTTGCATTACAACAATACTTTCATGCACTGAAACAACATTACTCTTTTTGTAAACACTTAACTTATAATGCTGTAAAATTGGACAAAATTTAACCTTTCGCTTATGAGCACCCGAATTCTAAACCTTTGTACGAAAGAATTCAATTGTTATGTTTCCATAATGAGATGGTCAACCACAAGAAAACAACTTTAGAAACTTTGATATTAAACTGTAAGTACAATTTAAAAATTTGTTGTGATCAAACAGCATGATGAAAAAAAGAAGGGGGGAAAATGCAGGCCAAACCACTACGGAGACTATGGTAACTAGTAAAACATCAAATGCTATTTGTTCAAAAGTGTGATACCAAAGAAATCTAGCTCATGAAATGTGCTCAAAATACTGTGAACTCTTCTTATTAACAAAACTACACAAATGTTCACACACAATATAAGGCTACAAACACAGAAGCACCTACAAATATGGAGTTAGCAGCCTGTTCGTTTATCATTCAGTCTTGTGTAAGCTTGCTTTCAAAATAGAACTTATACCAGTCTTTGATTGATCAAACAATAAATAATGCTGAATAAATACTTTGCATATACAATGTCTTTTTATAAGGGAATGAAATATGAACAGCACAGCAATACACATTGCCTATTTTTTAAGTTAGATTATTACATAATTTTAAATGAGAAAAATTGATTATAATTGCAAAAATTATAAATAGAAACTTTATAATGATTCATAAGCCTATCCAACTTAAAGCTATACAAAAACTCAAAGGTTATTAAATCAAGCATTAATTTAGCTCAATGGCTCTCTTTAACTATTAAAATACATTTGGCAAGATAAATACCTTATTTTTATAGACATAACTTATATCACCAAACAGTAAATTACTTGGCCTGAGGAAGGTCCATCCTGAATAATTGACTTAAAATTAACAAAACATTTCACCTGTAATATGGTCACAAACTGACACTCATAAAAGTTGAAAAATACCGTAATAAAATTCAGTTAATCAAATTGTAAAATTTTATTCTCAGCTTTTATAAAATAAACCCACCAACTTTTTTTAAATTCAAATTTTAATGCGCAAATTGAATGTTGACAAAGGAAAGATGAGGAAATGTTTTATTTTTAGCAACAAACTACTATCTTTACTACAAACAAAAATACTATAAAATTCTAAATTTTTAAATTTTATTATAAGCTAAATGAAACTGAGATTCCACTTGAGAAAAACAAATTTCCTTTTTCAAAAAAATAAATTCAAGAAAAAAAAAGTTCCTTAAAGCTCACAAACATGAAGAATCAAAATAGAAGTAACAGGTAGTCATTTGTTCTATTCATAAGCTACTGTAACCAAACTTGCTAACACCCCCCCCTCCCATCCCCCACCCCGTGAGCAACTCATGGGCTCATGCAGAGATAAACAGAGAACATGAGATAATGATCACAATGACAACACACTTGGCTAATTCATAAATTATATTCTAAATCAACTCTCAATGTGCCAACTTTAGTGTTAAAAATAAAACAATCATCGTAATATACTCTCATGTCACGCTAGCTTGATACAAGTAGTACAGCGACTTCGCCAGAGTCAGGACCGTCCTTTACAGAACAAGTTTTACCCTGGACAACTGTCTCCTTGTGTTAAGAGAAATACTTTTAAAAACACAAGATCAGAAATTGCTTCCACTGTGTAACTACAAGGCGATACAACTCAAGTCCCATCATACCAAACAAAAACAGGGCGGTTTGATTATTTCAAGTTATATAGAAAACATTTGCTTGTCAGCATCACTTCCTCTACCACTGCCATCAATAATTAGTCACTACATTCAATTTGCGCACTCGCTCATCTTTCAATATCAATTATTACATTCAATTTTGTACAACTGTTCATCTATTGCTAGAAAGGTAGAAAAAATTAATCAGTAAAATTCTGAATCAGAACTTGGTAAAGATCCTGAGTGCTCTTTATGATCTTGATGATTTGTGGTTCCAACCGTTAGTGTTTCAGGACCATCCAAGTTCTTTGTCAGTCCTGTATGAGAAGGTAATAGAAGTTATTTCTCTGATAACGTATGGTGACAAAACCAAGAATCCATGCAGGCTATAAATTGAATAGAACTATTGAGTAAAACATAACAATCAGGTGTAATGTAGAGAAACTCAGGTCTAGGCTAAATACACCACTCGTGTTAACAATTTAATTTACAGAAATTTAGGCTTAATACACCACTCATGTTAACAATGTCAAACACAAACTCAGTGCTGGTGATGCATGTTTGACTTTTTGTTACCACCTTAAAATTCAATGGAACAAAACTGAGAATCTTATTTTGCTCTACTTACCGTAAGATGGAGCAGAGGAGGTCAAACGAGATGATTTGGAAACCACATGATTGGGTGTGGCAGCAAACGGCATGTGGGCCAGAATGATGGCCAGGCAGTCGGCTATTTTAGCAGTGGGGGCACAGGAAAGAGCAGGTGTGTAGCCTGGAAGTGCAACAACATACATTATATCAGATATGAAAAGTCTTGAATGCCATGAGTTGCGTTCTATATGTGACAATCATGAGATTTCCATCACTGTTAACAGTTTCCATGCAACGAGATAAATAGGACTAGTTAACTCTTTTGTATTTAATGTGTCAATGGTTGAACAGCCCACGAGCTGACACATCTGCTTTGCCATATTAAATCTTTACCTAATTTTATCATCAGTTGATACAAATTTCATTGTACTATTTATTAAGTAAACGTCTACTTCCAGTTCCAGTAACAAAAGAAGAAGTTATGGCAGCATGTTTGTTCCATTTATTAGATCAATGAAAATGCATGCATAGATCCTTTTATTTTATGAGCCAAAGAAACATTTGTATACCCATCATTCTCCTTCAAGGATTGTCCATTAAATCATACTTCAAGCAATGGTTGAAATGTTTCATTCTCCTTTCATTTCTTTTTCTACAGATTGCATATTCAAGACTGTTCAACTATTTGTAATGAAATATATTGTTTTCTGACAAAACTTGACTTTTTTTTTTTTACATCCTTTATTCAGTCTCAATGCTGACAAAAACCTCAGAAGGCAAACAGTTCTTTGAAATTTGTACAATTATTAGGCCTTTCTGTCCTTTTATGAAAACATTGTGAATTTCATATCATCTAACCTTCAACTCTGAGGGAACTAGTCTAGTAACTGAAACACAGCGCTACATTTGAAATGTGTCTTACCATTTTCATCTAGAGCTAACACACTGCCACCCTTTCCTATAAGATCTTGTACCACTGGGACTAAGCCATTCCTGGCAGCTATGTGAAGGGGGCTGAAACAGAGACAAGCAGATCCTAGCAGAATTAGAGGAAACATTATGATTTATTGCATACATATTACCCATAATCAAAATACAGGTAGGACTGCGTTCAAGTTGAAACAATAAGAAATAAACACAGGGTAGGGGAAACCCTGAAGAAGAACAATACAAAGATTATCCTTACATTTAACATCATTTGGAAGAAATGAGCCCTCAGGACATCATTTGGCTTAAGTTCAGTCCATCTTAAATACTAAACCACTAGGACATCATATATCTTATCAGAATATCATGTGTCTTAAGATCTCCATCATAAATACTAAACAACTACAATAAGTCTATCAGAACATCATGTGTCTTAAGATGTCCATCATAAATATTAAACAACTACAATAAGTCTATCAGAACATCATGTGTCTTAAGATGTCCATCATAAATACTAAACCACTACAATAAGTCTTATCAGAACATCATGTGTCTTAAGTCAATTTGAATATTTAACCATTAGGATGTCCTGTGTCTTAAGTTAAGTCTGTCGTCAAGACTGACCATCAGGCTAGTTCCATATTAGGGCATGTTGTCACCCAGCAAGAATATACACAAGACCAAGCCAAACAAAGTGTGTACATCTATGACTTACGTTCTCAACTCTGAATTAGCCATATTTATGGTGACAGAGTCGTCAATTTTATCCAGAAGTAACAGGGCTATGTCTTCACGACTCTGTAAATAAACATCAATATATTCAATGGCAGAAATTTTCCAAATTTCCTTATAAGCCCTCATAACATAAAAAATTCCATTTGTTTGTTGGATATTGAAGGAGTGATCAACTTTGCTATTCAGATATAGTGTGAAATGTTTGATATCCGTGACATAACTGGATAAGTTGTTAATACAGTTTGATATCCATGACATAAATGTTTGATATCCGTGACATAACTGGATAAGTTGTTAAAACAGTTTGATATCTGTGACATAACTGGATAAGTTGTTAAAACAGTTTGATATCCGTGACATAACTGGATAAGTTGTTAAAACAGTAAAGACGTACATGAAAACAAGCTTGGTGTAAGGCAGTGTTCCCAACCTTGTCAGAGATGGTCAGGTCTGCTCCATACTCTAACAATAACTCTGAAATGATAATAATAACAACAATGATAGTAAAAAAAATAATTAAGTGAACGGGTCTATAGAAATGACATCTTGGCCCAAAGCATTGTTGTCAACACAGATACAGGCCAGGAAATTGTGATTTTTACCTTAGAAATGGCATGATAGTCTTTTAATAGGGTTACAAGAATAAAATCAATATTTACACACAAAAAAAGTTGATTCAACAAATATTGATCAATTCAACAATGGAGAACTTTTGAAATAAGTCAAATAAGTTATATAAGTAACGAGAACAGAACTTATTCAGGTTCTAGTTCCACAAAATAAAATCATGGACAATGAGAAGAGTTGGATTTTTATTCTAATTTTTATTGTTTGTTAAGAGCATTTGTGTCAAAAATAAATTGTGTATATTTTTAGCTATGGCATGGCAATGATGGCAAACCAAGTCCACTAACCAACAGCAGCTACATGCCCATTGGCCGCAGCATACATAATGGGCGTTTTCCCTGAAAGATCCTGAATGTTCACATCAGCTTTACGGCTCAGCAACAGTTGCATAGATTCCCCTTGGTCAGAGTAGGCGGCCGCATGAAGCGGAGTTCTACCCTTACCGTCCTGAAGATTGATGATACCTTCTCCCAACAGATCCAGTAACAATTCCGTACAGCTATCATTTCCATTTATCCTGTTGAATAGAAATAACATTCAAAAACATTTTTATGGCGGGAATAGCATTCAGCAAGCGTGTTATGATCCTAATCTTAAAGCCAGTACAGCTATTACCACACACAGCCCCTGGTTTACATTTTAAAGTTAACAGATTTTCTCAAACTTATTTTCTATAAAAGTCCATAATTTAACTGAGTTGAAACAGAAGCATATTTCATAAGATAGAGATAATATTCTTAAAATCAATTTAATCAGAGTGCTGTTGAAGGTCATGTAAAAACATCAAGTCAAGCTCAAACATCAGAAAACTTTTTTATATATGGCATCCTTACTTCTTTGCGAGACAATGGAGCAGCTATTAGCACCTCATCAAATAGTTAACGAGGCCAGTTCCAAAATGGCTGTCTCGGCTGTACTTCTGCAGGAGAACCTTGATTCCTGGTTAAATTGGGCCTTCCGTAGATTCTTAGGAATAAGTCCTACCTCCATTCTCCTTACAGGGCCTAACCAGGGAAGGCACCTCTTGCTAATATTACCTCCATTCTCCTTAGAGGGCCTAACCAGGGAAGGCACCTCTTGCTAAGAGCTGAGAACATGCTACACATTTTTGCATGTTCCAAAATCTCTGTTAGGCACTTTTTCTTGCCATCGCACTCACAAATTGCGACAGAGACATCTTTGGTGGAAGCTGTTGAGTTTCCACTCATGACTGGCATATGTGGTCCACACTTCACTGCTATATAGGAGCGTACTGGCCACACATGCCAGATAGACACTTAGTTTTTTGTTTTCTGTGAGTTTAAGATTATTCCACACCCGCTTAATTGCTCTATTGATTAGTTATTTAAATCAAAAGTCATAAGACTCAGATAACATCATCTCATAAAAATTCACCTTGGCAATTTCTGAAGTAATTGATGAATTAATGTGCCCACATCATTTCATCAAAAAGAAAAGTTCAAATTTTTGTTAGAGACACTTTTCTTGAAGTAAAATGAACAAGAACATTAAATATGATATACCTTTGCCTTAGATTAGCTAACATAAACTTGTCATCTACTTACACAGCACAATGTAAGGGGGAGAAAGGGTTGCCAGTAAACTTCTTCATGTTTTCTTGTTCTAATAAAACTTCCACACAACTATCATGACCTGCATTATTCAAAAAATAAAAGGTTATGTTTTGAATTAGCTCTATCTGGTGGTGCATACCAACATTCCATCACACATTATAATTCTCCCCATATTTATGTATGTTTGTATCTAAGTATGTATGTATAGATGTAGTCTGGTATAACGGTGAGTTAAACAGCAAGCAAACTAAAATTCCCCTTAAAAGCTCCAAATTAGATTCTTAACAATACAGCAAGTGCACTTGGGGCATAATATTGGCTTTTCTTTGATGGAAATACTCTCACTTTAAATATCATGTCGATAAATCTACAGTACAGGAATAGGGTGGACATTACAATAGTCATTTAGATCAGAAGCTTAACAATTTTTGTTTGCAGTATTCAGGTCGGGGGAAGGGTGTTGAGCACTAATTGGGATTCTTATTAGGCACGTTACTTGAATGCATGATTTGTCATGCAACTTTAGTAGATGGCAAGTTCACAGATTGTCGCCGCCATTGTGTGACAGGTTATTTTGATGGTTTTAATCACACTTTTTCTTTTTAAATGCTGCACAGCACAGTTAGATAGAATTTCTGGTAGGACATTGTATTCAGTCCAACTTGGCATTTGTTTAAAAAATTTCTCATACAATTTGTAAAAATGTAAAACCAAAAGGTCAACACAGACGATAAATGGTCCTTAAATTTTGTTGACATTTAAAACTGTTCCAAATCATACAATTTAAAAGAAACCATACATAAAAGAAAAAACCGAGCACCATTACAGCTAAAGAAGACTTACCATTATAGCAGCTGTAGTGAAGAGGTGTGTAGCCTTTGTTATCTTCTAGTCTGTCCATGGGACCAGCCTGATGATACAACATTTACACACTACAAACTTTGAGGATAAATTACACATTTTAATATAATGATCAGTTTAAAGGTCTAACATTTCAAGAAACTCAGATTCACACATAAAATTAAAATGCACCACTAAATATATACTCTGAAAGCTTAACAAGTTACAGCAAAATGAACGATTGAACATTTTTCTTGGTAGCATTTCTTCAAAGATGTAAGCTCCATTTTCTTAACAGTTGGAGATATTGCTTGAGTTTGGTCTGGCATTAAAAAGAAAGGGGCTTACAAAGACAAAACAGGTCAGTGTACTGAGTAAAATATTTTATTCATTTAAATAAAATTACTCTAGTTACCATCAAAAGTGAGGATAGCAAAGCCATGTGTCCACACATTGCTGCCATATGGGCAGCTGTACGACCTAGATTGTCTCGTAATGTAACATCAGCACCATGACGTATAAGTGTGTCTATGCATTCTTCATGGCCATTGGCAGCCTGTAATACAAGGAAATCAACAAATGTCTCAAAGTTAAACAATCAATCAGTCAATCTTTCATTTGAAAATAACCTAAGGAACCATGCTAAGTAAAACACAAACTCTTTGGAGACTCAACCAACATTTTACAAATCTAGGTAATAAATATCTGACATTTAGCATTATTTAAGCTTTGGATTCCTGCATTATATAAAGGAATACATTTTCCAAATGTTACAAGTTAACTAAATGTGAGGAAAAGATTTAACAGTCAATTAATTCATTTTAATAAATGTCATCTTCAAAATTAAATCAGTGATTTTCAACCTTTTTCTTATGAGGGCATCCTAAACAATATAATAGATCATTGCAGCCCCCTCCTTAACTGTTTCAATTCAGTATATGCTTCAATAGAATCAAGGTAAAAGTGTCAAGCACAACAGAAGTTCAAGAAGAAGGAATGGGACAACTCCAACCTCAAAGAGACATTTTTAAGTAGGCTGTAATAGGGTGTGCATATCAAGAAGAAGGAATGGGACAACTCCAACCTCAAAGAGACATTTTTAAGTAGGCTGTAATAGGGTGTGCATATCAAGAAGAAGGAATGGGACAACTCCAACCTCAAAGATAGGACTTTAAGTAGGCTGTAATAGGGTGTGCATATCAAGAAGAAGGAATGGGACAACTCCAACCTCAAAGATAGGACTTTAAGTAGGCTGTAATAGGGTGTGCATATCAAGAAGAAGGAATGGGACAACTCCAACCTCAAAGATAGGACTTTAAGTAGGCTGTAATGGGTTGTGTATTTTCTTTACGGGGCAGAGCGGCCAAAAACGTCTTTACTACTTAAAAGGCAAAACATCCAAAAGCATCCGTGACAACAAGTGTTGTAAACACGTGATCTCTGAGTCTTTGCAAGACTTCCAATTGTTTACATCCGGTTCTGCCGATATCTTAATAGAGTAGGCGTCAGTTACAAGCATTTCATCAATTTTTTTTTAGTTTTCGGGGGTTTTAATGCTTTGTTTTTCAAAATGGATTTCGACGATTCTTCAAGTGATAGCAGAGCTTTCCCTGGATTCAATTTAAGTGACATTGAAGTGCACAAATTGACTACAAATTGGAACTAGATATTAATATTATTAGTAATATTAGTGAAATCAGCGTAGTAGCAGTGTTGAATTGAACACACTTCGATTTTGTGGCAGTGTTTGTAAAGAGTAAATAGATGACTCACAATCACAAACAATATGTTGTTTTTTGCAAATATTTGTGTTCATATGAGGATTAATGGCAACATGTGAGTAAAATTATAAATCTGCATTCATTTCCCTTTATTTTGCCGTCTATTTCACACAAATTTACTAACACCTTAGATTTGATGTTTTTGCTAACGTAACCCTAAATCTTACTAAAACTGGAAAAATGTTGCCCGTTCAGAACTAGCAAGAGGAAGAACATATGGCCGAAAACGGTTAAGAGGGAATGGGACAACCTCAATTACCAAACTGTGAGTTTACCGTCATAAATGGTCAGTGCACTCGTATCTACCAGTCATACCGCACCCTGGAGGATTTTTCGGGCACCTTGAAGGATTGTTGGGGCCTCTAGGAGGATTGTTTGGGCATCTAGGAGGACTGTTCGGGCACCTTGGAGGATTGTTGGGGCGCCTAGGAGGATTGTTGGGGCACATATATTTAAAGTTAATAATGTATATACCTTCACCCTTGGAGGTTTGCTGGGACACCGAGGAGGATTATTGGGGCACTGATGAGGATTGTTGGTGCACCTAAGCGGGTTGTTGGTGCACCTAAGCGGGTTGTTGGGGCATGTAGGAGGATCATTGGACGCCCAGGTTGAAAGCCACTGCATTAATTGCTTAATTAATGAACAAATTGTGGCAATATAACAATATAAGTTACGCTTTAATAATAATTATACATTATACACAAGTAAACGTTATACTTATTTAAATGTTTTTTTTGTTAGTACTGATGAAGGCATGTGCCGAAACGTTTACTTGTTCATGTCTTATTAATCTATTTTAAAGCTATGTATTGCATCTCACCCCTCTATGTAAAGCTGTTCTGCCATCTGTATCTCTTGCATTGACAATGGCATTGTTCCGAATGAGAAAGACTGTGCTGTCAATATGACCAAACTCCACGGACAACATTAAGGGAGTCCTGTCATGAAAGACATTTTTTCATAACTATATTATGAGCTCTAATTAATTAATGCCAACCCAAGTAGTTCATACCAATAAAATATGATCTAATTAATGCCAACCCAAGTTGTTCATACCAATAATATATGATCTAATTAATGCCAACCCAAGTTGTTTATAACAATAATATATGATCTAATTAATTAATGCCAACCCAAGCTGCTCATAACAATAATATATGATCTAATTAATGCCAACCCAAGTTGTTTATAACAATAATATATGATCTAATTAATTAATGCCAACCCAAGTTGCTCATAACAATAATGTATGATATAATTAATGCCATCCCAAGCCACTGTAAACATCTTAATCCATCAGGATACATTATATGACTTAATCCATCAGCTTGATTCAATATATATGACTTAAGACATCAGCTTAGTTCATTATTATGACTGAATCTATCAGCTTGATTTATTTATATGACTTAATTCATGACTTAATTCATCAGCTTGATTTATTTATATGACTTAATCCTTCAGCTTGATTTATTTATATGATTTAATCCATCAGCTTGATTTATTTATATGACTTAATCCTTCAGCTTGATTTATTTATAAGACTTAATTCATCAGCTTTATTTATTTATATGACTTAATTCATGACTTAATTCATCAGCTTGATTTATTTATATGACTTAATCCATCAGCTTGATTTATTTATATGATTTAATCCATCAGCTTGATTTATTTATATGACTTAATCCTTCAGCTTGATTTATTTATAAGACTTAATTCATCAGCTTGATTTATTTATATGACTTAATCCATCAGCTTGATTTATTTATATGACTTAATCCATCAGCTTGATTTATTTATATGACTTAATCCATCAGCTTGATTTATTTATATGACTTAATCCATCAGCTTGATTTATTTATATGAGTTAATCCATCAGCTTGATTTATTTATATGACTTAATCAATCAGCTTGATTTATTTATATGACTTAATCAATCAGCTTGATTTATTTATATGACTTAATCCATCAGCTTGATTTATTTATATGACTTAATCCATCAGCTTAATACATTAAATGACCTAATCCACCCATATCCCCCACCACATCTACCCTGTTGCCACTACCACCATCTTATACCCCATCTACCATGGTTTCACCTCCACCATCCTCTACCCCATCAACCATGTTTCCACCACCACCATCATCCCCTATCTCACCACCCACTTTCCCCACTCCAATACTGAAGTTTCAGCACACCAATGTGTCAAATCCTTTCAATATCTTACAAATAATATTAATTAATTGCAAAGGGGCTTTAAGCCAAACCAAGCTCATCTGAACTTCTATCAGTCCCATTTCTATGCTGTAGTTTCTCTATGAAGCTATCTAATTCAGTTGACCACCCCATTAAGTAAATGTTGACCTACCTGTCATACATGTCAGAGAAATCCCCAATGCTACCATCCCATCAATAAGTAAATGTTGACCTACCTGTCATACATGTCAGTGCAATCCACAATGTTACCATCCTCAGCAGTTTCCAACAATAAACTTAGGCATTTAGTGTGACCATTCATACCTGTCAGAATGTCAACAAGAACAAAAAATCAACACACTTTTCATCCAATCTAACACTTATCCTGAGTCCTTAGCCATCAATCTAACACTTATCCTGAGTCCTTAGCCATCAATCTAACACTTATCCTGAGTCCTTAGCCATCAATCTAACACTTATCCTGAGTCCTTAGCCATCAATCTAACACTTATCCTGAGTCCTTAGCCATCAATCTAACACTTATCCTGAGTCCTTAGCCATCAATCTAACACTTATCCTGAGTCCTTAGCCATCAATCTAACACTTATCCTGAGTCCTTAGCCATCAATCTAACACTTATCCTGAGTCCTTAGCCATCAATCTAACACTTATCCTGAGTCCTTAGCCATCAATCTAACACTTATCCTGAGTCCTTAGCCATCAATCTAACACTTATCCTGAGTCCTTAGCCATCAATCTAACACTTATCCTGAGTCCTTAGCCAAACAGAACCAACTGACTTTCAACACCACAATAAAACTTTATCGCTATGATCAACATTTGTTCATAGTTTAAATTTTTGACTGATGTCCCACCTGCTGCATGTAAAGGTGTCCTCCTGGTTAAATTGTCATTGACTAAAATTTGAGCATTCTGAGTGAGAAGAGTTTCTACACATTCTGTGTGACCTCGGTAACATGCCAAGTCCAACATAGTCCGACCTGCAATAAGCAATCCATTTAGTCTTCCTTGCAAAACAGCTGTCAAATTTAAAAATATCACCTGGGCGGCATAAGGGATTCAATATTCAATTAAAACTTTTTTTTTTTTTTAAAGTGCTGTTTCTAATTAAATAAAAAACTAAAACTTAATATAGTTTTTGTAAATGTAGAAATAAGGATTATCCCCACAGTAATGAAGGATGCTTGGTCTAGAGCAACTCAGTGGGTAATGATGCCTAGTCTAGATCAACTCAATAGGTAAGGATGCCAAGTCTAGAGCTATTCAGTGATTAAGGATCTCAAGTCTAGAGCTATTTATTAAGTAAGCATGTCAAGTCTAGCGCTACTTACCATTAACATCTTTCACATCCAAATTCATCATGTAGCCTAACAAAACTATTAATGCCTGATTGTGACCATTGTAGGCCTGTGATAGCAAGGAACAATAAATCAATTCAAACAATCAATAAAGTACAACATTTGTACAACTAAAAAAAAAACACATTAATTTTAAAGTGATCCATATTTTTTATTACATATTTAGTTATGCCTTAAGAATCTTTATAATTCAAGAACACTAACTGCAACATTGAGGGATAGCAATATTATCTTTGCTCAATGTTTGAACGGACAGATCACTTTAAACATTCACTATAAATTACCGCCAAGTGGCCAGGTGTATATGGAGCTCCACTGCGTAACAGGTCTGTAGGAGCAGCGTCTAACAACTGATTGGATGATAATTTAAAATCTTTGATTACTCTCCGGAGATAAGACGTCAAGTGATGGCATTTTACATAGCAATATTCAAACTTGCAGGTATTATTTGATGGTATAAAATGTTATTGCTTGAAATAGACATGAATTGGTTGGTGACATGTCAGGAAGTGGACAGGCAAGAAAACAATTGAATGTCACTGATTGACTTTGATGTCTAATTGACACCATCAACTCCACATCAAATATTTACTAATAGGCAGATGGTGAGTTGACTGACTGATCAAGAGACTTGCGATGGACGATGTTGTCAAAGTCTTTGATTGCTCTCACCATGTTTCCATGCTTCATTATGTGAAACCCAAATATAACATAATATAAGCATGCCTATTAGAAGGTTGTCATACAACTGATATAACATAATATAAGCACGTCTATAAGAAGGTTGTCATAAAACTGATAATGTCCCTACCATTTCAAGTGACAGTTTATGACCTTTTAGAGCAGCATAATGCACAGCATTGTATCCATCATCATCTCGAATCCCTGGTCTGGCATCATGATGTAGCAATAACTCAACAACTCTGAGAGCAAATATATTCGATAAATTTATGTAAATAAAATAACTTTAGTCATTTTAATAAATGTTTATAATCAGATAGTAACACCAAAAGATTTTCATGATAATAAAAATATATTTATTTAAGATTGAGATGACAATCTCAACAAAATAATATAAATGGCTGGCAAAGTTTACTATGATGAAATCTGGCCAACATACTTAGCATCCGTGTCATTGGCAGCTGCATAGTGCAATGGTGTACATCCTCGGCCGTCTGTGATGTTCACATCACTTCCAGCATTCAGTAAAGTCAGTACATTCTGCAAATGGCAGTGGGCTGCTGCATAGTGAAGAGGTGTCCTGGAGGAATACCCCATTATACGGATCATCTACTAGCCAAGTCAGTCAATCATAGTGGTATTAAAAGAAAAGTTAGGGAGCGTCCATAAAGTAGGTCACACTATTTTTTGTAAACGTACCCCCCACACCCCAAAATCATGACCCCTCCCCCCAAAATATGACACACTTTCCAACTAGAAAATTTACAACTAATTAAAAAAATTTCTAAAACACACTAACTATTAAATATATAAAAGTTTAATCTTCTGTCAGAATACATCCATCACTGCAGAAAGTTTAACATCACTGTCAGAATACATCCATCACTACAGAAAGTTTAACATCACTGTCAGAATACATTCATCATAACAGAAAGTTTAACATCACTGTCAGAATACATCCATCACTACAGAAAGTTTAACATCACTGTCTGAATACATCTATCACAACAGAAAGTTTAACATCACTGTCTGAATACATCTATCACAACAGAAAGTTTAACATCACGGTCAGTTTCAGTTTTTATTTTTATGTCACACCAGACCTCCCCCACCCCTCTGAAGTATGACATACTTTATGGAATGCCCCTTACTGCTGAAGTATGACATACTTTATGGAATGCCCCTTACTGCTGAAGTATGACATACTTTATGGAATGCCCCTTACTGCTGAAGTATGACATACTTTATGGAATGCCCCTCACTGCTGAAGTATGACATACTTTAAGGAAGGCCCCTTTCTTAATATTTTCAAGAAGCACTTAAAGTATAGAATTTTACAGTCTTAAAAGAGATATAAATTCTGATTGTAGATAACAAAAAAAAGAAAGAATGGGTAGAAAAAGAAGACATCCCACCTTCCTTCCATGTCTTGCAAGGCTAAATTACCTCCCTCATTGAGCAGATACTCAACACACTCCACCTTTCTGAGGACAACAATTTTCGTTTAGTTGATCCATCAAATCATCAATAAATTAGCTAAAACATATTTTAGTCACAATATTTGAAATTTAAAGAACATTTTTGATTGACATTAAGTAAGTAAGGCAAGGGAATATGAACATGCCCTATTATCTATGATATACCCACCCACTGCAAGCTGCTCCATGGAGACAGGTACGGCCGGCATCATCTGGGATATTGATATCAAAGGCGGGCATAGAAGAGCGAAGCTTGTTAACACAGTCCACGTAGCCATTGAGAGCGGCCACATGAATGGGTAGCATACCCATATAACCTCTCCTTGACATGATGTAAAAAAAAAAAGAAGAAAAGAAAGCTGTATGAACTGAATCCTTATGATGCTAACATCTAAACTGAATCTAGTTTTAACTAACAAATCTATGCTAAAGAAATGAATGAAACTAGTTTGTCTCCACTCAGAGGGATGATCATACTCACTGGATGGGATCAGCCGAGTTATCAAGCAAGGTATTGATGAGAAGTTCATGACCATAGCGAGCGGCTACATGGAGAGGTGTGTTTCCTAAACGGTCACACGTGTTCACTAAACATCCTGTTAAGGAATCAAAGATGTTTTCAATTGGATTATATAATCATGCTCTGGAACTATTGCTCAGCACCTAACAGTTATGGAGAGATTTTATGGTTTCAAAATTGTTACTTTAAAAAAATATAATGTACCTCACAAAGGCTCAAGACAAAGAGGGACAGAAAATAAAAATACTACTTAACAATTGAATTACACTTTAAATAGAATATACTGCAGTCGTGTTAACATGAAATTTCTTCTTTACCGTCGCCAACAATAAAAGTTAAACCCTTAAAAAGGTGATTGGTAATAGAGGAGAATTTCTATGTTCATGTATAAAATTGAAGAGAATGTGACCCTGCCATTCAACCCATGAACCTATTAGACGTCTAAGGGTGAACTAATGCAGCTTGAGAAACAATGTCTTGATCTCACCATGCTCAATCAAGCTCTGAGCTCGAGTGAATCTGCCATGCAGTGCTGTCATGTGGAGAGCTGTGCGGCCATCTTCACTCTGAAAAGATGTTAGAAGAAACATGCAAGAAGGTGTCACACACTGCAATATTAAATGGACTTTGCTAGGATCTCCGCATTCATCTGTACTTGGACAGACAGAACAGTTAACAGTGTTAAAAAATGTTATGGTTACAAGAGGTGGATAGAAACAGCACACAGTTATGGTGTATATCACAAAAATGCTAAATGCTTACTTTGATGGGACAGTCCCCAAATGTTATAATATTTCTATATATAAAAAGAGCGTATTTATTAAATTTTAAAACTCCACTCTGCTTCTTTTGTTTATTTAACTTAGAATGTATATCAAGTAAGATTATAGTAACATCATAATAGTAAGAATATTGATAAGATAATGTGTGTATTTGTGTGATGCTTGAGAATTCTTCTAGAAGAAAGGCGTTAATTAACACTAAGGTAAGGGCTGTAAGCACCCATTTGTTGATTAATCAGTATCTGCCCCTTTTCCCAAATTCATCGGCAAATCGGCCTACAGAAAAATGCTTCATAGATTATAGATGTAACTGATATATGTTGTTAAATGACCTAAGCAGAATTTTTGTTCTCAAATTTTTACCTAATTGGATGTGTTCAAGACTCTAAAATGTTATCATATATTCATCCCCCACATTGTTTTTTTCATCAGTGGTAACATTGTGAATTGGTGAAGTCCAAATAACATTACACTTTTTTCCTGAGCTTTCAAGACAACAAAAGGCTTATATATGACATAGCCAAAATGTTTTTCTTTGTTGACCATAAGATTAGATTTTTATAATATTTCTTTCATACATTATGTGTGCATGTAAATTCCTGCAATGAATTTGAATAGATTGTGCACTATATTCAAAGGATCTAGCTTTTTGGTTTGCTTGGTGTTATTTTGTGTGGCAGTGATTCAACGGTTGATGTAGCAAAAGCAATTCATCAGTACAGCTGATGTAGTAAAAGCAATTCATCAGTAAATAAATTAATCTGCTAAAATGCTTATCGTTGCAACCCTTCTTTCCACTTTTAAATTTTAAAAAATAAAAGACATTTACTAAGATTACTTTGGATAAAAAGGATTGACAACAATGAATCCACCAAAATTAAATGACATTTAGAAGAGTCCCCAAAATGTCTTGTATAAACAAAATCATTCTGAACCTGTAAACTATTGAGAATGTTCTATTCTAGACTGCTGAGACTACCGGTGATGTCCTGCCAAGTGCTCAGGTCTAGAGATTAGTAATTAAGTTTGAAAAATTAGGAGGTACAGCAACCAATGAAATGCTAAAAACTAGGATACACTGAATCATCACAGATTTTTAATTGCTTATCATAAACTTTTAAGTCATTATAATACATGCAATAAAATTACAAATATTTTATCATAAAGTTATAGTGAATTTTTACACATCTTAAATTAAATTTGTAAAGACTGTTGTTTCTGAATCTATCATGCCTAGGGGTGTGCCGGATCCGTTTTTTCCAACCGAATCCGGATTTTTTTATGCGAAATCCGCCGGGTCCGGATTCGGATCTGGATTCCGGAATAATCCGGATTCCGGAATAATCCGGATTCCGGTTTCTCCCGGATTCCGGATTTTGGTACTATTGGTAGATACTTCGGTAAGTCAAGGTGGACTACTACTTTTTGTGTATGGGAATTCGCAATCGGCGCCAAAAAATCTGAGTTTTTAATTTTCCGATGTGTGTGTCTATTTATTATTAAATTAGTACTTTCGATATATATTTGAGTTCCGTTCCATTTGGATAAGTGTCTTACGAGAGACGCCATGTTTCTACGCGTTCGCAGCAGGTTATGCAGCTCGCTCAACCTAATTTCGCCATGGGGTTGGCCACGCCCCCCTTTTTAATGGCGGAAGTTGACGATACTTAGGAAATATTAATTTATTATCACTATTTACATCAAAATAATTGATAACTTGTGTTTCAGAATGCATTTAAAGACATTTAAACTGGAATGTTTTAATTTGAGCTTTAACAACCCGGTAGAATCCATATTATAAATGATCAGAATTTACCGTGTGCAACACGTTGTCATTGGCAACCATTCACAGCCACTTGCATAACTGTATCGTAGTACTACCTCAGAGTTTCATTCATAAGAGTTTGCCGTGTGCAAAAACTATTAAACCATTGGTCAGGGAAAGCTTTAATTAATTATTCATGTGCCAAAGTTGAAAGTTTAAACTAAGTCTAAACAGTATTTTAGTGATAAGGCAGGGAATGCGTTGCCTTATATAAACTATATAGTCATTGCGCATGACGGGATTGGTGGAATGAGATCACAGAATGTGGAGATGCAGTCCATGTTAAAAAATGACAAACCAAGTCGTACTTTAAAAATTCATAACTTTAAAACTACAACAGCTAAAAATATGATTTTGGTGTTATAATTCTTTAAAAAATTACATCTTTTCAACTATGCCATTGGTTTATTTTTACAAAAAGTTTAAATTTTCTTATCAAAGTCCCTACACTATTGGCCACTATTAGCGGTGCTGACTCTAGCCTCTGGTATGTACGGAATATTAAACATTAAACAAGCTCAACGCTCGAAACAATCGATTAATGTATCGTGATCGTGTGGAATTCGGGAAAGAGAATTACTTTTATTTCAGATTATGATCCGGTGAGTCACAAAATCTGGCAAATTCCGAAATCTGGTATATTCTGGATTCCGGTTGTTCCGGATAAATGTAAATCCGGCGGAACCGGATTTCACCGGATAGTGCAAAATCCGGCGGAACCGGATTCCGGACCGGATTCCGGCACACCCCTAATCATGCCCTTCAAAAAGATCAACATAGAAAGGTAATGATGCAGATTCAGTTAGGTGGAATTTTAAAAACTTGGAGATTCATGCAGATTAAACATGATTGCTGGGGTTTACAGCAGTGGCTCTGAACCTGGATCTTCTTGTATTCCTAAGGAAAGCAAGAAAACTCTTGCGTTATCCATTAGACTCGTCTAAATGAATGTTTTATGAATTAAGGTAAGACACATGACAGGTCATGGGAATGCTGGTTTAAGAAGGTTCAGAACCAGAGATTGAAAGGAAGTTGTTAGGACAGAACGGTGTGCTAGAAAAAAGGTAGCCACATAAAGAATATTTCATGACTGCACGGACCCTCATGCACAAACCTATTTCCTAGAAAACATACTGGTATTTTTAGCATGAGCTCCAGGCGGTGATCCAACAGCTGATGTGCTTATGGGATGGGAAAACTTTAGCTGTACAGCAGATGGAAAGACATCATTGCAACAGAGATGGAATACCATGTGAGAGATGAACATCTTAAGGCAGTAAGGATTTAGTACTGAACAGAGAGACTTATCATTTGAAACAAACTTGAGTATTCTGGACATGAGAAACTTTTAACAATTATTTTAAACGAGCAATTTAATCAAAAGAAGCAGAGTTTCCTTTTTTTAAAATACTTTTCGATCAAACGTCCAATTTTTAAAAATTTGAAAGAGGTAAATGAGAAGTTATTTTCAGATGGTAATATTATTAAGGAAAATGTGTGAACATTAGATGATATCAAGTTGATGACATCATATTTTTTGTTTAACAGCCCCTAGTCTTAGAGTGATTGAGTTTGTCATTTCATTGTTCTATTTTAGGTTATTCTCAATAAAAAAAACTCAGAAGCAGGCTGAAATTTACATTTATTTATTAATGCCGTATCAGTCAATTATTTTCATTAAAATATCAATGTCCACAGAGTCAGTCATCAACCAAGCACGGGTGATACATACCTGAGCTTTCGTATTGGCCCCTTCTGAGACAAGAATTTCGAGACAGATGCTTCCATGTGTGGATGCTGATGCAAAATGAAGAGGGGTCTAGTGAAACAAATAATTTTGCTTTTAGATTTAGTTAATATTAGGGCTGAGCCGGTTGCTGACCCATATAGCTGGAGATGCTGAGCATTAGCACACCTGGCACATTCCCTGAATTGGCAAAAAAGTAAAGCAAATTGTTCTAAATGAAGGAAGGCTATGATGGTATCAAGATGATGATATTATATAAACATTTATTAAAATGAACAAATGAAAAAATAATTCTCCATGTTTGACTTTTATTATGTTTATGTGTTATGCAGTGTTTATCAGCCTGTGGGTCACGACCCTCTCTGGGGTGGCCTCACAAAATATTTGAGCTTGTATAATATGCAGTTTTACCTATTTGAATTTTTATTTTAAAATTTTAATTAGAGTGATGGGACTAGTTTCTTAATGTTAATACACTCTCACTACACTACAGCTACAGCTACATACAAAGCAAAAACAAACTATGATTCACTCAGCAGATGTCTTTGAAATCAAGATTTAATCATTTGTTAAATATTACATTACATATGATTTTACTTTGTTTTTTACTTTGTTCTTTAATTTTGTGCGTATGTCTAAACTTAAAAGTTACCAGGTGTGTGAATGTATCAGTTGCCAGGTGTGTGAATGTATCAGTTGCCAGGTGTGTGAATGTATCAGTTGCCAGGTGTGTGAATGTATCACTTGCCAGGTGTGTGAATGTATCAGTTGCCAGGTGTGTGAATTTATCTGTTGCCAGGTGTGTGAATGTATCAGCTGCCAGGTGTGTGAATGTATCAGTTGCTAGGTGTGTCAATGTATCAGTTGCCAGGTGTGTGAATGTATAAGTTGCCAGGTGTGTGAATGTAAAAGTTGCCAGGTGTGTGAATGTATAAGTTACCAGGTGTGTGAATGTATCAGTTGCCAGGTGTTTGAATGTATCAGTTGCCAGGTGTGTGAATGTATAAGTTGCCAGGTGTGTGAATGTATCACTTGCCAGGTGTGTGAATGTATCAGTTGCCAGGTGTGTGAATTTATCTGTTGCCAGGTGTGTGAATGTATCAGCTGCCAGGTGTGTGAATGTATCAGTTGCTAGGTGTGTCAATGTATCAGTTGCCAGGTGTGTGAATGTAAAAGTTGCCAGGTGTGTGAATGTAAAAGTTGCCAGGTGTGTGAATGTATAAGTTGCCAGGTGTGTGAATGTATCACTTGCCAGGTTTGTGAATGTATCAGTTGCCAGGTGTGTGAATGTATAAGTTGCCAGGTGTGTGAATGTATCACTTGCCAGGTTTGTGAATGTATCAGTTGCCAGGTGTGTGAATGTATCAGTTTCCAGGTGTGTGAATGTATCAAAAATCTTTTGGGAATCAACTTACAAAGCCCCCTCTACGGAACCCTCCAGCTAACTTCTACCCCCCCCCCCTGATCAAAATTACCTTTGGGTGGAACACATTTTAGAAAATGAGAAGATAACTTTTTTTGTAACAACTGGACCTGGACTCGGACCTGATGGGTATTGTCTTAAAATACCCGCACTGGCAAAAGGTGTTAACAACCGCACCTGGCTCAACCATAGTTAATAGGCACATCTAGTCATTAAAAATAACATTTTCTTTATACCTTCAATCTCCATAGTTTCATTTCCCTCTTACCCCTTAGATAAGATAATTAGACAGTAAAAGAAGAGCAGCATTATTGTAATTTTGCCTATTATTATTGGACATGAACATTCTCAACTGTCTTAGAAGCCAATCATTCACAGGGCCTTCCAATGGTTAGCAAAAACATTCCATCACACTAGGATAATTGAGACTTTCTTTCCATCTAAATGTTATGTGAGATTATGCTGATTAAAATAAGTGAGGTACAAATTGCTTTCTCCTGACACCAAATCAGATGCTGAGGAAGGTCCATGACAAATGAGGAGATGAAGACCTTATTATGAGGAAGGTCCATGACAAATGAGGAGATGAAGACCTTATTATGAGGAAGGTCCATGACAAATGAGGAGATGAAGACCTTATTATGAGGAAGGTCCATGACAAATGAGGAGATGAAGACCTTATTCAATATTTTGAGGGTTTCCTATGGTGGAGACAATGAACCATAACTTTGTAGACATTACTCATGGAAAGTGGGTCAATTAGCCATCCAACGAGTTTGCCAGCCAGCCAGTCATGAACAAAAGTGAAGTTAATATGAAGGATTTTTTTAAAATGTTAAAGTTGCTCAGAAACATTAAACTGACCATTCCTGTATTGTTGACAGAATTGACGGCAGCTGAATATTCAAGAAGTTTGCTGACTACCACATCTTGACCATTCAGACAAGCTATGTGAAGGGGAGTGTTCCCATGAATGTTGACAGCATCTGCTTCCACCCCAAGTTCCAAGAGCAGACGTACCACAGAAATTTGGCCACTAGAGGCCGCTGCGTGTAGAGGTGTGTACATCTGTGCAAATAGTGGAAATAATTGAATTTAGTTCTATGATACCAAATTTTTCCAACTTTTTTAAATCTCACAGCTTTTCTTATTGGGCAATGATGTTGATGTAATGATCACAACATGGCAAAAAAAAAAAAAGGTTTAAGAATATATGGTTGTAAATTTTAAGTACCTTACTACATCGTTGGCCCAGCACGTTAAATATTGCAGCATGCCAAAACTATCACACAAGAACTTCTTTCCTCATTCAATTTGTGCATATTTCATTTTCGTTATAAAAGCATGTGAGAAATTAATGAATTAAATAAATAAATATAGTTATTTTTTTTAACGGTATGAGACTGTGTGTGGCGTGTCAGCCCCTCTTTTGGCCTATTTATTTTTTATTCAATTCAAATTACAGTAGTAATCTCAAATCTTTAATAAAAATTATAAAGCCATTGTACTGTTTATCCACCTCAGAAAATACAGAATTTGTATAAACACAGCTAGGTCAAGGGAATCTAAATTTCCCCTAGCATCTCTTCTGCTGATCTACGATTCACTGTAGAATGATTCAATACTAAATCTATTGACTATGTCGCTTACCATTTTGTCTCGACAGTTCAGCTCTGCTCCATGGTCCACCAATAATTTAACAACTTCTACATGTCCCATGTAGGCGGCCCAATGGACAGCTCGGCGATCTTTTTTGTCATAGGCATTTATAGTAGCACCTTTGTCAATCAATAAACTGACCATCTGTCATCAACAAATAATTCTTTAGTAAGGCATGGCCTCCATGAAAAATCAGTGTATTACATTTATTAAACAGCAATCACATCTGATTTTCTAAATATTATATAAATATTTATCTATTGCTTACACTCAGTTACTCGTATACATATATCTTATTCTGAGAAATAAAATGTAACAGTATTTATAAATTTTAACAGAAATTATTTTCTTTTCCTCGTTTGGTATTCACCACTAACTAGACCAGCGGTTCTCAACCTGTAGGTCGCAATCCCTTTGGTGGTCCAACGCCCCTTACACAGGGGTCCCCTAAGATCATCGGAAAACACATATTTATAAAGTGGCAACGAAAATAATTTTATTTTTGGGGGTCACCACAACATGAGGAACTGTATTAAAGGGTCGCAGCATTAGGAAGGTTGAGAACCACTGAACTAGACAATGTGGTCTATTCTTGAAACATAGAAAAATCATCATCACTCACCTCCTTGTGTCCATTAAACGCAGCATGGTGTAAACTGGTGCGGCCAGCTCTATCTGATACATTAACATTTGTCAGCAGAGGGATGAGGTACTCAGCACACCTTACAGCATTGTTAGCAGCAGCTACATGGAGTGGAGTTTGCCAGTTCTTATCACGTGCATTGACATCTGCATCTTGGCGGAGTAGAGTTTCAACCGTTTCCTGATAAGGGAATTCATAAAGGTACCTTTTCTTTAGGTGTGAGCACGGCACTAAAGTAGTCTAAAAGTAAAAACAAGTGTGACAATGTGTGGGCACGACACTAATGTAGTGTTAGTATAAACAAGAGTGACAATGAGATTTTTTTTGCAGTTTAATAAATACCATTTGGGAAGAGGTGAATATTGTTTTTGACTATTGTCTTTAGTGGTTTTATTCCTTTACTGCTAGTGTTTGTATCACAAAACTTACTAACACACACAACTATTCTGGTGAGGGTCTGAGATTACTCTCTTATCACCCCGGCTAGTAAATTGACTACCTACTCCATCTGTTGAGCTGAGCCATACAACATTTTCCTCACAAAGGGTCCTCCAACCGCCCTGGCTTCCCCGGGAGATCTAGAGAGGGACATTCGGTCAACAGATGCTCCAGAGTCTCTGGGTCCAGGCTGCAGTGCCGGCAGGTAGAATCCTTGTTGCTATCCAGCTGCCAGAAATATGTGCACAAGGGGCAGTGCTTGGTACACATCTGCATCACTAAGGTCTGCTGTCTGCGGCCTAATCCCCACCATGAGTCTTGTTTGCTAGGAGTGGGCAAGTTTGAAAAGACACATCTGGCGATCGCGTTGTCTGCCCATTGCCTGTACCACTTCGTCCTGAAATGGTCCGCCAACCAGTTTTTAATTCCCAAATAAGTCATTGGTACTTCTGGCTGAGGCTGGGCAGCCCCGGTTTTCGCCAGAGTGTCTGCTCTCTCATTGCCACTGACGTTGACATGCCCGGGTATCCACTGTATTGTCACCTTGCCCCCTAGTTCACCAATTTTGCACACGTCATCAATGATGACGTCGACTAAGTTTGTGGTACCCTGTCTCTTTCCCAAGATCTTGAGAGCAGATCTTGAGTCCGAGTAGATGACTACATCTATCCCCGCATGCTCCGTCCCTTTTAAAGTTTCATGTATTCTCTCTAACGTCCTGTGAATAGACATAAGCTCCGCATCAAAATTTGATGCTGCAGTTCCACAGGGTCCAGAGAGCTCTTCTGTTGGTGGACCTCCTGCCGGGTACAATATGAGCGCACCATACCCAGCAGTTCTTTCTCTCAGATTGGCAGAGCTGTCCGTGAACACTTTCACAAGTATGTGTGCAAACACATCCATGGTCTCAAGGGTTGCCACTTTCTGAACATGTTCAGGGCTGCGTTTTGTCACTGCTGCATCGGTGAAGGCCAAATGTATGGTTAGGACGTGAGGGTTCCACGTATGGCTGATTAACTGGTATTAGGGTCAGTCTTTCTCTATTTTGGGGCAGGTCAACTGTCCTTTCTAGCTCCACGACCTGGTTCATGAATGAGGACCTCTTTAGTCGCCTGCCTGCCACCCAGTTATTCTACATTTGGAAGGCTGGTTCCTTTTCGTCCAGCCATCGGTACCTCTCTACGGTACTTAATATTGACTTTTCCCTCCTAATTTGTAACGGTTCTACATTGGCCAAGACCTCTATAGTAGCTGTGGGCGTGGTCCTGAAAGCACCACAGATGAATCTCAGAGCCTGATTCTGGATTCGGCCCAGCTTTTCTAATGCGGTCTTGCTTGCAAAGGATTGGACTAGCATGCTGTAATCAATCACCGACCTTACGCTGCCTAGAAATAGAGCTTTAAGCATTCTTGCGCCAGCGCCAACTTGTGCAAGCAAACTTTTTCACCAGATTGCTAGATACTGAGAACTATGCTCCACATTAGACAACAGTCAATTCCAGAGTGATGCTTATTTCAAGCACAACTTTAGGCTACCAAATCGTCACACAAATTACATAACCAGAAATATTTGTAAAAATTTTGAGCCATATTTTGGGCATTAACAGCAACAATACAATTTAGTTTCCATTACTTACATCATTACTTACATCACTTTTAGAACAACAGGCCCTATGTAACGGTGTCAGCCATTTGTTGTCTTTTGTATTAACTCTAGCCCCACTAAGAATAAGCAGGTCAGCAATTTCAGCCTCGCCGCAGTAGGCAGCAGCATGGAGGGGACTGCGCTTCTCTGAATCCTAATTACAAAAATTTCATCAGCAAAATAAGTCACATGATCAGTGAGAAATAACAGCAAACAAATATGTCTAGCCTGGAAAGGGATATTATCCTTTTCTAAAAGTAAATTTATTATATATCTATATAATAACATAAGTCAATATGACACACAAAAGAGTTTATTAATTTTTATGTTTTTGGTGAGAAATGAGCAAGTAATCTTTTAAATAGCAACAAATCTCACTCTAGATAACTTCTTATTATTTTATATAAAACCTTTACCAGTACATTAAAAAAAACATCTGCAGTTTCTAATGAGATTATATCTTCATTCAACCAATGAACAATTATGGAATTATAAATTAAGTGACTGATAGGTGGTTTATGTAACTTTATATAAAGTGACAAGGGCATATATGCCAAACTTATATGATTGATAGTAAGCCAACCTGATAATTGACATCCTCTCTTTTGTATAGCAGTGCTCTCACTTCATCTGGGTCACCATGGAAGCAGGCTTGAACTAATGGAGGCTGACAGAATTTTTAAAGAGAAAATATTTAGACATGATATTTTTCCCCCACACAAAAAAAGCAAATGATGCTAATTTCTAAAAATAAGATTTTTATTAAAAACTATAATCCTACAGCTGCTTTTTATCAAACATATTTATGTTGAAAGCACATTTCAAACTGCAATGTAAAAGGTCATAACCAATTTTCATGCTCCACAAGCAATCTGTCAAATGTTACTATTACTGTAGTATTCAAACAGGTTTAAGGTGTTCATTAACTTTTGTCTCTCCTTTAAATAAGTTGGTAACATGATTTCTTATTCTCTTCTTATGATAAATGGGGGGAAGTTAAAAATGTTGATTTTCCAATGAGCACCATCTTCAAAAAATATTTTCATGTTGTACATATCCATATAATCACTAACTATTCAAAACAGCCCCAACATTTTTTTTTTTAAAACTTGTCTAATCACATTCCCTAAGAAATTTTTTATCAACATTTGTTTTTAAAATTTAAATTTTATGAGTCATCTCTTGTACATCAGTCATTTAATTAAATATTTTGTTAACTTCTAAGTACTAGTAAGTAGCTTCACAGTTTTCAACTCCAAAAGAGTACAGAAGACTGAAAACTATAAACAACACACACTATATTCATTTGTTATTGCATTTACAAAAAGGCCATTGCATGCTGGAACACAACCGGTTTTAAACAATGTTATAATGAAAAGAGACCCATACTTTTAAAATAACTATATTCTCTACCTGCTCCCTTCTCCCCCCAACCCCTTATTTTGTCACAACCTTGTGGTTTCTTTTTTAATTGAAGACCAAGAATGAGGTCAAAATGTGGTTAGTGTAATGGTGAACAAACAGGTGTTTGTTAAAAGTTGCTGAAAGGGTGAGAAAAGCTGTTAACTATTAACAAGTTCTAGGAACTGAAGACAGTTTTTTTTTTTTATAATGAGTGATGACTGGGTTTAAAATAATATATTTCAAAAATACACTTAAGTAATTAGTGGAATAAAAACTAACTAATCTGAGACCTGTATGGAAATCAGTGCATTATAATTATATCATGTTATTAACAAATGTATCTGATATAATTAAAGAAATAAGCAAAGTCGGCACAAGATGTTATTCTACAAATGGCCCTTAACATGGAACATGTTTGTCACCTTTTCTCCCACTTGAATATCTGCCAAGATTGTAAAAGGGCAGCCCTTTCTTTCCTGTCACTTCTTACAATGAATTATAGAGCAGACAATCTTTGGGGGTTTTTTAATGCTGGCAAGACCAGGACTAAAATATAATGTCTTGGCATTGTCATGATATTATGGCGTTCTTGTGTAATACCGGTAAGACATACCTCTGCACAACTTTTTTTAAAAAGAAATCCCCACTCTTCTACAGGAAGTCCCTTTACTCAATACGCAACAACCTGCCTTCAGCCAGCCTAACAGCAAGTTTTTTAATTTAATGAACTTAATGAAACTTAATTTAACTTAATGAACTTATCTTGTATTTACAGCACAATAAGTGCAGGATCTATAGCATGATTATTTATTTTGGTAGAAAATAAGGTAAAATTAAATTTCATAATGTAAACTTAATATAAGAACTTTACATTATAATTTTTTTGTTTTTAATTTTCTAGCCCACTTAAAAAAAAAAAATTGAAGTAACCAGTTAAATACTGGCAGGCATGTATAACATAAAATAATGGTCTTATGGTGCTGCCATGAATAGTGGGGGCCGAGGTTACCGTACACTTGTACATAATGCTCTTATTGTTCTAAAGCAGGGGTGGGCAAACTATGACTCGTGATGGCTCCTCCATTTTGAATGACTCATTCTCCCTTTAAAAAAAAATTATAAATAATTTTTTTTTAAATTATGATGATTTATTAATTTAATTAATAGTAATTCCACACGATGTTTCATATTAATTTTAAAATAATAAATTCCATATGATTCAGGTACCCTTAAACCCCCCCCCCCCCACTTTTTACATCATTTATGGGTCCCATGCCTCTGTTATCTCTTGAATCTGGGTCACAGCTAGAAAAGTTTTCCCCCGCCCAATTTATTGGATGAATGAAAATAAATAAATATAAAGTTCCTAGTATTTTCCAAGTAAATTTAAGTGACATTAAATTTTTTTTAATGATTTCTCTTTCTAGGACTGTCCAATAATTTACACTTTAAATAAATGTTATATTATATATTAAGAAAATTAAGGTTATTTTAATATTTTGGGTCATTTTCTGTCTTAATTTTTTTGGTTTATTTAAATTTAAGTCAGTCAAAACACTGTGTAGCACTAACACACAGTAGGCTAAGAGAAGGCTAGGCCTGCTCTTTCTTAAAGCATATATAAATCTTACTCTGAAAAGTAGCAGGGAGATTCAATTTGGGTTCCATTTGGTAAGAACTACTTTACTTTTCACTAGAAAGTTTATTTTAATATTAAGCCCAAGTTTGACTAAATAAGTAAAGAAAAGAAAAGAGCAAAATTATGCACTTCAGCATAAACATTTAATTCATTATAATTATATGGAGGTCTATATGTAAATTAATAAACTATTTTTAAAACTACATGTTTTATAAATTTATTAAATTTTTTACATTTATTATTGTCTGTCCATGCAATGTTTAGAACAGATGGGATTAATTTTATTTGGATTCTCATAGGCCTATTGACTTTGCCTATTAGTTATTTATCATATAGCAATTCTAGATTAATGATATAGAGATCCATGACATGTCAATTTTTTGTATTAATGTGAGTTCTGTCACAAAAAGGTTCAAAAAACAATCAATGAGACCATAAAGATGTCTTAAGCCACTCAGACCTCTGACAAAGAAAAATTACAAATTAAAATTGCTATTGGTACGGTATCAATTTGAGTTGATTTAGAACAATTTAAAATAAATGTATTGTGTTAAAGTAAAATAAATTTGTCAAATCTGGTTATTATTTTCCAGGCTTATGGCAAACCTAGAAATATATTTTCTAGGTTTGCAAAATAAAAAAAAAGTTGTACAAAAATGATCTTTAAAAACAAGAGTTATAACGGTGAAAAAATTACCAGGAATGGGTCACAAAATGTGTCAGTGCAGTCCATGCCATAGAGTAAAAAATTTACAAACGAACTCACACTTTAAAAATTCATAGCTCAAAAAGTACTCAAGTTAGAAAGTTGATTTTGGTTTTATTTTTAATTGGAGTTTGCTCTCTACAATTGTAATATTTTAATAATTCTTTTTACAAAATTACCTATAATTATAGCATAATCTAAGTCAGGTTCACACAACATACAGCCAGCCAGCACCCACTTTGGGGCCCTCAAAGCAACGAAATAAGCTTTTTTATTATTATTTGCTTAATAGCTTTCCCCCGTCCTATATTCATTCAGCTCGCACAATTTTTACATAAAGTATTAAGGCCTTACATTTAAGTTGTTCAGGCCTGATCTAAGTATATTATTATTATTAAATTATATAGCCTGTTCCTGATTCCTCATAATCTAGGTACTACTATAAAGCAAGGGAGACTACTACTTTTTGTGTATCGGGAATGGAAATCGGCGCAGAAAAATCTGAGTTTTTTTTTTTTCGTTGTGAGTGTCTATTTATTAATAAATGAGTACTTTTGACATATGTTTGAGTTCCATTTCCGGCCTTTCACTTTAGTAGACATCTTAGCATACATTTTCATTGATTTGTTTGGGTTTTTCAATCAACCTGTATTTTGAAATTCCGCTTAAAATATAAGGCATCTTTCACTAAAAAATGTGTAAAGAAGTTCAACTTTTATGTCTTTCATATTTAGTCTTACTCTGTATTATCTATCAATGTATATTTGCGCCAATGCTCATTGAGTTAGGACATGTCTGCCACTTGTTATGCTCTTTTTTAGTAAACCACTATATGGTAATGTTACTCAGCCCAATTTCGATAAGGAAGTGGCCATGCCCACTTTTAATGGTGGAAGACGCCAATACTTTGGAAATATTTAATTATGACTACTTTTTACATCAAAATATTTGATAACTTATGTTTTAGAATGAACTTAAATGTTATTGAAAGAATAATATTTTAATTTGAGGTAAAAAAAACGGATAGAGTCCATATTATAAATCAAGCCTATACAACATAAGGCCCGCGGGTCGCATGTGGCCCGCCCACTTGGCGGCCTGCAAAGCAACGAAATATTCTTTATTATTATTATTTTCTTGATAGCTTTCCTCCATGTCCTATCATATTTCGACCCACACAAGCTTTTCATAATGTATTACGGCCCGCCTTACATTATGAGTTGTGCAGGCCTGTTATAAATGATCATAATTTGCCGTGTGCAAAATGTCATTGACACGGGCAGCCATTCACAATCACTTGCATAATCGCTATACCGTACTGCCATACTTGGGCCATACTATCTCAGAGTTTTCGTTTTGCCATGTGCAATAAATATTAAACCATTGATCAGAGAAAGCTTTAATTAATTAGTCATGTGCCAAAGTTGAAAGTTCAAAATAAGTATTTCCCAAAAAATGTATTTTAGTATTTAGGGGATGCGTTGCTTTATACAGACTATATAATATAGCATATATCTGTATAATTGACAGAGTAGATTTGGTAAACAGAAAAGCCATATATTAATACATTATATTAAATTTACTGATATACATAGTGAAGTGCATTATTAGATAAAGATAAGCTACAACTACAATTAATCTATATAATTGTATAACATTATTAAAATTATTTTTTAATACAACAGCATTCGTCAGTTATGAAAATAAAAGTCGCATAAAATTATCATTAAAACGAGAGTTATATAGCTCGTGACGCGAACTGCGAAATTGGGTTACAGAATGTGGAGATGCGGTCCATCTTAAAAAAGGACAAACCAAGTCAAGTCTTAGTCGTACTACAAAATTACATAACTTTAAAACTACAACAGCTAAAAATATGATTTAGGTGTTATAAATCTGTAAAAATTTAGCTCTACTCAACTATGCCATTGGTTTATTTTTACCCCCAAAAAATCAGCCATTTGCCTAATTTTTTTATCAAAGTAGGCCTACCTAGATCTAGTCCTAGTCCTAGTCAATTCAATTCTGAATTTTGAAATAATTATTTAATTTACCAACAATGAAGAATGCCCAGCGAATATTTATATTGTGTTAAAGTCTGAGCTAGTCTTTAATTTTAAACAAAAAAATATATGTATGTGAAGGCATTATTACTTTTTCAAAGTATTTCTCTTACCAAACTTTCTTAAAACAAAGTTCGGCTAAGTTAAAGTTTTGTGATGTGAACAAACCTCGTCTTCAAGCTCTTGTACAGCAAGCGAACCAATCCGCATTGTGCTGTAAATAAGTATGGTTCAAAAACGCTTTTGGTCATGGAAAATTGCTTTATTAATCATCAAGGTGTATATTGAAAATCAAGCATGCATGTTCTATTCATAATACCATTTCTTTTTCTTCTCATTAAAAAAATGTGAACATTTCTTTACGTCGCCATATTGGAACTTAATTCCGTATTTTGGTTGGGTCTGGTGGTCATGTGATCAAATAGCCACAGCTCAGCGACTTTAATTTTAATTTAATTTGACAAGTCAACTTAGCCTATTACTTATATAAAGATTTATTAGGCCTGTAACAAAGTTTTAAAGGAGTTTCACGAAGCTTTTATTTATATATCATCATATGGAGGTTTAGCTAGTGACAAAATTAACTACAAAATGTAATGAGGAAAAAAATCATAAGTCATATAATAGTCAAATTTTTTGAGTGCGTAAAAGGTGTTCTAAAACTAAAACGAGTAGTAGCATGTTTGTGATTTGTACAACATTTTAAAGCCATGATTGTCAAGTGGAGACTACTGCTATTGTTGTTACTACTGATAGTAGGGCCTACTGTCTGCCATTACTAACAAGTGACATATCTAGGGTTGGTGCCCCGGAGTGGGTCGAGCTTTTTGGCCCCCCCCCCCCCCCTTTCCGACTTTTTCCAATTTGCCGAAAACGCCGCCCCTTAATTTAATGAAAAAGTGCCACTCGGGGGCGGACTGCCCCCCCCCACCCCTTCATACGCCCCTGATACTAAGTCAATACTATTAGATTTCACAACGATTTCTTTAGACAATGTATGACTGGTTAGTTCTTTGAAATTTACGAGGCTTCTTCTCAAAGTTTGTTTGTTTAATACGTCAGCAGCCACTGGGCCGAGTCTATGTGGTAAATGCATGGTCGGATTAAGGCAAGGCTTATTATTCTGATTCTGATAGACTACGTTGCTGCAACCAAGTCCTGGCATATGTGCAACGGTTTGGGAAACGATGCGTCCATCCTAACGGCTCCTAGCGGGTGCCAGGGCAGACTTGAAACTCTCGATTGATGTCGAGTCCACGGTGGCATTGTCCAGGTGGTTCCAAGCAATTATTGTTCGTGGGAAGAATGATTGTTTATATTGAACTGTGTTACACCGAGGCACAGTGAAGCATTTATCATTGTTCCGGATGTAACTGCTCACGGAGTTGTCAGAGGTGAAGTCAGTGTTTATTAAGCGTTTGGCTCTGATTAAGTGACCTGGCTGCTGCGGGGTTAGATACGTGTTAGCTGGAATATCCTGCACCAGCCCCGCGACCACTTTATAGAGAAATGTTAGACGGAGCTTTTCTCGTCTGTCTTTGAGGGAGGGGATGTCAAATCTATTTAAGATGTCAGTGATGAAGCCAGGGGTTGTGGATTTGTAGTCACTTGCGACAAAGCGCACTATGTTGCGTTGTATTCGCTCCATTTTGTCCACGTCTTGCTTTAGGTATGGGTACCAGATTATCACACCATATTCTAGTAGCGGACAGACGAGCGCGAGATAGGCATTTTGTTTGCAAGATGTTGGGCAGTGGCGCAGATTTCTTCGAATGAAACCCAGTGTGGAGCTGGCTTTTTTTTTAAAATTTGTATATGGGGTGACCATTTTAGATTATTCGAGAAGATAATTCCAAGGTATGGATTATTTGAAACTTTTTGGAGAATAGTCTTGTTTAGAGGGTAAATATAGGTTGGTGTTTTTTTTTTCTTGAGATGCTCATTGTGTAGCATTTGGTTTCGTTAAATTTCATGCCCCATTTGTCCGCCCAATTCAGAAGGCACTTCAAATCTGCTTGGAGGTGGTTGTGGAATGTTTCCTTTAAGCTGCGCGGCTGCGCAGCTATCTCACAGACGCCGCGCAGCAGTTTTGAGTACCGCGCAGCAAATTTCAATAAGTGAGTGTTTGTGGGCTGTAAAATTTTGCACACAAAAAATTAAAGCTGTAAAACTTTGCACACAACTGTATGGTTTTGCACACACGAACCAACAAACCTTAGAGGGAACATTGGTCATTAGATGTCTTAAATTTAAATATGAAAACGTTTTTGGCGCCCCCACAATATATCTAAATAGAAAAACTGCAGAAAGTTCAAAACTCTGCTGCTAGGCTTGTTCTTAAGGCAAAAAAACGTGATCACGTCACTCCACTACTCCACTCACTACATTGGCTCCCTATACAGGCACGCATTGACTACAAGCTGTCTCTTCTCTGTCACAACTTTTTCTCGGATTCCTGCCCTTCCTATCTAACTGAACTTCTTTCTGTCTATTCACCCCTTCGACAACTTCGCTCCTCCGCAGACTCGCGTATTCTATCCGTTCCCAAGACACGCACTAAATTATATGGTGAACGATCTTTCTCTTTCTGCGCCCCCAAACAATGGAATTCTTTGCCACTACACATCCGCAATATACCAACCACACAGGCCTTCAAAACTGCACTCAAAACACATCTATTTAAACTATACTACTCTGACTGATTCTCCTCCTATAAACCGATAAACGTACATGGGTTTCCTTGTAAAAATGTCTGGTGTGGGTGGATGAATATACCT